GACTACTCTTCGCGTTTCTTTTGCTGGAAGAACCAAAAATCTTTATTTTAAACTTAAGCAAATATTATCTATCACACTTCTATTTCCTTATTAAAATGTCATTACCGTCATTATGGATGATTCTGCTAGCAGTATTAATCTGTTTTGGTAAGTTTGTTATGTACGAGACAAGTTACTTGCCTGTATTTATCTGTATTGACGATTTTTGTTAGCATTTCAAAGCTTTGCACGATGATTGTTATGAAGAGCTGTTAACAATAAACCGGACCGAAGTTGCACGGTCCGGTTTATTGTAAAATTTTATTACTAGACTGCAATGTACGGAATACACACGTACCTGCGGTGTAAATAATCATTTCCTTGCAAAAACTGAAGCAGTATATCTTATCCCACAGCGCTACGCAGATTATGATCCAGCCAGTCATCTATATTTTGTAGGCGCTTGCAAATCAGCACAATCCGCTAAAGAAGACAGCGGGCAGACGCCACCAGAATCGGACGGAAAGTGTCCTTGTCCCAAAATTTACAAACCAGTCTGTGGATCCAACGGAAAAACATACTCTAACGACTGCATAGCAAAATGCCAAAGTACGCAAACTGGGAAAACTGATTCCTTAATAGTTGTTCAGCCATTTACTTTATCTGGTAACCAATATCGTATATTCAAAGGATGAATATTGCAGTTTTAGTTAATTAATTGCAAATTGCATCTACGTAACAGGTTCGCACGTTATCCTTTTTAGAGGTGACAGCTGCGCATGATGGAAGATGCAGCAAGCAAGGGATTGGAAAGAGTAAAAATTAGAGATCTCAGATCACCCATTTTGTACAATGCTCTTGTGAGTCAAAGTTTTCCAGTTCAGTCTTAAGCTTAATACACTACTAGCTGATTACGAAGGCCAAACTCAACATTATACTAGTGAAATTCTCTTATTTTGCATATATGTTTGGAATACTGTACAATGTATAATTATGCCTTCAGACGTAAATGGTATCGGTCGATCGTGTGCACGTACAATGTCTGGATGGAAAACTTTTTGCACAGATGGTATGTAATTAACTAATAGTTACCCTTATGTAATAAAATATGTACTTGGTGCCACTTCTACTATTTTCCGAAATAAAAGTCAATCGCTGCAGTTGTTTTGCATATGTGGAGTGTGAGACTCCGGAGATTCGTACAGGTGTCGGTGTTCACTATCTGTACATGACCGGTTTGATTTAGTAATATCTATAATCATCAATAATTACATGCGGGTAATTATCCTATTCGAAAGGAAAATCTGGTAAGTTACTTAGCAGATTACACATACAATTATGGTGTATTTTTCGGAACTTTTGAAATTTGAATATTTAATAATAATCATAGCGCAACATAATAATAGCTCGCACTGAATGTCAAATATTTTCGCAGATATTAATAAATTGTTTGTAGAAAACCCGGTCATTAAAGCAAAACCATTTGCGATCAAGCCACATCACGATAACATTGAATAAAAATATGGTGACATTAATAATGTACTCACGTTAAGTGCACTATGCAGTCGGTACATTATGCAGTGCCAAAATGAAAAATTTAGCCACTTTAATTAATAAACTCTATAATTTACACAATTTTTGTCAGACCCATATTATATGGTGCGAGTGCAGTTCTCGCTACGCTGCAGAAGTTCGTCGTTCCGTTGTATAATTTCTTTCAGAACAATTGCGCATGATAATACGAAAGTAAAGGTCTGCAACAAAAACCAAAGGCAGCATTAATTAGGTAAATATACAACACGCATTTGGTAACAACTGAGAATCAATAATTAAAAAGTCGAAACAGGGACACCTACTCCGGCAAGAAAGCTGCGAGTGACATGGATTAATTCCGCTCCAGAAAACATCACTGGTTGGTCCCGAACAAGAGTTAGAAAACTCGTTAAGAGCCATTGGAAATTTCTCTGAAACATAGAACCAATCTTTGGTTATCCACAGTCCAACACTCGGAAAGCTTAACGCTTCTGCCAGAGTATACGTCTGCCACTGACTGACGCCACTTTTGCATTTGTACTCGGTATCAAACAATTAAATACCGCTTTACATTAAATCCTGTATTTTATAAAATAATGTCATTTTGCTTGCTACGCCCATTGCGTCAGTAGCAGCAACATTTAAATTTGTCTGCTAACGTTTTTGAATAAATAATCTAATAAACGATGCACAGGCAGACAAATATTTATTTGTTATATCGTAAATACGCCAATCACGCGGTAAACTATATATTTGTTTAATAGTAGCGCACAAAAATCTTCTAACGTTCTTCCTGTAGAGTAGCTGAAAGAAGTGCCAATAGTTTTACAATTTAGGTATTAGTACAAAATTATATGTCGCGACATATGTTTTGACTGCGCGATTTACCTAATTAAAAATTGCGTTTTCTGCTGAAGTTCGACGTTAGTCCCTCTATATAGTCTTTATGCATGACAAGACACGATCGTTATTTTACTTTGTAGTACCTTTTCAAAATAGGGGGATTCCATATCCTGGGTAAGTTGATAACTTTCCACGATTTGGTGCAGTTGTAAATTTATTCCACAACTCTGAAACAGTGTTGCACTTTCTAATGCCACAAAATTACTGAACATAAAAAATACGTTAGAAGAGGGTTATATTACAGAATCAGTTGCTCCAACAACAACAAAAAAGCGCGCTTCAGTATTGTACACTTACATGTTCGTAGACCGCCACCATCGGTGTCATCAGTAAAATATACAAACTAAAAATCGCAACACTGAACCAGTTCGACATGTAAGCCGATAAATACTTCTCATCATCAGACACAATGCCAGCCACGAATCCACAGATGGTAAACAGATCCATTCCGTACATCATAAAAAGTGCGCGTCCGTACGTTTTATTTAAGTAGTGGCAAAAGGTCACAACCTGCATGTACCTAAACTTCAAGCCTTTGATGTTCGTGTAAACAGCTTCAGATATTTTTTCATTTAATTTTCCTGTTTGAGACCAGCGGAGCATATGCTGCCTTTCCCTCTCAAGACAGTCGGCAATGTCCAAAAGTGCATATTTAATCAGAACCGCATGCGTAATCAGTCCAATATAAACTTGCTGTGATAAAGCGAAAAGAAACGCACTAAACAGATTCCACAGTATCATGAACTGCCATATTGGAAAACGCAGCGGAAGAGGATCTAACGGTAAATCATACTGAAAACTCAGACGTCGCGGATCTTCATCAAGCCAGTGCAACCAATCACCGACCTCAAAAAGTGCGACAGTAACGAATGCTAAAATTCCGAGTACCACCGAGGCGACTAACAGTCTTTTTAGTTTTTGTTTCAATGGGTTATTTTTCGAAATGTTGGCCAAGATATCGTTTGCGCAAGTTTTGGAATAAAACCACGATTGTGAGTTTTTGCGGCACACGTATAAAATAAACACCCCGCGAATGTTAGTGAAGCTGTATGGGACAAATGGTAACACCCGGAAGAATAAATTTTTTGAATCGGGAGTGGCAAATATCCATCCAATGGATGCTAATTCAAGCGCCGCTGAAAATGTACCTCCCAATAAGAGTATTATAGCGGTGGCGAGGGTAAGTGTCTGCGTTACGGCATTGCAGTTGTTCTCCAGAAATCCAAAAAGCTTTAAGAAGAACTCTTGCAAGATAAACACTCGCGATTCCTGCAGAGTGCGGTCGCGTTTAGCCGAGGTCATCACGAATAAATCATCGAAAATCAACAAACTATAGCAACTACTTGAACCGTAAAATAACGGCTATTGTTGAACCTTCACGGGGCGGTACTATATAAAAATAAACAAAGGTGTGCGCTAAAAAAAAGGTGCTGTGGATAAATGTCACCGGCTTTGTTTTGCTGAGTAGGTAAGAATACAATCAACCAGACGGCGCCAGATTCGCTGGGGAAATGATAGTTAAAAGTAACTTTACAGACCGCAGCGGACATCCGTTACCATCATCATGATCGTCGATATCTGGACGTGTTCAATACGGTTCCAGTGCGGAAGACTGCAACTGCAGTGCCAGTACCGCCACGCTACTCTTGAAAATGCGCAGCACAATTGTATAGCAAGTTCTGCAAGTACTTGCATAATGCAAATCGGGATCTTGAATTGCACATTTATGTTGTCAAGTCTCACCATAAGAGAAACCTTTTTCTAATAAAGTATGAATGAGAATAGAGTGTCCATATGAGCAAGCAGTCGTTTTAATGGAACGGAAGAAACGGGCTAAATAAATTTTTAGAGTGTTCGTATAGTATGTCTCTTTGTAAAGCTGATCACATATGATAAATAATCGATCATACTACAAATGGAAACAATGAAGGTGAGCGATATTCGGCCCGAAATTAGGAAGTGGGTTGTGCTGCTGCCAGAGCGACACGTTAGGTATAAACCAGGCTGATCAAATTACTTTTTGTTTAACTACTAACAGCTCTTCGTCCGAAAACACCTCCGAAAACAGCGTACAATTTTGACATGCAAGCAAGCTAAAAAGGCATTTTACACAAGTACTGGCAGATTTTACATTTATGTGTAACATTCGACCCAAGAGCTTTATTGAACTGTAACCTCTGTTTGTGTACATTATACTGTCGAAACAAATTCTGTAAGTTTCATGACGACTTTAATTAAGTAATGATGTGCCCAATCACGAAAGCCACACGGAAGTATTAGGATTATTAAGGGACTGGTTACGATTCAACTGATTTCGTCTTTAAAAACTAAAACGAATATTGATATTACAAGAGCCCACAAACATTGAACATTCCATTTGCGTTAATGCCGTGTGACCGTCTAAGTGCATTTTTATTTGTAAAACACTTTTGCTTTCGTTCAGAGTTAATACGAGATATTTTATTAACAAGATAAAAATCCACTTACAAAATATGGACAGCGTTACACTGCAAAATAAACAATATAAAAAAATTATTCCGTGGTGTATAGGACGCAACCGAGCTACAATTACGGATACTTCATTATCATACTGCGCCCGCGTTGCCGGTGTCGGTGATATTTGTGGAATCCAATTTTGAATTCACAATATTCCCGGCGTTTCTAAAGCTATCTTCGACTACGTCGTCTTCACTGTCCGCAGTACGGGGACGATGCCGGTAGCCTCGCCGGCCATAACCGTAATTATCCCCATCATACCGGTACCCGGTATAGCTCGTCGGCCCGTAATCGCTTCCGTAACCGTATCCGGTATTAGCCGCTAATTTACTGGGGTAATCACTACGGGGTGGATAACCGAAGGGATAGGGCAAATAATACGATGATAGTTGGTCGTTATAGCCATCCGCATAACCTCGAAAACGGGTGTCATAAGCGGAGGCGTACCCGTATGGTCTGTTAATGTACGATGTCGCCTACGCGTTCAGAGAAAGGATTAAGTATTTTAAGTACAATGGTACAACAAAATTGAAAAATAATTAAAAATAAAATCAACTTATCATAATTAAATTTATTTATTCGTTTGTGTGTTTAAGAATCAGATTAATTTGTCCTCAACATTGCGGATCAGCATCATGTTCTGCCAGCTCTGGTCAACAGCCAATAGGTGACCTCAATGATTGATAATTAACTATTATGCAGCTGGTTTTACGTACGTCATACGGAAACTGCTGGTATCCATCAAACCCATAACCGGGATAATTATAACCCAGTCCGTACTGAGTGGCTAACAAGGCAGTTAGATATGATCCCAATAATCCCGAACTAAACGGAATGCCGGAATACGAGGGATAGCCGTTATATGGGGGAACCTGCGGAGATCCGTAATTCGGAGGATAATACGGCTGGTTCATGGCGTACTGTGTGGTTGCCGGTTGGTATGGCGCCGGTGCAGCCGGTTGCACCGGAGGAGCGAAATAATACGGTCCTGATCCGTTGGCGATATGGTACACCTGGATGTTGTCCACTACTGCGTCTTCATGGTCCTGGCGACGTGTTCGTACCAAAGAGTGTGGCTTTGTTGGTGTTGGAAACTGTAGGAAAGCGGTTTGAATGTGCTTACTACATAAATGTTAACAGAAAAAGAGACGCGGGATCAAACATTTTCTCGATCAAATTTGGTCTTGAAACAAGGAACAGAGTTCGTACCTGGGAAATTAATATTAACAGTGACAACAGTTTGAATTGGCCGTTCAGTTGATATATCATCCTCCGCAATTTTTGCATCAAAATGAAGTACTATACACGATTAACAACATTAATCAATAATAATTAATACTCTGTTATGTTAAAACGCACAGATCAGGCCGCAAAGTTTCAAAACATCCAGATTACACAGCGTTTTCAAATCATATGGTGTCAAATATTCAGACAAGACACTGAAGGGACTGGAAATCATTTGCGGCGAAACAGAAGATCAAACTCAAATTTTTCTGGACAAGATTTTACTATGAAGTACTATCGTTCTCGAACCTTGAGATGATTATCGACAGCGATCGTACTTTTCTGGCCATGACCATGAAATTCCGAGTTACATAAATCCCAGATTATACAACCAGATGATTCATAAGTACAGCTGAATGTTAGACCAAAAATCACAAAAAACTCCCAGCAGGATCATGACTTCAACCGGTAAAGCTCGGTATATTCAGTGAAATCACGTAATCTCCGACGCCCCCAAATCTCCAACAGTTTTGACTTTTGCCAAATAAAAATTTATTTATCAAATCCAGTGTCCAAATTAAACACAGCCCCGGAAACAACACAGGAATTTTCCAGGCATTATTCACAACTTCTAGAACACAGCAAAAATTCTAAAAACGCCTACCCAGGCTTGTCAAAACATCCAGCTGAACAAATACATCAGTTTGTGTTCTTGTATCATATCTGCACTGCATCCACCGCTACTTCACAACTCAGTATTCGGTCCCACGAGCAGGCGTAATTCCCGTCGAATATCCGCATCATTAGGAGCCATTTTCAAAGCAATTAATAAGTCCTCTTTCGCGGACTGCTTGTCCAATAGCCTGGCATGAGCTGTGCCTCGCCGATAATATGCTTTAACGTTCTGCGGATCAAATTTCAAGGCCTTGGTACAGTTATCTACCACCGATTTGTAACTGCTTGACTGCAGCTGGATGGCAGCGATATTCAAATACAAAGAGCATATCAAAGACCGAAATTCGCCCAGTAATTCCCGAGCGCCAGAGTTTTCTAACAAAACAAAAAGACAACAATAAATATCTTGCAAGTGCAAAATCGGAGCGATCAAATCACGCTAAACGTACAACGTACGTACATGATGGTACATCTGATGGCACCGTAAAATCTCTCAATTTACATAAATAATATTCGCATCAAAATGCGTAAATGCAACCAATAATTTTCTGGACGACTCAGAGTCTCGGTCTCAGCCATACCTTTTGCGAGATTATCAAGTGCTTCCTGATCAATGACCAACAAAGCCCGCATGGCCCGTGCAAACCGTCGCAGAGCATACATTGTCTGCCCCGATTTAAACCACCCAACACCGCGTTCTTTATGATGCTTGGCTGAATCCACCAACTGAGCGGGATTGAGCTCCCATAGCTCAGGAACTTCTTGGAAAGACATTAATTCGATCTGCACTTCCACCGCGGACACAGGAGAGGAACCGGTTAGTGCCGGCTGCACAGCAGTCTTTTCCTTGGTGTGGATTTGGAATGAGAACCGAGAGAGCTCTTCAGGTTTCATATGCTGCAGAATTTTGTCCAACATATCATCCAGTTCAGTGTCGCTTTCTCCTATAAAAATGAGCACATACAAAGTGACGATACACTGTCAATTTACGCAACCAAAAATTAATAAACAACGATAATCGATACACTACCCAAATAAACAGCAATAAATAACGTAATTCTCAAATAAATCTCGATTTTGTTTTCACCTCAGCCCTGTTCCAAACCATCTCTTTTTACGTTAAACTAACCGATTTAAGCAGAACTCAACTCTACTCAGCTTAAACTCAACTTTACGTAAAACCAGAACTTTAGGTAAAGCTAGCTGTCTTTACTGTAAAAGGATAAAATCGAACCGAATTTTAGAATCCACAAATTTAACGAATGACATAAAAATGATTCAAATAACAAAAGCTCCACAAGCATTGTATGTAACCGCCTAAAGACTAAAGCTCCAAAAGCAAAAAATCAGAATTTTCAAAGGGGAAATTAGCGGTATAATATTAGCGGTATAATTACAACAGGAGCAATCCGACAACGAAAGAGTAACCTATTACACTATCATCATCCATGGTTTGATTAGTCGATAAATAATAAGTTTCCTGCTCACAAACTCGTACCGATGACAATTTCAGCAACCCCCGATAATCCCGCTCGCAAATGCAAACTGCGCTCACTCAAAAACTCCTCAGTTGTAGTTCCACTGGGATCAATACGTACACGGCACACACTGCCATCCCGCGGACATATCAGTCCGACGCCTTTCCGCAGCATCTGTTTTTTGAAGGTTTTATCCGCCGCAAACTCCCACGGATTTTCGCCAGCCGCCGGTACGACAGCCGAAGCGTCTCCATCTCCATCAGACATGGTGAAGGTAAATAAATTCCGTGATGGCGAAATTAATTGCGGAAAAGGGAAAATAAGTTAGATAACCAAGACGATTAGGCCTTGGGGTCTTTCACGGGATTCTCAGCAGGGAAATCGCCAACCTCAAAAACTTCGTCGGTTTCCAAATGCTTGCGAATGGATTCGCCTTTTTCGGCCAGAATATCTTCGATGTTTCTATTAACAAATATTTTAGTTTTAAAAAGACCACATATTTCAGTTTTAAAAAATGCTCACATTTTTCACGTATTTTAGTTTTGAAAACCTCATTTAAAAATATAAAAAATGTTGAATGCTTCTACAAACAATACTTTAGATTAAAAATATCTTCACATTGCCTTTTAATTATTACTCAGTTTTCCCAGCTCAAAAATAAAAAAAATGACAAACTTCAATATCCGCTAACGGAAATGAAGAGATTCATCCGCAGCACAGCAATTAAATTTGAATTTAATTACATTTGTGTATTTAGTAAGCGATTCGCTATCACGAGTCGTAAATTACAAAGAAGTACTGTAACTAAATTCTGTAAAGTGTACGATGCGAAATTTAAAAACTTACTTGACCCCGGGCGCCAGGTCTTTAAACACACCAAGATTATCCGCAATCAAGTGATAGTTGTTGCAGTTCGAGCACTTTATCACCACCAGTCCTATCTCGTAACCAGCTCGCGAGATCAAACGGTGAGTCCGCTGACCACACGGTTTACAGGTGAATCCCAAAGCGATTTTGGTATCAACTTTGGTAAGCGGCTGCGAAGATTCTCGGAGTTTCTCGGTGGAATACGTGGAGCAGTATCTCAGAACCGTATTTTGACTTCCAGGCAGGGTAGCGCGAAGTGGAAGGCGAATAAATTCTGCAGGTTGATTTACCGTGAGATGTCGCTTTAGATGCCGAGAACACAATGAAACTGTACCACCTGCCAAGCGTAAAAACATGTTTCCATGAAAAATAACCAAACTAAGTTATATTATAAATTATTGACTATGACGATCAACAGGTAATAATTTATGACGATATTTCTATAAAATTGCGAAATTTTTCTGCACAAGTGAAGCACAGAAAACAAAATTTCGAAATGCCGTGCGCGTCGGGTGAGACAGGAACCGGAAGCAACCGAATTTTTCATGTAGCAACCACCTCATCGTCAGTGAAATATGCACTGCCGGCAGGCAACGGCAACCGGCAACCGGCAACCTGGCAACGTATACAATAAGCAGTGAATATTATTCCTGATTATGTTTCGTGTCCAGTGTCCACTGTTCAGTGTATGAACGAGCACATTTATCTTTGACTTATGACTGCAAAGTCATAATTAACCAAAAAATCCTAATTACTAATTAGGAAATATAAGGATTCCTTATTCTTTTCTTGGAAAGAGTTTGTTGCTTGTTATCAAGACGTCCCGGCGAGTCGGCGGCGTCCGCGCTTGTTCCGTATTAATTTGTCCACAAAGCGCCGAATGTATATGGTTTACCCGTAAAAGTTTAACCACAAAACGGTTTCTCGAAATCTATATTATCAAAAATGAATAATGAATAATAATGAATAACTGATGACATTTCATGTTTACGTGTTGCGGTATCAGGATTTCTAATATACTTTAGTATATTGCTGCAGCCCCAACATTTGATTTTATGAATATAGTTGCGATACTGACTAGGTCCTGAACCCGATGTAGATCAGTTAAGGTATTAAACAAATATTGCGTTATGGTTATCGATTGCACGCTAAGTTAACAAATCCTCATCCGGAATCAACAGATCTTAAAATGTGCATAGTAATAACAAAATTAATGTAATATCTGTTTTAAGCAGAACGTAGTGTACGAGTACTGCCCGAGGAAATATAAGCATTAAACCACTAACGGCTTGCTAAATTATTATACCTGATGCTGAGGCGCATCCTCAACAGCATGTAACACAAGGTCTAGGTCAGCCGACAACATGAACACACCGGCAATGCTGCAAAAATGACTAATAAACTGCCGAAATCCTCCGCAAAACTACCTCGACAGTTCCGCTGGCCATAGGCCCATACAGTTCGTTATGCAGCACGACGAAAGGTCGGTATGCTTCTGTTGACGACACTGGTCGTGTCAGTTGTTTAGAATTGTGCAATTCACCTGCACAACAATGCCGGCTACACGACAACCACGCAGCTCATTACTGACCAATATCTGTTCATGGCCTATTTTTGGTTTTATAATAGTTGCGCTGTTCCTCTGTCTCCCAACCGTTTCCGGCACACCTTTTTATTATGGCACGTATAGGAGTTATGGCACGGTGAGTTAATGTGTAATTGTGTATTGTGAACTTACTCTCTCATACAAATCACAATGATGAAGATCTTGTTGTCCTTTACCACGCATTTTTTATCATGATTTTTTACCAAGCATCATGATTTTTGATCACGCATTTTTTCTGCCGGCATGTTTATAGGGTGACACAGTAATTACAACATCACACGCAAACGGCGGTCCAGATACGCCTCATTCCAAGTGGCAAGTGGAGTGTCTGGATGGAGAAGCTGCCATTGGTATGAAAACGTTTTACAGCATTTCTCCTGGTTTGATTTGCTTTAACTTTTTCGTTTGCAGGTATTTTGTAAGTATACTTTTCCCAAGATTATCGTTTATACTGACATTCCCATCAAATTGTGGTTTTGGCATACGGACTACTTTGTGTTGCCGGCCCAAGCGGATTTTCAATTGTTGACAAGCGTTAATTTGTACGCATTGATAAAGTTAATGGCTTTTTTTTATTTTTCAGGGACAACGTGTTTGATTTCGGGGTAAGTTGACGGCAAAATTTCTCAATTAATTTGGTCGTCAATTTCTTGTTTCACACAAGATGGCATTTATGCTGGCGCGCTTCGTTTCCAGCTTAAATATATTATGTCTAATTATTTTTGGTAAACTTGCGATTGCATTGGAGATTGCTGCCATGTTTGTGATGTGCATGTTGCAAACAATGATTATTTTATTGCAGGGCATAACACAACTATGGTGCAAGTTTATGTTTCCTTACAAAATATCAACCAGGAATGTGTATCCTTATTTCCCCCAGTAAGCAGTCTGATTCAGAATTAATTGTCAATGCGGTAAAATGTGTTGCCGGTTTCAAATGCTGTGGTGTTTTAGTTGCATTGTAAAAAATTACACGGTGGACTTCTTCTGCTATGATCCAAGAAACCATACTCGAAGCGCCAATACCTTCATAACCGGTACAAATTGCCGTGACACAGCAGCAAAATAAAACTGCGGCACGGAAATCAGCTCCCAGTTTTTATTTTACAGGATTATGGGATAACGAACTATCATTTTGGGTGTATCGAACAGCAATTGATCCCAGTCAACCATACAAATGCTGCGTAACACCACCGGGATATTACATCGATTATGTGTCCTGCTATTATGTATGGACTCACGATCAGGTCCGCCCCTTAAAAACTGCGTTTGGACAATTTTCCCTTAAATGATTAATATTCCATTAGTTATTTTTTCTTAGTACTGGGAATATTACGATTCGCAATTCTTCCTGTTGAACTGCGCGACCGGCTACGTAATGACCGGCATTTCCAAGAAGCTTAGTCCGATCATCCCAACGGAATACCGCATCGAGTGGCTGCAGTGCTGCCGGTTAGGATACGGTGCCATCGTGTCCCTACCACCGCCCATCGTGGCCACGCCTAAAGGTGGCCCAGTGGCCTACTCAGCCAACAACGCCCTGACCGCGGTGGATATTCCCTCCGACTACGCCCATCAGTACCGCGGGAAGCGCTCAACGGATCGCCCGACGGCTCAGCATACCAAACGCCACACGGCCTTCGCAAGGGAACACCCACTTCCGGGAGATGGGCCGTTTATGCAGTCACCTTTCTTGGATACTGGGCGTCACCATGAAGACACCGCCCATGAAGCCGATGGGACAAGTAACGCTAGCAAGCCGTCGGTATCGGACAAGAAAATCACAGAGCAGGATAAATCCCCGGTCTTGATGGAATCCATGTGATGCTCAATTGTTTTCTGTTAAGTTCAAACAGAAGTTGTTTTGCGGTTTTTGCTGATCTGAATTATTTTTGGCAGTTATTGTGTTGTTGGTTCATTTTTATGTGTGATAATAATTGCCCGTGCATTGGAGTAGGCTTAATTTGGATTCTTTTTGCATTGCACAGGTCAAAACTTTTCAAGTAAATAAAGTCGGAAATGCAAAATGAGTTGTCGCTTCGCTTTTTGTATAATTGATTCCAGCCGCATTGAATTTATAATACCGATTGTTAAATTTGTAATAATTTTATGCACACAGATTTGTATAAGTAAAAGTTGTGCGCATAAAAATTCTATGTAGTTAATTATACGAGTGCATGCATATATTAAGAGCTCCTGTGAAAAGTCGGCAAACTTCGATATGTTTCGAGAGGTCAGTTAAACAGACACTCATTTCGGCAACAAAGCCAATTAACGTGCCGAAGCGCTGCAGTAAAATAACCACCAGCAATATTGCAATATGAATTACGGTCAGCAATTTGCGGAAGAGCATCATCTTGCATCCTTACCTTTTCGCTACAAATAGCTAATGGGCATTGTCGGCGTGTTGCTTAATAATGATACGCCTATATTTCGTTATGCGAATATGTGCCACAACACAGCCACTGGCCTTGTATTCACCTTTGATCATGACAATGAACAATCACAGATGTACAAACTACAAGACATGCCGTTGTCTATGCCGGCACGTTGCAGTAACCTCGAACAAAATCGTTTCTATCAACTGGATTTCGTTATCATATTATATCACAATATAGTAATTATGTAAAGTTCTCCCGTACAACCGCGCCCTTGTTTTGCATCTCATTGGCAGTCCATCCCAATTAAAGGGGTTCGTCAGCTGTTGATCATAATGATGAGATGTGGGTGTCTTTCGTTATATTATGTAGCGCTATGTAGCATATTGCAATGGACGCTGGTGTCGGGGACATATTGGTACTATGCTATGTACAGAGGATATCCAACGGTAAGAACGGACGGTGCCTTGTATCACTATTATGCATTCATGCAGTGGACAATTTGCGAAATACAATACAATATATAATTTGCTTCTGCCAGATTTTATGTGTAATTAAAAAAACTGTTTTTAAAAAATTAGCGCAGAGATAATCATTTGGTCACTGTGTCGTGTTGGCGCCAACAGACGGCGTGTGCACCGGTAATGGTTCTAACCTACAGTAAATCCTAGGGGGACAACATCATCTCCACATACCATGGAGCACAAGCACCCGGCACACAAAATCAGCCTAACCGGAAGTGGACGGTGGAATGTTTCGATGGAGAAGCCGTCATTGGTAAGAACCGTTTTTTTTATTTCGCACTGTGCATTTAACACACTTTTTGTGCGGTTTATATAAAATGTTAATTTTTGCAGGTATTTCGTAAGTAAGCCAAAATTCCAAAGTGTCCGCATGGCCTGTAATAAATGTGCCTGGTTTGGTTTTTTAGTGACAATATCTGGGATTTTGGAGTAAGTCTGATTTGGTTAATTAATTGTAGTGTGTACATGCATGAAAAACAGTTTTGAAAGTCAGAAGCACCTGCGAGTACTTTTAATTTGGAACAACGTCTTCTGAATAACAACAGAAAACCTGTCGGTTGGAACGCATAATTATTATATGATGTTCTACTTCTGCAGGCTTTAACTTATGTATGGTGCAAGTTTATGTTCCCATATAAACCACCATCGAATGGATTGTATCCTTACTACCGAAATTGTTTCATGCATGATTATCGGATAAACTTCTTCTGCTATGATCCCGGAAATCATACATTAACACGCAACACATTCGTAGTCGGTATGTTGGTTGCATCGCTGCAAAATGTTGCACCAGGCGTGGCACATTTCAACAAAAATTTTTCTTCAGGCTACTGGGACAACGATTGGGTGTTCTGGACATTTACCCCCAACACGGATCTCATCCAGCCATATAAATGCTGCCAAACGCCACCGGGATACTACATTGACTACGTGTCATGCTACTATATTCCGACTCACGATTTATACTGGGAGTATTACGATGGGAACTACTTCCTGGTGAACTGCGCTACTGGCTATGTAAGGATACGTACGAATTTACAGTCTAAACATCTTTTACCTATACCGGCTATACGACATATCTTTCCTTATCTAGATTAATTATAAATTTGTCATTTTCGAATTGTCATTTTGGAATTATTATTAAGTTACTGAACCTCTTTAGAATGACTGAACGAAGTTTTTGTAACTCGTGGCGCGCATGGATAAATTGAATTAATTTTTAACCTACTACTGGAAACTCGATTTTTAGTTTAATCATTAAGGTATCATTTTACATAATTACGCTTAAGGTAATTAAAAAAGATACATTAATAATTAGTGTTACGTTCATGTAAACCATTATCTCGTAAGGAAGTTTTCAAAATTGTGCAGATTGTACTGTACTCTGTACCTCGAAGCTCCTAATGCCCTCTTTCGAATGCGAATGTTTAGGTGGTAACGGGTACCGCCGCCAAATTCAACCCAATCCATCAAGAGTACCGCATCGACTGGGTCCAGTGCTGCCGCCTGGGATACGGCGCCGTGACCGCTCTGCCACCGCCCGTCATCCAGCGGCCAGGCAAGCCCCCGGCCTACGTAGCATCACACAACACCGTGCAGACGGATATTCCGCAGGCCTACCAGCATCAGTACCGGCGCCGGAAACGCTCCGCCCTACCCACCGAATCCAACAGCATTGCGATCGGCAACCAGACGGTCTTCGCTGAAGATCCTCTGCCGGCGGATCACATACACAATCTCCGGGCGCAGGAGAGCCAACGACATTGGGAGAACGCGGAATTCTTCCACAGTGGATCACACCATATGCATCCGGATAAACCGTACAGCGGACGGGTTAGCGATTACGATCTGCCGGGTCATCATTTTGTTAACACGGAAATTCCCTTCTTTCATCCAGACGTGCTCAATTCGCATGCTTAATGATCGTCGTACATTGTACAGGTGGAATTTCACGGTAGTAATAATATTATGACTTTCCAGTGTATGGCTCATGCTTATAATTGTTAGCTTTAAAGGAAAACGCTGTACTTATTTGTGATACTGTTGAAGCTGTTGACAAAGTTATTGTTAAGAGACTTTGGTATGTCAAGTGCCAAAAAAATTCTGAGACCAAATTTCGCTAGCTTGGAAGTTGACATTGACCTGCAGGACGACTGACTTCAGCTGTTCGCCACAAAAATAGTGTTGTACAAATTTTCACTTCCGCTTGGCGGAAGTGCGTACTGTGCGTACGACGGTACGAGTATCAGTGTTCACAGCATCGCAGTCAGTGATCGCACTATCCAATAAACTCCACCACACTGTCTATCTGGGGCGGGTGCGCTTGTATGCAAAACTCCAACAGACGATGTTGTGGAATTTTTGTTTTGAAATCTTCAGTCTTCACCGAAATGGCAGCGTACATTTCAGTTATCATTAGTTAAACTTGCGTGCACGGTTTTAATGTTTCTACATCGTAAACACTAAACAGTAATATTTTAGTTCAATAGAGCGGATCTTTCTCTGAAGTTTATTGCAGTACTCGCTTCGCTGCAGAATGTCTGCGAGGGGATTTTTGTTGCTATATTTCTCCTGCGCGTGCGTGCCTCTACTGCTAGCCTCCATTTCCCCAAACAGTGATACCATCCCCAACGTTGCGACCAAGGATAGGACGTTACCGAAGCACATCGGAGGCGAGGATGTAGAGAAACCAGCAGAAAATCCACGGCCGCCCTCCAAGCTCCATTTTCATGGGAAGGATACGAAAACTCCTAAGTTGCCTAAACACCTTCTCGGTACATCCTCCGAGTCTGAAGAGAAACCCCACACCGTTCACAAGCGATCCATCCTCCCACAGCACATCGTGGAGAAATTGTATAAGGGACGTCCGCAGGAAGGACAGACGAAATTGCTCACGGATCGGCCGTTCTGGAAGCCCTGGAAACCGCATCAGTTCGGTCAGCTGACGGCGAAAGATTGTCCGGCTGGTGATCCGCTCATTCTAACGCCGCTGATCCGCAATGGGAATATTTCAGAGGCGCAACAGTTGGCGCGAGTACGTTTGCCGGGCACGGATATTGTCAGCTACAGGTAAAACTTGAAAAACTGACTTTGGTTGTGCAATGTTAGCTAAATTAATTATTTACGTAATATCTAATTTAAAAAATTTAAAATAATACTTTTTTTGGTTGGTAACATTTACTTTTATTCACCTTAATTTGCAGAGACGAGCATCGCTCACAATATATTTTTGGTAATATGTACTTTAGCTCTAGTTGTTAGTGTGTTTGGTGATTTTTATAAATTATTCGTCTGTTTTAATTTCTACTGATTTAAAGAGTTTTTAGACATAGAAGAGTGAAAACAAATTAGTAAAAATTAATATTGTTACATATGTACTGTTTTGCAGAGCCATTTGGTACAACTATGAATTGTGTTACTTATCTTGTGGAAAAAACTGGAAAGCTGAACAAAAATTTGAATAAGTTTTTACAGAAGATTTTTGTTGCAAACGTTCCTTACGGTTTTGGTACATAATGTTTTGTGCCGTTTATTTAGTGGTTATTTCACGGTGAACCAGTCCGACTCGAGCAATCTGTTCTTCTGGTTCTTCCCGGCGGAAGTGGCCGTCCCGGAAGACGCTCCGGTCTTACTGTGGCTGCAGGGTGGACCGGGCGCTACCTCCATGTTCGGTTTATTCGACGAACACGGCCCCTGGTCGTTGACCGCTGATTTTCAGCTGAAGCCGCGTGATTATCGCTGGAGCTTATTAGCCAACGTTATCTACATTGATAACCCAGTTGGCACGGGTTTCAGCTTTACCAAGACGGACGCCGGATATGCACGGAATGAAGATCAAGTCGGCAAAAATCTATACGAGGCCCTGTTGCAGGTATGTACAAGAAAACATCAAGATCTGCAGAAAAGTATTCAACATTCAGTTATGTGTTGTTCCTATTGATCTTTGCAGTTTTATGAGATGTTCCCGCAATATCAGCAAGGATCACTGTATGTATCCGGAGAATCGTACGCTGGGAAATATGTACCGGCGCTGGGTTACACTATCCATGTCAATAATCCCAAAGCGCCGCTTAAATTGCCTTTTAAAGGTTGGTTGTCATTACCCATCTCCGCAGTCTCCTTTTGCAAATAAAGTAACCTTACTCGTAGGGTTTAATAAGTAATTGTTACGGTATGTTACGAACGTAAAATGAGCCCTATTGATGCGCCGAACTTGATTTCTCTAACGTTTTGACCACATTTTTCAAAACGATACTTCTTACTCAAACGTATCGTTTTGAAAATTTCTTAGGAAGTATATGCAATTTGCACGAAATTTTGAAGCTGTTAATACAAGAAAATGGGCAACCCTGTAGTACAAAAACTCTGGAGCATATATTTTCAGGATGTGCGTTTTCCGGAAGCCCATTATATGGTACTTATTGTGGGCACTGTGGAGACCTACATAGCTACCACAGCGGACATTTCGTTTAAGTCTCGCTCCGGTCTGCTAATGCACGCCAACTTGCATTTTTCTAGTTATTAATTGGTTGTTATTAATAATTTGATCCCTTGTCGCTCAATAATCAGTTAGCTATACATTTTTTCCAGAATGGCGTTGTTTCGTGGACTTTTTATTATCTGGGATTTTGTTCTGTGTAGGCATTGCTTTGGGGAACGGCTTTGTTGATCCAGAAAACATGCTGGATTTCGGTGATCTTCTATACAGTCTTGGCATGGCCGATATCAACGAAGCGGAATATTTACGCAACGAAACCCTGCTGATTCAGGCTGCCATTCGGGCAGGTAACTTCCGAGAAGCCTTCAACATTGAGGATCCGCTTGTTGATGGCGATATTTGGAAGTATCCCACTTACTTCTACAATATTACCGGCTCGCGGTTTTATTATAATTTCCTCTTATCTGCTGATCCCGAAGGGCTGGCGTATTATTGGCAGTATGTCAACCAGTGCTATGTGCGGAAAGCGTTACATGTTGGTAACCAGATTTTTGATGGAGGTAAGAAATGCTGACTAGTAATAATTTGTAATTTGTGGACCACAAGAATTGTTGCTGGACTGGGCAATGTTAATTGTAGCGGTATTTTTATAAGTGCATAATACGGTTACAGTAGCACTTTGTACATAATACTGGCTATATGTATCTGTACTTATGATGCCATACCACAAATAACTATAGACATTGATTTTGGTTAAGTGTCTTAGAAGTTAGAACCGAGTAGATAATTTACCCCGTTATTGCCATTTGCGAATTTCTTTTGAGTTAAATTTATTAAATTCAGGGTGTATAAAATTTTATTTATTTTTTTGTCACGATGGCTTTGCTTTTAAATTACGGTAAGTGTAAAGCTAAAGTATCTTTTGCCAAACGAGCAAATTTGTGGATGCTTGCTAATTACTGTAGTAAATACTGTAAGTAAAGCATCTTTACTACCATACATAGATGAGCGTAGAGCGATGGCAGAAAAGCGGCGTAGCTTACCACGTTAATAGTCGTCCACAAATTAAGTAGCTTACGATCTCCTTCTGGTGTTTACGAAGTAATTTTTTTTTGTTTGTCAGGGGTAAAGGTTGAACAGTTTTTGTTGGAGGATATTTTCCAAACTGCAAAGAATTATCTGGTCCCTTTACTGGAAAATTACCGCGTTTTAATTTATAATGGTCAGTTAGACATCATTTGTGCGCTTCCATTCACCGAAAAATATTTGGAACTGCTGGATTGGAAAGGAGCAGCCGACTATAAAAAGTCCACAAAATATATTTGGAAAGTGGAGGATAGCGACGTGGAACCAGCTGGTTATGTGAGACATTCTGGAGAATTTTATCAGGTTGCTGTTCGTCGAGGTAACTGATTTGTAGCGCTGTTTGTGCTACACTGTAAGAACTAGGTTTCTGCCAATTTCTGTATAATTTTACTGGTATTTGGTACATTTCGATAACTTAAGTTGTTCTTGTTATGTATTAACCTGGGGAACATTTTACAGCTGGACACATGGTGCCTTATGATCAACCGCGTTTTGCCTTCGACATGATCTATCGTTTCCTCTACGGCCAAACATTCCACAACTGAAAGAAAAGCGGTGCAACAATTCTGTCTACCTTCCCGGTGATTCTAGAATTTTGTGATACTTTGCTCAAGTTCCTTTACAGTTTTATGTGTCTTCCAGTTTTGTAAATTGTTTTGTCGAATTCTGCTAGTAAGTATTTCGATTCCTTCGTTTATTCGAAATTAGCTTTTGCTGACTTTGAAAAGTTTTGGAGAACTTGTAAAATAAATTGGTGTGCAAGTGGCAGATAATTTTATTGGAGGCAACTTGGAAAACAGTAACACTCTGTTTATAAGAAAATGACGCATTAAAGCCAGAGAAAAATTATAAAATAGACTTTCGATAGCCGAGTAAGAAAGAGAACATGCAGTTGCATGAGTTTGTTCCCATGCTGGAAGTCTTTAGACAGACTAGCAGAGTATGCGCTCTACTGAATGAAAAATCCTGGATACCCTCTGGACGACGTGGGGAATCCCGCCAATCCTGATTTCGCCGGCGCTGCAGCTCCATTTGAGCCGGTGTTAAAACCACTGGACGGACTGTTGAACAACCCATCACTTCGGCCGGTCAAACTCGCACCACTTCCGCTGACTGGGGCGCCGTCGTATCCCATCTGTCCGTATCCGCCGGCTCCCGCAAACCCGGCATTGGAAGCCAGACCCTGTCCATAGCCACCCTGTACCGGTGCCGGGGCGTAATTGGACGTCGTCAGCGGCTGCAGTACCGCCGTGGCGGGCGCTGCATAAAACTGCGGGCCGGTGGCGAAGGGAGCGGCTTCCGGAGCGCAGCGGTTGGCCTGCAGCGTGGCGGCCATGGGGGCCGGGATGATCTTGCAGGCGCAGTAGCTGGGAAAGCGGAAGGTGTCCACGCTGGTCTGCACTTGACCGGAAGCGTCCGTCTCGATGGTGTTTAAGCGGTGCTCGGATTCCCGCTGGATGCAGATGGACTGGTAGGCGGGCGGGATGCCGACGTAGTTGCAAGGTAAACGAAAGTTGTCTACCCTGTATTTGATAAAACAGCTTTTTGACATTATGCCGGTAAATGGAATCAAAAAGTAAGCGTAATGTAGAGTGGTAATTAACTGCGTAAATAAAAATTTAATAGATAGTTCTAGTAAGTTAGTTAAGTTAGTTCTAGTAAGTTATAATTATTATCAGGGTTTATGTAAAGTTTATTAAAAAGTATGTAAAGTTTATTAAAATCTACTTATGTGATTTACGTAAAGTTTATTTTAATTATCAGGGTTTATGTAAAGTTATGGTATGTAGTAGTACGTTAAAGTTCGGCATTAAGACTTACGTGCACCGTTCGATGGTTAGACCCTGGGTGAACGGACCGAAATTGATAATGAAACGCCGCTGACCACGAATGTTTTCGGCTTCCTGGGGATAGATGATGTCCACTTTGGACTGACACAACTGCAGTTGAGGAGCTTGGTTCGGAATGTCGGGGTCTAATACAACATATCGAATATATAGCTCAAGATGGTGAAATTACTTCTGCTGTTTATTTAACAGGTTCTGCATATAAAGAAATACCATCATCGGCTAAACCCGAAGAGCCCTTGGTCGGAACCGCGCCCTTCAAAAACGCCAGCTTTGGATCGCTTTCCAGAGATTTTTTGTTGGTGTCCGTTCTAGGAAAAAAACCATTGAACTAAGCCGGTATCTTACGGAAGAGTACGAAGTATTTATCGAAATGATGACCCTTACAGTGGATAATTCGACGCGTGTTCGCAGAATGATTTTCCGCAGCTGGTCGTAGCCGGTTTCGAGCTTCGTGATCGAGCACTAACACCGGCTTTCTGCTCAACAAGGATTAGAATTATGCAGGAGCACAAAGCAAAAATAGAAAAACCAAGCTTCGCCATGTTTTTGTGAAACGAAACGAAATATCAATGTAAGAAAATGATATTTTTCCCGTTTTAGGTACTAAGTTTGGGTTTGTTTACCGTTCCAACTTGAAATTAAATGAGCAGCTAGATTATCCTGTTTTATATGGTTTTGCGCTTGATATCTCTTTCAGCGATTCCACGTGTATACCCAACCTAACACTTGTAGGTTCCTAAGACTTCTGAAGGTTTTGTTCACAGTTAAAGGTGCGGTATTGTTTGTTGCAGTGATATTATTTTCGAGTGAATGTGAAAGTTTTGAAGTTTACTCTAGCGATACGCATTCACTTCGTTCCGGAAGTGAGTAATGCTTTCTTCGCTGCTCTTTACGAAGCTATAGCTTGAGGCATGATTCCAAACTCGTTCGCTCCCACAGGGTTCATGATTTTTAACGATAGCAGATACTTGACTTCGTTTTTGTGTATAATTACAACATAATCTTTGCCTCGCGGTGAGACGAGTCAGATGGGTGTTGAATCAAATTTACTTATGCCGGTAGCTGAGTCAGCGCACTCTAGAGTAACGAATCGCACATAATTAACCTTAAATCTGTTCTACGGTAATAATATTTTTTGATGATTCTCCGCGTCCGTGGTTAAGTAATTGTACATACAGATTACACGAAGTACCTATAAATTTATAGTTAAATCGAATCTATCGATTCAAGTTTCGTATTTCTAGCCATAAGAACATATAAATATTCTACTTATCAGGTAGCAAAAAAGGTAAAGTAGAAGTACTGATTGTGATTTACGACGACTTATGTGCAAAATTTAAGTGAATTGCAAAATCGCCGTGAACTCTATAGCAACTGAACGAATAAGGCGCATGCCGACGAAGCAGGAAAGGTTATTGCACTTGTTTTACGCAGATACTGTAGTATGTAGTATGTTGAATTAGTATTAATCAGTTGTTCAGTAGTACACATTTCGTTAATTAACGATAAGTATTGTACATGGATACTGTATGTACGTGTAGGCAGCTAACGCTGTATAAGTTGCAGTACTTACTTACAATATTATTAATAAGAATAAGTGCAAGTTCTGTATTCTGCTTTTTGTAATTTAACGCAGATATCGAAACGGAACCCATGCTGTTAGAAAGTGTGGCCTCCACTGCCCATGCACAGAGCTAACTCTTAGCGGCGACCTTTTGGTAATACTCAATACTGGCAATTATCATGTCATACTTCTCACATGCATCCTCGTTGTTTCCTAGTCCTCAGCCTGTTCCATTTATTCCCACCGAACGTCTCAATAAACACTCTACCACTTTCGAGCAGTACGGTGACCTTGAGAAGGGCTTCCCGGAGAACTCTCGCCTGAATATGAGCCATATGCCGGTCACGCGTCAGCCCTACTGGAATACCACCGCCAGTCCGGTGGCAGCAGCTGCATCCTATCCTTGTAATGCAAATTTCAGTCCAACCAACAAGACCACCTGTTCCTTTTGTTTGAGAAATTTTATTTGTTGGGAAATTGTCGACGAAACGTGCAAGCAGTATAGTCGGCTGCAAAAAAGTGTTAAACATAAAGATTAAATCATATGTCACATTATTTCGATTGTAAATTATTATTATGCACAGACCACAGGCTAAAACTGTGGCCGTGAGAAAAGGCTACGAATATTGACTGAAAAGTGAAACCTGATAAGTGATAACCACTAAGTAACCATCAACATTTCCTATCATGAGAGGAAATAAATCTGAGAAGTAAATGATAGTGCAGTACTTCTGTATAAGAGATGGATACCATCAAAATGTACTGTAACCTTTAACAATCTCAATTACTGTAAAAAAAGTGACATGGTTAATTAACAGAGATAAGGTTGTTAAACGGTCGCATTATGTCGCCCGTAAAATATTGCATGTTATTAAAGCTATTGTGTGCATTACTCTTAAATATCCGAATATCGGGCATGTATGATGGCGCCGGGAGTTTTCTTAAGTGCTTATGGATAGTACGCGATGTACTTACTACTCGTGGTTACTAGTATCCGTTCTGGGTGTTCAGGAATTCGAGGCATTGTCAACACAGCTTTCAAGGGTTTCTTACGTTAGCGGGATCCTTTCCGGTAATGCATACACAGAAATCAGCAGTCAAGCATGGCATGGCACTTATGGTTACAGTCGTTTTTGGTTAACACTTAACAGTCGTTATGATTTTTGGTTATTGTAAACAGAACGAAGAAAACGTTGCATCTGTGGTTGGACTCTCGATAAGATGGAGGATCATCAACTAGAAGAAGAAGACCATGCACCGGTCAGTACTAAGCGTTTCAAGAGACCGCCCATGCAACGCGGCATCTCGCTGCCGCTGAATATTTTGCAATATTCCGGGTTTGCCTTTTACGAAAAGGAAATATCATCCTGCGCGGCACGAATAATAGCGTTTACTATTCTATTGTCCGGTTGGTGTCTAGTGGGAATAAGGGTGGCCATGGTGTACCTGCGTTTATATCCACCGAATACAGCAGCAAAGGTCAACCTTTTGGATGCGGTTTTTTTATCGCGATTTCTCGCCATGGCTCTGCGCGGTGTCGCACCGCTGACAATATTTTTCTTTTTGAAAAGACCAAAACTTTCGGAAATATTGGCAAAATCAAATCAGTTCCTTGGCGAGGTATTTTCCCGCAGCGATTCTCTACGCGAACATGTCGGCAGATGGAAACAGCGCATGACCTGGTTGACGTTATACGCATTAATATTTACGGTTGTAACGGATTGCAGCACATGGTATGGAGAATTTACAGCACTGGGTTGGACGGCCACCGACGGAAACGTATTCGCTTCCGTTCCTCTGTTAATACCACCCTGGGCGGCTGTCACATTCTTTGAAATATCCAGTTCATTATCCTATTTTTTATCGGTACTTGTATCCATTTTGTTGATTGCCTGGTCGCTAATGCTGCAAAGCTGTATTGAGGAAATCCAAAAACAACTGACCAAGGAACGATATTTATTGCTCCAATTGAAAGGTCATAAAATGAACAGTATTACGAAAGATGTGGCGGATGCTGGCAATTGTAATGCCAGCGCAAACTCTCTGCGCAGCATTCTGCATCTTCATTCACAGCTTGTGAAAATCTGTTACGAGGTCAATGAAACATTTGGGCTGACCTTTGCCGTGTCGTACGCTTGTGATTTTATTTCGCTGGTCGGATTCATGACGACATGGGTGATGAATCCAGACGCGCTGATGTCGAATATCTCTACGACCATTGCCGGTGTTTTACAGACGTGCAACCATGCGATATGTGCCGGGATATTTCTCATACCTCTTTTCCACATGCACGAAAATGCACGTAAAAAATACCGCCACAGTTGTAATTATTATTACTGTACTGTTTTATTGCACGTGCCTCCACGCAAAATCGAGCAAAAACAATACAACGTAATTTTTTATAGTTACATTCAGAGTATAATATCGTCGCGCTTACAGTTTTGTTATTTTGAAGGCTGTTGCCTTTAAAAGAATCAAATGTTTTGCATTATGATATGTGGGTTATTCCAGCTTATTGTATTTCTTACAGGCGCTAGGAATCCATGAGGGATTATGCCAATATGCTGATGTGGCAGCTGGAACTCTCCAGCGTATGGAGGTAAAACAGTTTTGCGACAGCACGCTCATTGAAAAGTAGAACAGTAAAAACAGTTTAATCAGCAAAAATATGAACCTTAAATTTTGCGCCTATGAGCGCAATGCCACCCATTTCTGGACTGCACAAGAGTACAATACAGACTATACAGCATAACAAAATGCGCGATAAAAACGTTAATTAATATATTTTGCTGTTAAAGGGCAACCATCTCCGAAGAATTTTAAATCTTTTCCTGGAGACTAGCAAGCATCAGCCGATAATGGTGGACGGTCTTCACATTGTGCATGCCACTCGACAGCTTTTTATTGCGGTACAAAAACTGCAGTAGATGCTTTCTTTTTAAATTGTAACCTCTGAGTTGCAGTTTATGTCTTGTCTTTGCGAAATTTAATAAGGCCGGTATAGTAATTACGTAATATTTTATTCGCAGACTTTTTCTATATGCATCTCATTCGTGGTGCTGGCTCGAGAAGTTCTTCAAAAACCCGAGAACACCACCAACACACTGTGGGTCAACACCACCGTCAGCGCGCTAACTATCAACACAACAGCTGCTCATTTTTGATTGGCATCAGTCTCATCAATAAGAATTTAATACGTCTATCATTGCAGCAAATGTTTCTTAATACTTTAATACTAGTGAACTTTTAATAAATGGCGGTCAAACGGCAGTCCAGTACGTGACCTTTTCCAGTGTGGATGGTAGACGCGTTCGGAGAATCGAATCTTGTTTTTCAGTTAGGTATTCGTATCAACTGCCAATTGTGTATTAATATTATTGAAAGACCATCGACCAGTATACTCGTAATGCGTGAGCGTTATGCATTTTACTGAATCCTGGCAAATTTATCGGTAGGCACGAAATCACTCAGACCATCACATAAGCCAAAATGTGTGCATTTTGCCTTTTCCCTGTAAAAACCAGGTTATTGATGTCATTTTTGCGGTATGGGGCAAATTATATATGCTCGAACAAAACGTGATCACGATTTACTTTGATATCGATTTCACCGCGAGGTGCGAATCGAAAACCGGGAGTTTTCCGTGCCAGCTCTTCGGTCGATGCACTAATGTGGATTTTTCCAGCTGCAGATGCCAAACTTTAAAATGTTAGGAAAATACAAGTATTATAATTATGGTAGTTAAAACAGTTCAGTTCTCTACCTTCTCCCGATGACTCCATCCTACTGGCCGTATTTACCGTATCTCCGAATCTGAAAATTTTATGCACAAAAAAAACATCAGAAGTCCAGCCGCACAATTCCGAATACTGCACTTCTTGTGTTACTCTACCAAAAACCTCAGAAAGTCTTACAAGCAATAACGGGGAGCTTTCGTTCCAATCACTCCAGCAACCACCGGTCCTGTGATAGCAAAATTAACAAGGGCCTTTAATTTAATCATTTTGCTGATAAACAATTTTCTTTCGTCTGCTTAATTAAGGCTACAAATAAGGAAATTATACCAGTTAACCGGTCACTTTGTATTTTGTAAAAAATATACATAGATAGTAAAGTAAGCTGAATTGCATACCGGAATTGATTCCAATTCGAAAGGCAAAAACTGTTTGAGAAACACCGGCACTTAGTGTGTTCGAGGCTTTGAGCAACGCTTTAGCAAGTGAGCACAGTTCAGAAGCATGTCTGCCACCGTTACGTATCGGTACTCCGCTGGCAATCTAATAAAATAAAATTTAATCACATTCGCTAAATCGCTCCCCTATAAATTAGCGCTAAAATTTGTCATGCTTAAATCGGTCGCCTAAATAAAGCGTAACACTTGTGGGCGCTGCCAACGAATTTCCTATTTGATATACTCAACGGCGCTAGTAGGTTAATTTTAGTTCTCTAGCTGCAAAATAAACTATTCTTTTTATTTCAGATGGACTTAAAAGTAAAAAGAAAAATTGACATAGGTACAATGGTAGTAGAAGCTTTAAGTAGAGTCAAGGAATTTTAATTAGTTATTAATTTTAATCATATCATACTTACCATATAAGAGTCGTTGATAGTCTCAACTTTATATGCATCATAAAAAGGCACAATCTCATCAAAAGCCGAATGTGTCGCATTTAAAAGATTAACGATATCCATGGGCGTATTCCGCGCCAGAATCTCCACAAACGCCGGGATGTCGCTGAAAAGCAGCGTTACGCTATCGAACGATTCGGCTGGGATGGACTCTTTATTCCGCAGTTGTACTATTATTGACCTACAATTTGCCACCTGTTAATAAAGCCAGCAGTTCACATTTTGCTATTGAATAACCTGGGAAGCATTTCCGCCAGCAGTGTATCCGTTTTATGCATCTCGTCCAGAAGACTTTCGGTCTTCTGTTGCACGGCTTCTTCTAACTGGTATGTCTGTCGATCCAACAGCTTCAGCATGTGCGATACCACATTATCCGGCACAGTGCGCATGGCCTGGAAGGTTTTCCGCATGCGAAACGCCGACGGACGCAGATTGGGTTCCGGACGCAAACAATTCTGTATATCCGTGACCAGGTTGTTTTTGCTGTTTCCCATCCCATCTTTTATCGTGAGCACTAGAAACGAAAAACATTTAAAACATTTCGACAAATTTTTATTTTCATTCTTAGATAATATTATGTACAAAGTACATTTTAGTACGGTTGTACAGATTGTTCCAAACTGGAGCATATCATTGGCACGATGGATGGTAACCGGCATGTGACCTTTCCGATCATTACTCTTATTCGGCATGACGGCATTGAATAGGGTACTGTAGCCGGCTTGGGAAACTTTTAACGTAAACCGGCTGTCAATAAAACATCCGGTTATGGATAGATTTCCGTGGAATTCCAACGGTGAGCTGTGTATAAACAAAAGACCCTGAAAACCATCAAACATTAGTCACGACACCTCATAGCACCCTCGCACCCTCCATAACAGGCACATAGGGAGGAAAACTTTGTAACGGTGTATATTGATTAGCACTGGCGTAACCAACACTCGCTATTATTTTGGCTACATATCCTCATTCAGATCTATATAGCCACGAATGGGATACACCAGAGCCGGCAAACCAGAAAAGACTGACCCAAACCAATATTATATTCTGAAAGCCCGTAGTCGAAAACCCGGCCAGATAGTATTCATTTCTTTCAAAACCTCTCCCGCTTCGAACGCCAAAGCGGTAGATTTTTGACTACCTTCACCAAATGTAACTAAATTATTATACGTAATAATGAGTATTATCAGGGTATTTTTAGCCAGGCAATGTTGCCACGTAAACCAATTAAAATATATCTAAAATAATGAAAGTCATGTCAACTATTTAAACTATCAGAATGAATTTAATTAGCAGACCGTTATTACGACAAGAACGACTATACATGTAACGTTGTCATCGAGGACAATTTCTGCACGAGCGACAGCCGACAAAACTACCGGTAGCGTCCAGTATACGGGCTCGTTAGGCGAGCGGGTGACCGATCTACCGATACTGTCCAATGTGCGGAGCCCGTTAGGCGAACGAATGACCAAGCTACCAATACTGTCCGGTGCACAGAGCCCGTTAAGCAAACGATTGACCAAGCAACCGGTACTGTCCACGGTACGGGACCGGTTCGCTGAGCGGGTGACCAAGCAGCCGGTACTGTCCAGCGCAAGTAGCCCGTTAGGCAAACGAGCTAGCCGGTGACCGAGCTAGCGGGTGCACAGAGCCCGTTAGGGGAACGAATGACCGAGCAACCGGTACTGTCCAGTGCACAGAGCTCATTAGGCGAACGAATGACCAAACTGCCGGTACTGTCCAGCGCAAATGTCCCGTTAGGTGAACGAGCTAGCCGGTGACCGAGCTAACGGGTGCAAAGAGCCCGTTAGGTGAACGAATGACCGAGCTACCGGCACTTCCCAGGCTACGGGACCCGCTAGGGGAGCGGGTGACCATGCAACCGGTACTTTCCAGTGCGCAGAGCCCATTAGGCGAACGAATGGCCAAACTACCGGTACTGTCCAGTTTACGGGACCCGTTAGGTGAGTGGGTGACCGAGCTACCGGTACTGTCCAGTGCACAGATCCCGTCAGGTGAAGGAGTGACCGAACTGCATGCCGGAATTGTCCAGTTTACGGATACCGCTAGGTGAACGGAGGACCAAACAGACAGTTCTGTCCATTGCACAGATTGGTCACATTAACCAGTGACCGAGCGTCCACTACCCAGATTGATCAGGTTAAGGTTCACACAACCATGAATTCAGTTGTGGAATTTATGGTGATTTGAGAGAATCATGAACTGATTTAAAAAAAATCGTACTCGTATAAAAATCAAATCCGTGTTTGTACATAAAATTCGTTTTTTGCGCTAATACGATGTACCGATTAGGCTTCGACGAAATATGTTATTTTAATAAATATTCATTGAAAACTAAATAAAGTGGCCGTTGACCACAAGAAACGCGGAGGCGAAGCCGAGGCTGTTTCTTGTAGAATATATACTGTAGCTAGCGGCTCCACCAAGTTATACCACAGAGTTTGTGCACGGGAAAACGGTACCCAGAGTGTGTGCATTCACTGTGCAGGCGAATGCACGGGCATACACACGCTGCGTGGGTGCAGTTTTCCCGTGCACAAACTCTGTGGTATAACTTGGTAGAGCCGCTACAGTATACGTGATACATAATTAAATGTGATCAACAAGATACGAAACAATTAGAATTCTATACTTGGATAATTGCTTGCCCAGAAGAACTTCAATATCGCTATTGACTGAATTTTTTTGACATCGGAACTGTCAGTATTTGGTGCTATAATGTTTACATACTTTAATGAGGTCGTATAAGAAAGACATGCGGATGGCAAGATCGGTAGAGATATTCTCGTAACCGATGGCATCCAATAAACTTCCGCGCTGACTGAACTCCGCGCACAGGCCTAGGGATGCGACAGGATTGTCGATAATCACTCCATAGAATTTCCCCACATTGACGTGGTTAAGGTGACGAATCTATAAATCTGCTAGTTTTTTGTGATTCAACAACTATGCTGTCTTTCTTCCCAAGATATTGCACATACCGTCAGTGCGGTTCTTTGGAATGGTCGATTACTGAGCAGTGACTTTATAGGCAGTTTCTCCGGCAAGGGCGTTATCATGACCATTTGGTTTTCCAGATTAAGTCCCGGTCCAGTGTAAGTCAAAATGGCGGCAAAGGATTTCTGCTCCGAAATGGTGCTAGTCATGGGAGACAATGCGGTACCCGTGTGATCTAATAACATGTCTTGTAGTTCCTGTTTCTGATGCTTTTTTCTGAAAAGTATTGTTAACAAGCATGTAGATCTCATTTAAGGAGTACTTAAATATCTAAAACTTTCTGAAAAGGGTAAGTAATTATATTTTAAACCGTCAATTTTAAATGCATGCGAGCAATACTAGTGCTTCAAACATTGATTGCCATTTCCCGGTAAAATTGTTTTGTTTTCTATAGATTTATAGCAAAATAAATTTTTCTAGCTGCGCAGAAAAAAATCTGCCCTTACTTTTGCACTTGAAGTATTGCAGCAGTGATGGTCAGAACGCACACTAAAACACCGGCCAATGGTACATAAATCTGGAGTTCACCTGAAATAGTTTAGCGTCAAAATAAATTACTTTTTCGATTGGTATAAGGTGATATTTTAATCAGTATGTACCCAGCATGTTGGGACAATCAGTTCCAGTAAAACCGCAAGTGGGGTGATTGGAGGGGAAATCAGTAAAATTATGCCATTTCCATAGATCGGGGTTCATGATTGTGAAGGTTTTAGTCTCTGTTTCGAAAGTGGCCGCGGTCTACATTAAGTCATAATTTATTTGAATTTAAATCCCGTACTTTACATAGTCCGATGCATATCAGTTAAACCACCAAAATGATTGTTGTGAGTAGACGCAGCTTACTTCGAATTTCCCGGTTTTGGGATTCAACTTCAGAAGCGGAAGCAGGAAATTGGCGGTTCCGGTACTGCTGACCAACGTCGAACTGGATTGTCGGGAATACATTTGATGCCGCAGGGCTTGCGTGACCTGGCGAGCGGTAATTTTCCCATGTGGCTCGGATAAGGATCGATTCACACACTGGAAAATTCCATACAGGTGGATTTCTAAAAGGTCACTTATTCACAACGGTAGTATTGGCTGATCGTACCTCGGCAAAGCTGAAGAGCAGATCGAAAACCAGTGCGGTCGCTTCGTTTTTCTACCAGACAAAACAGAAGCAATAGGATTCGAGTGTGAAAAAACGTACTCAAGGTCACTGTAATAACGTACTCAAGGTCACTGTAATAATAGCTTACCCGATGGCTAGGCGGAATTGTTGCATTGTAGACTTCCGCGGATCGAATTGCAGTTTTGTTGATAAACGTCTCCATTTCGTCCCAGTCAAATAATGTGTCCGCCGAAGCGATTAACGACTGATAGGCTTGGGCTGCTTTCTACGAAAGAGATATAATTTTACCACACCAAACGCCTTTATTCCCGTAAACCGGACAGACTTATTTATAAGCACGGCGTGTAGAAAAAATTATTGGCCATTTATATACATCAATCGAAAATTTTTCCTTGTCATTTGAATCGATCAGGTCACGTCACGAACATTACCGCATCAGAGGCATCCCCGGTTTTCCATTCAAACATGTACGGGCTATCCGGTGTTGGTTGCAGCGCCAACGTCAAGAACACCTGCAATTTAATAAACAAAAACATTTCCCGGTTACAAGAATTGTACGTTTTCATGCACCATAATTTATATATTTCACTTACAAAATCTCCATTGGTCATATTCATATCGTGGGCGGTAATCTGGGAAAAACAAAGCGTAAACACTTAAAAAGCCGGCAAATGTTATATACGATTGTACAAATTTGTGATTAATGCATCGTCAAGTTACCATAAAATCACGCAGCAGTGGAGGATTTAAATATACAATGATAACTGTAAATAAAAAGTAGAGATCACCGGAAGTAAGCTTGGAGAGCATCCTTGTAATTTTTGCCGCGTATGCGTAATCGACCGGCACTTACTGCGAGTGTGATTACGCAAATCCTGCAGTACCTTCCGATACACATCCGTATTGAACTCTTTCATTTCCGAATCAGGTTTGTAGACTTGTTGGACATCGATCTGGTTGTAGAATCCAAACTGCATGAAGAGATTGCAGAAGAGAAACGGCCAACTCATCCCGTTACTGGGGCACCAGAAGCCCAGATTTTTCGTCCAGCCGTATTTGAAGAGAACCGCTGTCAGTGCGCTGACCATGGCTCCGCCCGGAAGTGGGCCCAGTTGCACCATGGTGGGATATTTTTCGAAATGAAAAAGGTCGGCGTTAGCGGGATTGGTTGAAAAGAACATGAAATCGGCAGCTGCAGTCAGCAAAAATGCAAGAATTTACGCAGTCATAGCTTTTTATTGAACAATACAGATAGCATCTACCAGTATTTTTGCCAAATGCGTATGTGCGTAATGCCTGTACATGATTTACTGACGCAGATTATTATAATAATGAAATTATTATATGACTCCTTGTAATACAGCCCTGCCAAGCCAAGTTGGGGCAGTCAAAAAAATTCCTCAGATTCTGCCACTGAAGTCTAGATTTTTTTCTTATTTTTTCCCCTGAAAGTTCATGGTCTATAGCATCTTTTATAATTGCGTTTCTATGCAAAAAGCTAAGACACATGGAACAGGAACCAAATTTCAAATTTCATATCTTTCGAAAAAATCGTGTTGCTTAATGAGAAATCTAGCCTTCAACTCAATAAAATTTTAGAAATTATGGGAGGCTGAGAACTGCAAACTGATAGCACAGTTTTCTAGAGGTCTCTTCCCAGCTTCCGTTTACAGAAAAACATTTCGCTCAAAATGATCCGTGTTCTAGGAAAACACATTCTACGGCAGGTAATTTCTAACATACGAGTCTATGGGAGACTGAACTTGCTGTAAGGTCACCTCGAGCACTGATTATGCAAAGTGACTCTACCATACCGTAATAGACACCTTCTGGGGACCTCAACAGTTTTCAATAAAGGCTCTGTAAAAGTTCCAATTTGTGAATTTTTTACGGGAGCAGTTATTAGCATCCCGAAATTCACTCCCACCCTTTCCCCTTAATCCCTTTTTGGCTACCTACTGGCATACCAAGGAGTTACAGCTTTGATGTTGCCAGATCCGTAATAAAAAGTTACACTAGGAAATGGCAAAAATAAAAACAAACCGATGAGCACAAATATTTTTAAATTTGTTTTTTGCAACTGCCCCTACTTGGCTTGGCAGGGCTGTACTTATTGTCAGGTAGTTTGGTTAATGCGTCCTTTTTAGTGTTGCAAATTAATAGACCCAATAAAAGACGCTGCAAGTGCGTTGGAATGCCTTTAATTTTTATATGCCAAAATATAGTTAATACAAGTTGCAAGTACTATAGATATAATCTCGGCCAATAATTGCTCACACCTAACATTGTAACACAGAACTACGCACGTGCGCCTATTAGCTGGCTTCGCTGCGTGCTTAAAACATGATCGTAATAATATTCGTGTCCTCCTAAATTTAAAAGCCACGTTTAGCCTATATGTAAGTACAGTATTTATATAATTGTTACTTTGACATTTATCAGAAATGACCCGTCGTAGCCAGAAAATCATTAACGCTAAATTGCCTCTGTTTGCCGGTCATTGTTGATCTAAAAGCAAGCAGAATTCAAGGTATTCGTACAAAGTAGTGAATAGTTATACTAAATGAACGGTCGAATTAATAAAGGCAAACTGTAATACGGGCTGTACTAAAACTTTAATACTTCCACGAGTGCAACATTGGATTGCAAACTGCTTGCGAAAGGATGCCCGTAGTTTATAAATATAAATATGCAAGCAAATATAAATATGCAAGCCAAGAAAAGCACTTTTCTACCCTACTCTAGAAAAGGTTGTCGAAGTTACTCGTTCTGCTAATCGTAAATAAATTATTAAAACGCGTACTGCGTTATGGTGCACCATCACAACGTTGTGCGTACAGCATGCATGTGCATTAAAATTAAAAAGGTTAACAAAATGATTTGTTGGATTTAAATAACGACACACCAATAATTTGTATAGATGGTGACTGAAATTAGAGCACTGTACTCGTAATTTTGAATGCGCTCTCTCACTTGCCTGCTGCAAAGTTAGCCAGTGCTGTGTGTGCATCGTTACACCAGTCTAAAAAATAAAAAATTATACTCGCATTATAACTATACCAACGATTAATGCATACTACCTTTTTACCACCTTTTAATATCACGAGAAATTACTGGAGTTGTTGCTTTACTTACCACCGGAAATTACGACAGTCAGATCATTTCCGGCCGTATGACTGAACAGCTCCTGGTCAGTCTGGTACAGTCTGCCGAAAACCGGCAAAATATGATCATTAGCCGGCTCACACTGCGCTTCACCACCCGATGACCAATTATGCACGGAAATATCAATCTGCTTAATTGACAAATTAACCGACAATGCAGGATAAAGATCCCTCCACATTTCGAAGATCACATCGTACGCCGGCTGGACCACGGTGTAACCGAATGTATCATCGTTAGTCAAAATGACCGTTATCACGTTGATGTGGAGGGATGTTGTAGTTTGCAGTACAATTGATACAAAAATTAGTAAACAAATATTTATCAAATATCTTTTCATTGTAACGGCACTGGCGCCGTTACGTCCAACAACAGGAACACACGCCAGATACCAGTTTTGAGTACTGACTGCTCTGGATTATCCAGAATAACGCAATTCGGATGCGGTAACCGGAGAACATGTGCAGCTGGCATCCCGTTCGGCGAATACCGGTACATTGTTGCTGTTGCTGACGTTGAAATAATCACTTGATCGCTGCTTATTATTGTTGTTCCCCATCCTCTCATTGACTATTGAACAAAATTAAGTGATCTTTATACGTCTGCTCACCGATATTACATCGATAAGTTCCCACGCGTATGTACAACGCATCCTGTTCTCATTGACTAAGCTGTAACCTTACTGAAACGAAGTTTAACCACAGTACAAACACAAAACGCCTGGAAAAGTGTTGCATGCAAGATTTGTTTGCTGCGGGCTGGCTGGAAAGTATCTGTACGGTAGTACCGCATTATTAAGTCAATGCACTGCTAGAAATCATATAATAAAAGAGCATACATATACTTTACTTTGTAGTTTGTACTGCAAAGTGATATCAAATTAAGCACGAATAATACTGTGCCGCCGTCACTGCTACAAGCAAAGTTTCGCTGGTAAAAGCGTTTTTAAAAGCGGCCCGCGCTTTCATCGGTTTGATGTGTTCGGTATATTGATTTCGGGTTCTTTTGATTTCATCTGAAGCACCCGTTAAGGCGGAATATGGCGCCAGATAAAACAGAAATACTAAAATTTATGCCTGAATGAATATTATGCTGTGCATTACAGCACCTTTTAGCCTGCGCTTCCGCCGGTACTTTTTGTCAGCCGTAATTTGTTGCATCATTTTTAAAGCCTTCTGGGGATTTGCAAAATGAAAATCGAAAGAAATTTTGATATTGAAATAGACGGGAAACCAAACAGATATGGAACCAGAGCGCAGCAGTGTTTGGACTGCTGGCCGGCATGGTATGAATAATTACATAGCAGGAATTACAATTTTTTAAAGACGAAAGCACACTTCCATTCATATGAAGGATAATCAAAATTTTTGAAATTCAAACATCTCCCGACAATAAACCAACAATGAAACTGCTTGCGCCAGTGTCGATGCAGCAAAAGAGAATGATCTGATTTGAAAGCTATTCTCTGAAACATAGTGACCGTTCAAAGCTACAAAGGTTGTACGTTTAACGAAAGACGCAATTTTATGGTTAAATTTTGATTCGTTTTGTGTTAACTGCAACAGTGTAAACTGCAAACTTAGTATATGAGTTAGCTTTTTTTTAACAATTTAGAAAAGATGAAAAAAATTTGTAAAGTCTGCCTGCAATCGAATTGGCTAATCTTACAGTTTAATTCCGGTGTATTAAAATACCACCGAACCAGTAAACCGTCGACTCAATTCGAATACAGTATACGTATCATTTAAATACAAGCACAAAGGATGCTGGAGAGCGTAGAACTAAAACCGAAAGGGAAAACATTTACGGCTCCATTTTTACCAACATAAAATAAATATGGCAGGCAATATAATTTCGCCAAAAAAATAAGTTTTAGACAAAAAATTGGAGATGCGGGGTATCGATCCCCGTACCTCTCGCATGCTAAGCGAGCGCTCTACCATTTGAGCTACATCCCCGTATCGGTACTATGAACGTATACACTAATAAACGAATCGATAGCAGCCGTGGGCTATCTCACTAATTTGACAAGTACGTCTAGGGTAGTGTTTATCAGAGGGAGATAAGTACAGTAGTAAAATTAATTTTGCTCGTGAATTAGTTTATAGTACAGCCTGTATAAACTGCGTACGATATATAATACCATTTACCAAAAAGTTGAATTAAACCAGTAAAGAATACAGATATAGTGACCAGTGCGGCGCTGTATTTTGGTTTGCATTGTGAATAAATCATCCAGAAAAGAGTGCAGTGCATCATTAATACAAATTTGTATTAGACACCATGCACAATGCTGCTGCTTGACAAAATCCTCAATTTTATGTACAAACTACTAAGTATTTACTTACTATTTCGTATTTTACTCGTTGAATATTAGAATGCTCGTGAGGTCAGCGAAGGCTGGTTTATTTGACACTTGTGCCGTCATACGTTACTACCGCAAAAGCTAGTTCACGATTTGTCAGAACGGTCAACGTATTGTCAACCGTCATTTCCAAACATTAAACAGCCATTTTCATTACTTTGATTAACTGTTTATGATCTGTGACGTTACCACGATTTGTGAAATAAAAAAGTATACCTTTCATTACGATTTTCTATGAACTATGTTAAGAACTATGAGCTTCAGTAAGTATTTAGAAAGGTGTAAATTACTCGCGCATATAAATCTTTGAGAAAATATCGTAGTCATTATTCAATCTTACAAAACAACAGTTCATCGCACGCAACGATGAAACGTAACAACCAGGACGAAAAAGTCAAAAAGGTACAAACACTGAACGGTGAAACAAAGCTTTCTTTATACAAAAGCATGGACCAACCAACAACAAGTTTCAACCATGGCCATTTCAAAACATTTCAACCATTTCAAAACATGCCAAACAAAAGCTCCAGTTTCAATGTACCAGAAAATGGGATAAAAAACGAAATGGTCGGAGCAACGTTTCAGCCGTGGAAGGAATTAGACACATTTCTGCCCAGCAACATCGCACTTTGATCCTTGAGGACAGCAGTGTAGGCCATCAGAACAGCAATCAGCCTGAAACAAATTAATAAATTTGTATGTACTTACACTGTAGGCAATAGTATAAAACTTATCACAGCAGTTTAGGATCATTAAAATAATGGCGAATATTACGTAGTTCTGTATTTCATAAATCATGTTACATTATTACAGAACATTACTATGAATTTCAACACTATGTACTCTGAACGTTAAGCGCTCACTACTGAATGTTGATGCTTACCATTAGGTACGTACAGACATTGCATGTATAAGCTTCATATGCGATATTTACTACACTTAAAAATTAATTAAGCACATGCAAAAATATCAAAATCATATCCTGCAGGTTGAACTACGTAATTTCAAACCGAGTCATGCAGCGAAAGCCGCTCCCCGCAGCGGCAAGCCTGGGTTAATAGACAGTTTTTAAATAATGCATAATTTAAACAATGAAAAAACATTACAATTAAATCACCGCCTACAATAAGCAACAATTCAACTACATAAATCCCTTTAAAATATTCTAACTTTACCTTGGCAAAGGCGCAGCATCCGTACTTCCCGGATTTGAGTTGACAGCAGGTGGTCGTGTCGGGACAGGGATGGTGATCAGGACATTCATTTTCGGTCACGTTCCGGTAGGGTTTAATGGCCAACCTTGAGTGCTTGACTGGCTCCCTCCAGTGCAATCGGGTAAAGAACCCATTATTCACTGATTTCTGACAACGTTGCTTTTCCAGATCACACACAGTATCTTTCGGACAGCAGTGTAGTTTATCCCTGGAATACCAAAACTTAATGTAATAAATTCACGAAAAGCACCGTCACAAGAAAATAAAAATAGGGAAATGTAAAATACCATCCAAAGCAAAATCAAAAATGAACACACAAAATTAGCTTTAGAGACTTCACTATTCCATTCATACATTGTACCACTACCAAGGTGCCACTACCATGCAACTGAAACATGCAAATGCAAATATTATGTATGATTCGAGAATAAATTAAGTATTTCACTTAAAATTTAACTGTGCAGTTCCGTAAATATCTATATAGAAATTTTCCAATTAACAGTATCACCGGTAAATTATTACCAGTAAATGTTGAACGTAATGCTATACCTTAGTTAGCGAGTTTCTGGGCATTATTCATGTATATCACCAGTAAATTCGTTAAACGGACAATTTCGAATATTTTTTCGTTAAAAATATGACGTTTTTGTAACCGTAATGCAAACATATCGTTTACGAAGAAACAAACAAATATAACAATTTTTAATTACAGCAATAAATGCAAAAACAAATGTACACCCACCACACCTTAATCACACAATACTTCACCGAGCCTATCATATTTTGTTTTGTTTTGTACTGCCCAAGGTATGCTATCGAAACATTTTCACCGAACTTACGAGCAGCAGATGGCCGCTTCAAACGGACAACATCCCCACTCGCCGCTGGCCATCTGACAGCACGTGCTACCGTCGGGACACTCGCTCTGGTGATCCTGACACTGTACACTATCCACGGCGCTGGCGGTGGTGTTCCACAAGAACTTCTCCATCATGGGCACGAAGAGGACATACTCGTTGGTGTACTGTTCACTGGAGCAGCGCTGTTGGGTCAGATCACATTTGCTGTTCTTCGGACAGCAGTGTACGAGGTCCGTGCAGCACACGGCCTCCGGGAAGGGACAGCATCCCCACTGTCCCGATTTCATCTACAGTAGATCAACGCAAAACGTATACACCGTTGTCAGCCCCATCTTCCAATTTATGCTTTTGGATTTAATATAGTTATACGACAGACTGTAATACAAAATTTAGTACAAAAAATAGTTTATTGATAACATTAACCGTTCTTTATATTTCGAAATAAAACAACAACTACAGAGTACAACATCAGAACGCTACGTTTGATCGGTTTAATGCTGCGTTTAATGATTAAAGCCCTTCATCGTAAATGCAGTCAGCTGTGCAATTATTGATTAATCCTAAAATATGAAAAAATTACGAAACGCAACGGCTCAACTCGCATCATGATGTATTCTTCAAATAAATTCCAACCCAGCAGAAAAGTAATTCAACGGTGAATTTCTAACAGATTAACTAAAATTATAACCTTCGAATTTTTTGAATTTACTGTTTTGTATTTTTAAAATTATTGTACTGAGAAACGATAAGTAAGTACTCCGTAATATCTTGTTATTAGCACGTTCTTCGAGAATTCTTGATCAGTTATCGCATAATTTCTGCCACCCACCATGCAACAAGTTGCAAATTCCGGACATTCCGATCCTCCAGGACAGACTATCGCCTGGTGGAATTTTCTCTGCAAAGAGAATTAAGACAAATGTCACACCCACATCCCCGCTGCTGCACCTTGGCGTTTCCTCACGCGCACCATCAGTACGGAGATTTCAGGAATACTCCGCAACGGTGCGAAAACAACAACTATACTTTGACTGAATTAATATACTAGTATGCCTTGGGCAGTTGGGCCCATAGTCCATTAGTCCATAATGCAATACTGACCTGTTAGTGACGAACACAATTACCGACAAACGAACACAATTAGTTACAAACGCTGTAACGAATTTACGAACCTACCTCTTTTATGGCTTTCCAAGGAATACCTTCCTGAGAAGGCAACACAACAGCCTCCGTGAGGAAAACAGTAAAGATGAAAGTCACAATGAGCAGCATATTGCTACAATGGGATAATTGGACACTGGGCAAATGTTTCTCCAGCTGGCATGCAGCTACTCACGGCAGCGCAGATAACTCAAACAAATCACAATTTCCAGAACAATGTCGTAATTGAGAGAAATGACAAGGCTCTTTCAAAACGGTTATGAGAACTATCTGTAATACAGCCCCCAGAACAACAATCATCAAGAAAGGAAAACTGATATGGAACCTCGATAAGACAGCTGCACGGGTTGTTTACCTCGGTCGGAGTCCGCTGCGAATGCAGACAAAAATGTTCAGTATGCAGTCTATGAAGGGGGAATCAACGGATGCCCCAATGGTTAGCCACGGCGATGGGGATATAATCCCGATTAAAATGCCATCGTCTCACGCCGCCACTTTTCGCAAAACTTAAAGAAAACATTTTCATTCATTTCAACCAGAAGCGAAGCTAGTACATCGGTAGTATGGCTGCCTTCCAAGCAGTTGAGCCGGGTTCGACTCCCGGGCTTCGCATTTTTTTGTTTTTGAATTTTGAAACTTTTTCAGTCTTTTTGTCGTTCTATTATTTGAAATAAAGTATGAAATTTAACAACGCTGAATTCATAGTATACGTATTTCAGATTAGCTGATCATTAGCAAAACGAAATTTAGCGCCTTTTTGCACTTCAGCCATGACTATTCTAGTCGTCTGGTTATACGTGCAAGTTGATTTTGCTGTTACCAGTATGTATTAGCCAGTGCATTAATGCTCGGTATTTCTAGCGACTTCTGTGTACGAGCAGGCCTAACGCATTCATTATTCAGTAATGTGCAACTACTTTGCTTAATTACAAGTATCTAGAACCTCATTACCACCAAAGTTGTAAAGGTAAGTACTAAAATATTATAATTTATTTATGTTAACATATATGCGTAATGTTTATATTATTATTATATGCATTACTAAAATATGCATTACTAAAATAATAATTATAATTTAATCATAGTTTTCGATTATTATGAAATTAATTAGCTCGAAACTGCCGCAGTAAGCTTTTTATTTTGATACAGGACATCACGTTTACCGTACAGTTACAAATTTTGTATTTAAATCTAAGCGTATGAACGTTTCAACGTTAATTTACACACATGTGACGTCAAGCATTGCATAATAATATAGATTATTGGTCAAATATCAATAATGCTCTTCCATGATTTTACTAAAAATATTACATTCTTCATGGAAGCCGCTCACATGGTGCGTGCTGATTACGAGTAAAGTACGGCACAGTTATTAGAAACGCGCTAGCCTAGATAGAGCTGAACAGAAAATAACACAGCCAGCAGGAAAATCATCCCAATCAGGAACGACGGTGTTTAACACTCATGGGTAGCAGCGCCAGCTGTAGGCTCTTCCTTCGCTCCAGAGTGGCATTATTAAGGTAATTTATGATTTTCTCCTTGCACGCCGCATAAGTGGCGCACTCCAGCATTTGCCGATTTGGAGGCACAAATCGCGGCATAAAGCCGTTCATGAGACTGGCGGGAATTTTAATGCGTCTTGTGGTCACTGACGGCTTGCGTGCTAGAAAAAACAATTAATTGTATGATCATGCGTACATATATATGCAATACTATCCACTTAACAGCAACTTTACTTGGTTACAGTATACAGTAAACTGCTTACTCGTAGTTATCTGAAAAAGTTTGTTGAAGTAATTTTTGAAACTGCTCTACACTGTAATTGGTTGCAACGACTGTCATTGAGTAAGAAAAAGTTGAAAACAAGATATGCAGAAACCGATAAAACATTTCACTAGGTGAAATTTTCACCATTTAATTATTCGATTCTGCTTCTAATCCGACCTTTTCTCATTTTGAGAAGACTACCCAAATATTATATATGACGGTAATTCACTAGATAATGTAGAAGTTTTTGATAAAAACAGCTTAATTTGCATACGATAATTATTTTATTATGAAAGCGATAACCCAACTAAAAATTTACAGTTAATCAAAACAAGACCTTAATTGCCAATAAAACTGAACCCCCTCTAAAAAGTAAGACGGAACTACAAGGTTCACTGTGAATTATGGCATAGATGCATATAATATGTTCTTCGGCTAAAAGCTGATGAAAAAAAATGCTATACACACTGTCCGGTGCTGTCTGTAACTGCATCAATGCTGCAGTACACTAAAGGTCACGGGTACTTACTGGTTGCCGGAGGAGGCACGGCAGCGTAGACGGCATCGTTGTTGTGCTTAATGCCCATTTCCGGGTCGAACAAGCGCAAAGCGAATCCCTTGGTCACATACGGAAATAATATTACCAGAAAAACAACAGCGATAATCTGCTGCAGCTGCGTGGACTCCATGTTATCCTCATACAGCATATAAGGATCGCAACGCAGTATATAATATAGTAAATTATTCACTACTAAATCAAATGATCAGTTGTAGAAGCGTGCACTTCGACTAAACCACAGACCAGGTCAAAGGTGCACCTTAAGGAAATTAGGAAAAATTCATTCAAACCTAGCCGTGTTCAATCTTGCCGGAAGTGTGGAGACAGGAAGAGATGCAGAGGAGTAAGTAGACGACGTTGCTCACTGCATCATCTGAAGAGTCACTATTCTTTCGTCAAAAGATTAAGTACAAAGACTGCAGTTTCGTGCCCAGTGCCGGGTATATGTCAGGATGGAAAGGCGGGATAAAATGGATATGGACGGGCATATATACGCGGCTTGCCGAGGATGATTGAGCAACCGGGCCTAGGGTGTCTGTCTGCGTTCCCATCTTCTACCGGCTAATTACGGGAAGTGATCCCAGTTGGCGTGAGCAGCTTAAAAGCAACTGCAACGTTTAGTCCCGTCCCTGACACGCGCTCAACACCGACCAACGACGTGGATATTTAATTACCTTTACCAACGCATACGTATAATAATTGTGTGTACAAGAGATGCACTTTTTACCTTCCTATAATTTAATTCTGTACGTCGATAAATGATTTATCTTTTTGTTCCTTTGCGCAATGCTCCAGTTTTCAGAGCGTAACTCTGCTGTTTTCATTGATAAAACATTTCGTTGTTGGCACACAGGCTCTACTAGGATCTGTAATAGTATTATGACTGCGTAATATCTGTTACGTGGGTTTGTCAGATAAGAACGAAAACATTTTTATTCCAGCTTTTTATCCCATCCGCTTTGTACAACAATATTGTCCACAATTAAACGTGGTGCTTAAAATTATGAGCAAAATATGGATTCCAAAACAGATATCATTCCGAAAGAGAATTATTATCATTCGCACAAGCGAAACGCTGGTGCGCTCCGGTCTGCCAATGCACGCCAACGTGCATTTTTTCTAGTTTAGATATATTGTTAATTAATAGTTTGATTATTAATTTCTTTTTGGCGGTTTACGCAGTGATGTCATGAATATACTCGTACGTTTTAACTCACAATCAGAAAAACTGGCGGTATACGTTGCAGGTTTACGTATCTGCTATCCACAAATTAGGTTTGCAGTGGTCAGTTTGCACAGTGCCAGACACTGTCTGGCATCTGCGTGCTATTCCTTTGAAAAGAGTCCACAATAATGCTGTTTGTGCTTCCGTGCCTTGGTAAGCGATAACCACACTTGTGTGATCAATTTTGTTACGTGGCACACGTAATAACCTTGGAGCAAGCACATAATACGTTCGTAGAAGAGCGCTAACGTAATGTTGCCCGAATTCATCTGGCCGGGCTTTTACAAAGCCTAAAATTAGTGCGGGATATTTTCAATTGTTTTTTGGAACCACGTCTGCGTGATTACATATACACTGCAAGAACGAAATTGGTATACATGCATCTCATTTGGACATAACATTAATCTTGGCTAGGTTCGCAGTACTACTTGTTGGTCTCGCGATCCTTGCTTACGCAGGACCTATCAATTGTTCCCGCCCCGTCCCGCCGCTATTTCCAACGCATATATTATCTTAAAAGAAAGCGTAAAGGTCGCATGTAATGGCACTACTTTACGATGCTTTGTCACGCATATACGTAGTGTGACCCCACAATTTACGGCTTTTTATTCCCAATAATCTTCTAGGGCATAAATCACGCTCAGACTAAGGGTGTTATTGCAAATTTGTTAATAATAATAGCAGCTCCCTACAGAAATGTACATACTTAAATATATCATATATGGGAATTTATTTCTCCAAATGATAGCTTGTCATTCATGTTTTTCGATACTGTCGTCACGAAGAGTGGCGATGATTTGGTATTGTTTGTTTGATAGGGTTTTCCAGTGCTACCGCTTCTGTGCGTTGGGCATATTCCACAAATACAGTACTTTATACATGTTTAATATATAGAGTAAATAGAAATAATTTAACTATCATGCAGCTGCATTAACCTTCTAGATCTTCAGCCTATAGTCTCGCTGATCTTTGATTAATTGGAGCAAACACACCCCCAGTCTGATTAATTGTGCAGTTAGATAAACTCAATGCCAAATGCCAAAATGCATTCGCAAAGTCCGCACACATGGAACTCTGCCCTTGAAAATTTTATTAATGGTATTTAACTGTGGGTATCCCGGAAATCCATGTAATGAATGTTTCATGAAGTTCAAAGAAACTGATTGGCCAGAGTGCTGTTTTCACGGATACCACAATTACATTATTGTTTATTTAGACTATTTATACACAACAAATTTTAAAAACCATGCAAACTGTTGAACATCGAAGTAAGCTGTTAAATTCTCAATGCTCATACCTCGAAATATGCAGCTACATGCGCTGCTTCTGTGTTTGTCAACAATTAATAGCAACTACATTAGCAGCGAATATGTTTGTTTTCTGATCTCTAGCATTTTTCAGTTAACATATCACATTTTTAGTAACATTTTCAAAATTAAAACTGTGTAAAAAGTGACGGTAAAACCGTTTGGATTTACTGTTATAATATAAAATACTTACACGTAGCTTAATTACTTACAAATTTAAAGCAATATGCCCTATGCCGGGCTTCCATGCTTTTGGCTAACTTCAAGAAAACGCAGTAATTGTATTGATTTGGTTCACTAATATTATTAGATACGAGTAGATACACCCTAAACTCTTTTTCGGATCTTTCCGGTAAGAAGAGCATTAAAATGGCAACAAGTTTTCGTGTAGGTTAATAGTACCGCAGCGTAAACAACGCTGTTGAGGTTTTATTTTTAGATTTAAGTGCTAAAGAAGTCACATGCAGCACAAAAGAGTGCTTGCTACCGACGTCCGCAATTTCGTAAGCGCAGTTGTATAACCTAATGTACGTGCGCGAAGAGTTTCTTGGTGTGTACGGACGGTACTTGACATTTGTTATCGGAACACTTTACTTCGTCACTAATGAAAAAATGCCAAGGGGCTAATGATCATTAATCTGTATCGGTTGTTGGTTATCCTTTGGCTTATGCACGATCCACCACAATTAGACGTGCCAAAAATGGGAATGCGTCAAGGGACATAAGTTACGCACTTTTACTGCAGCAGTTCTATGCTGGGCAGTGTCTGTTGCATTGTCACACCGAGTCACACGGACATTTGTTGCCAATATTGACTAAATGACTACCTAAAAAAACTATTATCAATTTTCCACAGGAAAATGAAGATTTACAAACTTTTAGATTAAAATATTTACGTACAACCTTCGGGTTCGAGCATTTGGCTCTACATGAATGATTCATTCATACCAGTACTTTAAGGTCGTTCGCGTCTCCACCCATGTGGCAAATGTGAACACGCTTAGCTACGAGGGTCACTCAGAAAGTAATGATAACTATCGCACGATTTTTTATTGCATCAGCGCTTTCCTCGTATTTTCTCAAAATACTGCCCCTTCATCTCTATGCAACGCAAACATCTAGTCTGCCACTCATCAAACATTTTCGAAAAGAAATTAGGTGGTAAATTAGAGATCGCTGTATTGATATTTTCTTCCAGTTCTTCATCATTTTCAAACTTTTTACCACGTAACAATTTCTTCAACGTTGGGAAAATCTTGAAGTCGTACTTACCGAATGGGTCGTGAAAGGTGAGCACACAGCACACCATGGGGAACAGGATATACACCACCAACAGCGAAAAGGTCATGCTCTTACAGCTGTCTCAGCAGGCTTATTATCGACTTCCCATAAGTATGCCACTTATACATATACATGTAGTAAAAAATCTTTGTTTGCTTAAGATGTGACTAATGTTTATTAGGATATACACATATATGCCATTGGACTGCGAAAGTGGCAACCGCAAATTTTCGGATTGGTCGAGCTGCACGGCCTTATAGTTACTTACATATTTTCAACCGAGTTACAACTACAAAGATTCGCGGCTTTTATATACATACAACAAAATGATTTTTGTGATTAGTTAACGTTGCCGGACTGCTATCGCTCAGTTAAACTTTGCGCCATTTTTTGGTTAATTAACGAAGCAGACATCAAAAGCTCGCAGCTTATGTTGCAACATTAGTTACTAAAGTAGATCAAATGATTATACGTGATAACAGGAACGCCCGAAGGTCTATACAACGCCAGGGCCTTTATTGTGCATAACATAATATTATTATTGCGTAAACACCAAACAATTTTGCGCACGTATTCACGTTCATCCAGCGCGAAGATCATTTTGTAGTTTATTATAGGCTAATTCTATCCTTTCCCCGAGCGCACGATTAGCCAAGGCAGTTGATTGTTTATCCAATACCATGCGCTCCACATATCCTATCAACAACTTTTTGCACTCAAAGTAGTTGACACTGCAGTCTGTCAACGGGTTTTTCCGGCGCGGCAGTAAATGTCCTGGCAATTGGGGAGTGCCGGTCGAAAGGACTTCCAGGCGTTCTGGTATGCGACTGCGTCGACTATCCGGAATGCCGGCACCTGTGGAATTAGATGCAGGCAAGAATCAAGAAGCTGTTTACAAATATATTAACGACTGAAATTAAAAATATTACGAGATTTTTTTTCAACATTAAATATTTGTTTGAAGCAGAAATGAAACGTGCTGGTAACCACGTATTGTGTGCATGGTACAAGCCGGTGCATGGTATCAATTAAAAAGAGTGCCAAACAATCGATTTCATGAATATTACACAAAACGCTGGACAAAAAAACGGATTGAGGTGAAGTAGTGTTATTACTGATTACGTCGTACTATAAATTTTATAATACTTACACACAACTGCGTGATACAATTGGGCGTTGTTATAATGATCACCCTTCTCTTAAGTTAACAGGTACGGGTTTAGAACACATTCAGCTGCACCGGCAAAAGATTGGTATTCATTTTATTCTACAGTGTATATATAACTTGCAAAATTAGTAGATTTTCAATATATTTAAAATATTATGTTTAAAGGTCAAACAATTAAACCAGTATATAATTACCAAAATGTCAGAACATACCAGAATCCGACAAAATGCGCAGCGTAGGAGAACTACGGATGACTTTATCCATAGTATAGCTATCCATGGGATAAAGCCGCAAAGCAAAGCAGTCAACGCAATTGCGTAAAACCGCCAGGATTATCAATAATCCATACAGAAGATTGACAATATTCACATTGTGTTGATTGTGAATAAATATAATGACCATATTTACGGCCGGTGAACGCCACAATACACTGAATCACCACCGTGAGCATTTACAAAAGGTCGCCAACCAGAATAATTATCAATTAACCGGCGGATGTGTGTCAACGAGGCCTGACGGGAGCGGCGTGTAATGCGGTATTAAAAACATCACCTGTGTCTTCCTGTACTGAGCTGCATCATTCGACGCTGATCCCGTACAATCGTCATTATGTGTCGATATTTATTCTATGGAAGTTATGTACGCGTACGCCGGTGTATTATAAACGGCGGCTGTTTCTCTTGCACAGTTTCCCAGCAATCCCGCACCTTATTAAAGGTTTATTTGCAATCAATTAGACCACTACAGTTTAATCCCGGTTGTGTTACCTTAGGCTAAAATAGGCTTACCGCGCTGGCTTCCGGTCTCGGCTTGGCGGGAGTGGAGCAGAAAAAGGCGTGCTACACCACTCTGTATTGATACGTATTAGGTAAATAATGGGAAGACCGACGTAAGGAAATTAAGTCAGCGATGACGTGGTCGTATTATTTCCCGAACTGGAGGTGTACCTCGTGCATGCAGTTTTAATCACCGGTTCATGGTCGATGGAATAAGTACGTTGTCTTTACATACGTTGTTACTTACAAACGTTGTTCCTTACAAACCGCGCGGCATGTCGGTCATTTGTTATTAAAGGAAGCAATCCGAAGAAACCTTCTGTACGACCGTGGTGACTGATCACGTAAGGTTCTGGTAATACACTAAACATACATGACTAATTATTAATATCCCCTTGACCATACACCGTATAGTTTTAACCAAGCGAATTTTTCAGATTTTTCAGCAAACACTCAGTGCGAAGAACTTAAAGTTATGGTAATAGTAAAAATACACATCATGAGTTCTTATTTTTAGACTTTTATCACTACCTTTTAGAATTATTACATGTTTCATGCACCCGTAATTTTTGTAAAGTGTCTTCGTGTGAAATATCGCACTTATCTGCCGAACCACTCGTAATGAGAAGCACATCCGCTAGAACCATTACACTATATAGCGCACTGCATATCCGACCGTGTGTCAAAATTGACAGCCTTCTCACAATGTGAACGATCAGTGAATGTTCCAATATCTTTGAAAGTTTGACATCAAAACGCCCAGATTACATAATTACATATTACTTATTTAGAAGATCAAGTCATTAAGGTTATGAATCTTGCAGAGCTACCTGGCAAAATAAATTTACCTAATAAGGCATATTAAGGTAGCCACGCCGTCCCGCAACTTAATTAAAACAAACGTGACCTTTACATATCTCAAAATCCACGCTTATGTATTAAACCTTTTGTTTGTTTCACCCATTGGCTTTTCATTTTCCAAAAACGCTATCGCTTTGCAATTATGCATATTTAACAATTACCATACACCCTTTGGCTTGCTACTCTAGGTCATAAAGGTCTCGAAAGCCCGCCAGTTAATCTGCGGAATGCCATACAAACGTTCCGTCACCTCGAATGACGCACTATCTATATTAACTTACGCGGAGTATAGCGAACAAGATACTTTTGTAGTTGTTTCGCGGTTAATTTCCACCCAGGTGCAAGCCAACATTTCCTGCTGCAAACGCCTAACCTTGAGTGTAGGCGAAGTCTGACCTTTGCTTTGATTGTCTCTTTTATAACAGACACAGGCGGATTCATGACGATTATAATTTTCTACATTTATAGCATTCCGGCTTACGCTTATTAGTAACCGTCAAATGGTAGAAGCGATTCAGGACGATGCAGGCGATGCTGTGTGTGCCGTGACATTTCCGTTTGATAGGGATCCCCGCCCTTAGTCACTCCCTATCTGTACTCCCCAAACAGCGGAGACGTGCAGGGGAGATATATGCCCGGCCTTCAATGAAGTTATCGTCCCGGTTAGCAGGGTCTAAGGTCGAAAAGACTTCGGTTTCGAACACTGCATCGTATACAGCTGATTCGGCCGGTAGACAGCAAATTAATCGCTGAATGAAACTTTGCTGTTGCAGTACAGACTGTTTTTATCTTTAAAATTTTAAATCGTATAGTACGAGTATATGCAAGATGTAGCTGGCTAGATCCAAAACTTAACATGAAGTAGGGGATTAATGCTGTGTACTACAAAAATTACACATACGACGGTAAAATGGTAACATCGAACCGGTCGGACGTCGAATATCCCATGAAATTATGGTTGCACGTAATGTGTTTCTTTGTGCTATGAATTACAGTGTTATGCGCAAAAAGAGAAGATGCAAAGAAAGTGATTATAAAGCCTTTTGCGTAATTGATAATACGTAGTGCATAGAGGTCACTTAAAAATGTACCAGGCCTTACATAAATATTATTGTTGCATCTTTAGAACGTGCACAACATGTAGCACATTTTAATAACTGCATCCATGTTAACAATTCTTGTTAGCTTGCAGATGCTTCCAACATCATCCTTCGACACCGACAAAAACCACTGTATTAATAATTAAGTAATACCTTTTTTACATGCCGTTTCTTATCTTATCACGCAGTTGTTTTTCCCAGTATTATTTGCTACTGCATTTACAATGTCCCTGCGAGAACCCATGATATACAGATACAACACATGACCTTAACCCAACTCATAAAACAGTACTTATCACCCAACTCATAAAACAGTGCGCTCTAACGGACCTCGACCAACAGCATGTTCAACAACGCCCAGATCAACGCCCAGATATTTACAACAAACGCCCAGAACATGGTGTTGGTCCGTTAGAAGCGCATGTATCACTGCGACGCATTTTAATTTTAGGATCCCCTATTTTCAGTAATCTTAAACTTAGAGCACCACGTTTTGGTAACGAGATAAAACTAACTTAAAAGTTGATCCGGGTCGTAAAGACTTGCACTTTGATAAATTTTGATTTCTGTTTTCATAACTGGTATATCTTCGCTTTTGATTTTAGTGAAATATATGCATTAATACAGATATACATATTCTACTCTAGTGACCGAGTAAGCAGAAAGCAGAAGGAACGGTCACAGAAGGTAAATTAGTTTATCCATGTATTGCACATAAACGTATAAAATATGTATTGTATGTAGTCTGTATACGACATGTTTACAGAAAGATGTTTCGCTCATGATCACAAGTCAGCGGAAATGGCAATGTTTGGCCATGGTATATAACGCCGACATCCAGGTACCTTGCCTAGGGTAGATCACGATACTGTCCTTTTGTAAGCTCCATATAAATTTTACGGAACTTTTTACTCTTGAGCTCTTTTAAAGCTGGAAATGAACCGCAAGAATTTTTTAATTCGTTGGAAAACTAGAAAGCTGAGAAGCATGCAGCGACATGGTCTTGGTCCAAAACTGCCGTCTTATTCGTACGCTAGGAACGTTGAACGTAGTAACGTAGGTATGCCACATCAGGATTTTCAAAAGTAGATGAGCTATTCAACAGTTTTTTTTTGCGGAAAACAAGTCTGAAGTTTTGGTTTTTCCAAGGTGATCTGTCGACCATGCCCACTTGACTTTGAGGTGCTAACTGCAGAAAAAAATAATGACAAAATAAATATCGTATAAATATTTTAGAGTGCACTGTGCACAAGACATCAAGAGAGAACAATTATTCAGCTGATTACTACCTGTACGTACTTTTACGTACTTTGTATAAGGGGTACAAATTCGGTGGACGTTTGCATGAACATTTCCCTTAATGAAGCGCCATTTCTAACAGTAAGGCTCATGTTCGGAGATGCGATTAACGTACACCAACCTCTTAATGTTAATTTTTTGTAATCTGAAAAATGCGCTTTTCCAATTATTAGGGTCAATATTTGTATTTGTCAGCCTAACATCGTGTGAGTATCTGGCACACTTTCCGTAGAAAAGGTATAAGCTTGTACAAAAACGACCAGAAAAGTATAAATGATTTTTTATAACTTTCTCCGGGAAATAATTTTTGTGCATGTGTACATAACTTCTGTAACACATTGATGCAGTTAAGCCGATAGCACAACTACGCCAGTAACTGGTGTGAGGGCGATCCAGAGTCAGTCCCAATTCCCAGTACCGAGCGTGAAATTCGAGTTTCTGTGTTTGACCAAAGTCTTCATCATTTCTCGTTTCTTGCATTTCGTAAAATTAATTTTAGGTTGGATTGATCACGCTAGCCAACAAAAAATGTTCAATTTACATTGTAACTGCACAAATCACGAGCAACTGCAAGTACGGTAAATTACTCGATCAATCAATGATCTTGTGTACCCTTCAGTCCATTTTTTCCATTTAAAATACTCTTTTGAAGTAGCCAACCCGGCTAACAACAGGAACCAAAAGAAACGACTGACAAACCAATGAAACAGTTGAGAACCAATAAAAACCAGCCCAATGCAACGTATAAATTAAAACTATACAAACGCTCTTTGGCGAGCACAACAAGGCACTTAAAAATACACTAGTCTCGTTTTCACTGTCTCCCACACACAACCGACAAGTACCCACTTGTCCTGCTCTCCCACTAGACCGTCACCGACCCGGCAAGTGTTTTCCCGGGCAGAAGCAGTTTCCCATCGAACAGCTCCACCACCGCCGACCGATTGCGAGCTAGTACGGTGCGGCGTGATGTCGACAGTGTCGCCAGCGTCGTGGTCGTCGTCGTCGTCTCCGCGTACGGACAACTGGACTGCCGGTACTGCTGCATACAGGAATCATAGAAGATCTTCCGCTTAACGTTGGCCGGCGTGGCATGGATAATGTAAAAATCCCGCCCGATACAGTCCAGGCCGTCGATCTCCCAGAGATGAGCCCGCTCTTTGACGTGCAACAGCGGTAAGTGCAGGGCATCGGGGATCTGGCCGGCAATGTACACATCATCCAACCAGTGGATGCGGATGCGCTGCGACACGTCGAGGATGGCGGGGAGGAAACGGTTGGGAAAGACGTATAACTGACCCACGGCGAAGGGCGGGTAGGTGGTGTTGGGGTACTCGTCGAGAGTTACGAACCTGCAAAGCAGTCATGAGTTTATTACAAAATTTATTATTAAAGTAGTTTCTTATAGTAATAAAACAGCCAACGCTGGTGGATCCTAATTTCAATGGTTAAAAACTTAAACACTAAAAATTCAGATAGTTATTACAGTAATTTGGGTCAAGAATAAAAAACTAGTAAATAATATTATTAATTGTTCATTTTAATTTGTGTAAATCAGCGCCAGCATGTGTGTCGTATATGTTTATGGGTGACAAATATTTATTTACAACACTATAAACCACAAGCCACAAAACAACACTTAATACAGAGGAAATAAACCATGTCCCATAAAACGCTTTGCACCGGTCTGATGCGTTTCACACAGTAGTCTGTAGTGTTTTAATCAATTAATCAATTTACTAATAAACCAAGAACAAACAGCAATAAAGCAGTTACAATTCGCTCCTTTGAGAGAGGTAACACTTCCGGCTAAAAGGTTACTAATATTTTTCGTACTCGTACTGCTCTTATTTCCTTTATTTCAAAAAACAGTAGTAATTATATCTGTAGAAAATTGTTACAAATTTTTATACCGTTGCACATTCCAAACAATTTAGCTGAATTTATACGCGGTAAATACTTATTTTCGCATCAAAAACGGAGACACTCTTTTTGCATAATAACTGTTAAAATATTTGCATATTTTTGCATAATAACTGCATAATAACGGAGCGTGCTACGTACGTATGTATCTGTACAAAAAGTACTTTAGTCTTTAAGTATAGTAATATGTCATAGTCAATCGGAATGCGAGAAACAACCCATTAATCTAGGGTGCTCTCTGTGATATTTATGATGCCATCACCAAAGAGTCGCGCCAGTAGCACATCTTTTACAAGTATTCCCACAATAACGGCTCTTATATTCCGTCTTGTTGGCAGTCTGTTGGTATTCAAAACGCTCGAACTGTCAGTCACTCCGGGAAAAAAATGGCTCAAGTCACATCTCTAAGGAGGACGCCTAATTGAAATTCGATCCTCGAGAGCAAAAATTTAATGTTTGTATAAATGCTAATGTCAAATCAACAATGCCGGTCGTATTCAGCTGAAAACCGAAAGGGTCATACTTGACGGCCACCCCCGTATATGAAAAATTTACTGAGACGTCGACTTCTGGCCTTATCGATTTCTTCACGTCCCATTACGTCGGCATCAGCGGGCCAACATTTCCCCATCATCACTGTAATGCATCAAGCTCACAGAATCGGACCGTCGTGCGAGAGAAAAGTTGAAACCAAATCACATAAGTTTGCAGAATAACAACGTAATGCGGTTACGGCGACGACGACATTTGCACTATCAACGCCTAATGAAGTTTGACACAGTGCGGAAGCATGTTGGATTTCCCTGAATCCTTAACAACGACCGCAATCAAACCGCAGTAAAAAGGGGGAAACCGGAAAAATTATTCAAGCCCAAGGCGTAGCGGGGCTGCACATTTGACAGCAGGGGCAATGCATGGGCTGATTGGACGAAACATTTCACATCAGATTTCTATAATTTCCGCACTGATGACCGAACATGCTCGATACGCAATCGACAAAGATGATAATCACAGTACACTTCCTGACTTGATTTTTCCCATTATCTGTCACACGAAATCAGAGGCTTACTTATCCAAAAAATCTTTTGAGTACTAAACTAAATTTAACGCCGTCGCAATAAATTTAGAAGTTTATTTTAGGAGCTTATTTTACCGTAAACTAATAAGAAATACGAAAGCATGCGTTATTCGACGATAAAAAAACCTTTTCATTTATGTATGAACACGATTTTATCGTCGCCCACTCCGCAGGTGTACCACAATTTTTATCCTTCCACATTTTACCCATGCCACACAGTAGAAAATTTTGCCGAAAACAGATGTACTTGCCGATATTATACAGTACGTATTTTCTTGCAAAATATACAGCGTTACTTATAATTTAGCATTTAGTTTATCATCAGTAGAGGTTTTTACACCCACCATTTCTGCTCAGGCAAGCGCTTGGCCACTTCGTTCCACAGAAAATGACCAGTAATCGCTTGCGCCGCTTCCGGCATGTGCAAATACCGCAACACACCCTGCACATTAATCCAGGTATCCTCATCAGCTTTGGCAATGAATTGTGCGCCGTGGCAGTTGACAGCCGCCCATTCGAAGAAGGATAATATCAGCTGAGTCTGATTATGGTAGCCATCCACGACATTCCCGGTCTGCAGCAGATCACCGTAGACACTGTTCTCGATCAGGGCTTCGTGCTGCACCTCCGCCGAGCCGAACGTCCCGAAGCCAAACACAATCCGCACATCACATAATCGGCCGTGTAAACCCCAGGTCTCCCGCACGGCAGCCCGCTCATCCGCATAACCGGGTCGGGAAGGAACGAAAATCACGAGATAGGGATGCTTGCCTGCCACGTCACCAACAAAAAAATTATGTAACACAATGTACCAGAAATATTACTTATCAATACCAGCAGCCACGTTTGCCAAAGCGCAGTTTAGAAAGTTTTATGTTTTCTAACATATTTCTTCATACATTGTTATATCTATATATATAGTATTTATTAATTTTTGTACCACCTTGATGTTGTTTGTTTGACTGTTTAGCCCGGAAACAACATCGTATTGGCCCAAAAAGTTGAAACTAATAAAACTTCGCTACGGTACATATGTAGTATACGAGTACACTTTGTGCTAAATTCTGTGTAGAAAGCAAGTTCCACAATTATGATCACATAGATTATAGTTTATGTATTTTCCGATCGCAGGTTGTCTATGTTCCTGGTTGATATGTGCAATATTTACTTAAGAGTGTAAGTATGCAAATACTTTGACAGATGACTATTTAGTATGCTAGCAAGCAAGCACTTAACATTCGTGTAGTTTATCTTCCGTAACAATTTCATTTCCAGTTTACGTACTTAAACACTGCATAGAAACGAGTTTGACCGAATACTGTTTCAGAAATTTTTCCTTATTGTTAGCCTCAGCTCGCTTCAGATTCCTTTATAAAAAGATGCGTATTTATAGAGCTGATTATAAAATAAAATAAACAGTAATTTTGGAAAGGTGTATCACAGAATCTTGTTGTTAAAAATTAAAAAAGGCGCGGCAAGGAACATCAACAACCCAGAAGTCAATGTGAGAGACAAATATCGCATAAAATGCAAATCCCATTCAGTTGCAAACCAGCGGTACTGCATCAATCGATAAAACCTTTACCAGTCAATTGATCTCGAATCTTATGTTATCCTGGCATGGACCGGCTAATATCGCGTTCATTGGATACTTATAGTTATGACACACCGTATTTACAGATGCAGTAGCGCTACGGCATCCTGAACTAGATGCTCAATATTATTAGCCATATAACTTCAGAAACTGTTTGCGAATGGTCTAAATGATCAAGACGATAAATTTTTACGAATTTCGTCACCTTAAACACATCCATAAAAAGTGCGCGAAAATAAACTAAAATGTGGAATACCAGTACATCGAACTTAGACTAATTCCCACAAGAATTGACGTCAAGAACAAAAATGCCGCTTTGCGACAGCTAGTAACTAGGATAGCTTCTACTCATATTACGTACTTTATTTTTAGGCCGAGTACTGTATTAAATCGTCTACATTTTTCAATCGGAATCTTGTGCAATATTATACTGAACCACTATAGATAGCAAACTAAAAAGTGCTGCAAAAGCTAAAAGGCGACGCATTATTTATCAAAGCTGTATTGTAGGTTAGGAAGACGCAAGTGCGTGGTAGAATTAGATGCCGGGATTATTTTTTCAACGAAGGCTTTTATCCTGCCAGTGGAATTATCTATAAGAACCATACGCTCCAGATTCCACAGCATCTAACTGCGTACTTAAAAACAGCAGTAAGCCGACAAAAATGTTCCCGGTGCATTTCTCATCATCGTCGTCAGGGTTATCATGATTGAACTGGGCACATAAAAACAACCGATCGATATCAAACGGCAGTTCCAGTGCATGCAACATCTAAACATGCCGACAGCTGCAACGACTCAAATAACGAACAAAATCCCGAAATCAGGGCAATCTTTCTGTAATCATGCTGATAATCGCAATCGATTAGGTTATTACTTTCGACAAGCTAAATTCTGGCACAGTTAGCTAACAATAAATACAAGCTGTACATAACAAGTTAATAACAGCGCTCCAACAAACTTTTCAGTTCATAGCCGCAGAATTTATGGGTGAAAGGTTTTTCCCAAATTTTGCGCACTACGGTCGTAAGTCTCGTTATTCCTGCTGCAACTTTTTTTCTGCGCGTGAGTTATGTTTTTGTTTTGCCAATAAAAAACCTTACGTAAACAATCTCCTTGTAGGTGGTATAACAATTAAACAAATCTGATTTCAAAAATTTCAAATATTTTTCATAACATCATACTTTGGTTTTTGATTAGTAAAGCTTTCGGTCCTTCATATAAATTTTTTTGATAGCCAAAAACAACAAGTTCAAAAAGTCAAAAGAACTTGACTAAGTGCTGCGCCTTGCCGCAAATTGTTAAAAATTGTTGCATCATCAGAAACATTTCATTCATGCGTTCTGGCTAGTTATATTCGATGTGATCTGAACCGGATTGTTAAAAAACAAAAATAATACGGCAAACAAATGCAGAAGTTATATTCTGTAGTATAGTGAGTAACACTTATTTAAAGAAGGAAAGAATCGAGAGTTTGCAAACACTGAAGGTGTGGTGCTACTCGTATTTTCATAACCGGCATTATAAACAATAAGCGAAAAGTACCACATCTTCTTCGAGAAACAAGTGCGTCGACGGGCACAGTACTGCAAAGATAAAAATCTTGGTGAAAGCATGCAAATTTACTGCTTTTTCCATGCTAATTTCTTGCGCTTTCCGCAATAAATTAGCATGCTCATTGTCAGGTTGAGAGAGAAACACTCACAAACCACTTGAAATCCAAGGATGCATACACGGAAAACGTATGCACAAGATAAGAAACGGTAGTTAAAGTAGAGTCATGGTGGATTAGATTTATACCCGAAACTAGATGAAATACGGTAGCACAGTACGTGTACATTGTACAGATACAATACAAGATACTTGTAGCTCATAAAAAACAAATTCACAAAACAACAATTTTCGATATCAAGTTGGGTGCACGCTTTAGCGAAAATGCATCCATAATCAAGAGTTATACAGGAACCAGTTAAAAGGTGGGCGAACCTGATTCTTCATTCAAATATTTTTTAAAGTGAAAATAAAAATTTGTTGACTGATTTGACTACATATTGTTTTTGTAACTGCTTACTGCGCAGTCGGCAGACAGGTTTAATTTTTATTACAAATACTTAAGTAACAAAACGCATAAATAAATAATATTTTCTTTGGGCAATTTTCACGGTGTTTTTTCTCTTCTGCTTCGTGGTTCCGATTAAACTTTTTAATTATTTCCATATTACGTCAAACTTACTCTTGTAATTAATCAATCAGTAAACAATTTTTTCTGTTAATTTTCTCCGAAACATAATTGTTTGGCGTATTTTTTTATTTTTGAGCGTTCATAACAATGTATGCCGGCTCACATTACAAAAATCAATAATAATTACCTCAATAACGCAACAAATAAATCAATAATAAATAGGTGAAAACCTACCGTTTTTCGGGCAGACGTTGGGCTGGATGGGATAGACTTTTCCCTGCGACAGTTGCTGTAAAAGTTTGACCGGTGCCATCAGTCCAGTGGGACTAATGCGGATGTGAGCAGGGAGGAAACTTGGCACCGTGCTCAGCTTGCCCGTAAACAACAAGGGCGACAAGAGGAGCAGCCCGCCGAACAACAGCAGACCGCAGCAGGTGCGCAGATTGGGCAGGCGCAGATACTTCTGCTTCCAGGCCGCTGGACTGCACTGGCACAGCACCGCGAACTGTGGCTCATGCATGACCGCGGCACCGCTGGCCATCCAACAACAACAACAACCGAGGAATGTGCGGCAGCAGCGGCGCTTCAACGCCGGCACAACGGCGCAGCAGTGGAAACGTTGATTAACTCACATGTCATCCGGCTGCTAGGCTGGCGCATTCGGGATATCCGGATCTAAATCCATGGGGGAATGAAGCGCGCGCGCTCGGCGCGTTGCAAAGGATTCGGTTTTAAGCCGGATACAGCGGCCAGTCACGATATAGCTGCAGCAGCTGCAGGCTGCAACAGTCGCGGCATGGCGGCGTTTTGACGCGCTGGTACACCTTTAAAACGGTTGGCAACTTGTCAGGCGGGATGGGGGCAGTATAATGCAAGGACAATGCAAGGATAATAAGCAATCAGTGGATGTATTCAAGTATAAACAACGGTGATTAAATTAGACCTAACGAGAAACGGCCACGCTCCAGCTGGCTGACAACACTGCGCAAGTTAAGTTGCCACTTGCGTTTTCAACACACTCGGTAGGTTGCAGATGTGTTTCCCGTATCAATGCAAATGGCTCAGGCAAGCGACTGTATTAAAGTTGCCACACACGGTCCGGATCCAACGCGAGAGAGAGCAACGTCGGTCAAACAGGAAGAGAGTGGAGGCAAGTTCAAAACGACTGTGGGGACAGTTAACTGGTTATCAAATACAGGGTATAGAAATGCACTGCATAGTGCCCAGTCATACGGTGCATTCAGGACTGGCAGAGCGGAAAAGCTGCTGGCGCAACCGTATGATGGCGTGGTGAGCCGAACTATACGCTCAATATCCAGTTCCAGTATGAGTCAGTGGCGTACGTACAGTCATGCAGTATTCAGTATGCACTGTACAGTACAAATATTTAATTTTCTATTTCTTCCTGTTTTCAGCGAGTGCGTACTTTTTGGGATTGTGCCCTGTAAAGTCAAGCAACAATTTTGGGGCATTCGATGAATTATAGGGTAAACTGTAATATTATCCTTATGACCTTATCCTGCGTGCGATACAAGTTAAAACTAACTTTCCGCGGGCATCGAAGCACAGATGCCCAGTGTCCACTGACTGGTCGTCCAGTGCTCACTGAGTGCTGCATTTGATATAATTAAAAAAAATTGGAAACTTGACCGGCAAGAAGTTAAGTCTGTTGAAAAGTGGTCGCGAAACCGTCGGCATACGAATCCGAGGGACGCTGCAAATTTTGTTGCAGTCTGCCACTGCAAATGTAAGCTACCAGTAAGAACTGAGAAGATGGCGTTGTGTATGCTATCCGTCTTCCTTTTAACGCGGCATGTGTGGTTCTACTTCTATAACAACTTGAAAAGCACTAACCGACTACGAGTTCTATAGTGACACTACTTATGTAGAGGCTGAAACGAAAAATTAATGACTATAGGTGCATATATATGCATAATAATAATTATGGACTTTGTTTGTCTTTGTACTGACCTGTAGCACATAGTTTAAGCTCTGGTGCAATACTATAGCAATTTGCATACGCGCCCACTGTCGAAGTCTGTCGAGCTTCCGGTCTTGTTACAGAAACCTTTATGTAAAAAATCAGGGGAAAAAACACCTAGTATTCCCTAAACTCAATTCGGCTGGGTCCACTCAAAATCCTTTTGATATAATTAACTCAGTATTTACGTAAATCTGCATATCCATATCTGCAGACCAGATTGATCACACTGGTGAAGAAAATTGGTAAGTAAGTGATTGCAAAAACACACCGGGGAACCCCACTCGCACGAATTCTTTCGACAACGCCTTTCGCTCGAAATCCTACGGGGCAACGCGGTTTCTATGCTAGGGACGATGGATGGAGATTTTGTAGTCTGTACTATTTGTTTCAGTTTATACACTGTCACTCATGAGCGAAATAATAAACCAATCATTATTGATCAATATCAATGCTGTCTGCGTATAGTTCCATACAAATATACGTAAATAATTATATTGTAAATTTGAAATATTATTGTAACAAACTAAAATCAAAACCGGGAAGAAATAGAATGTGTATTTAAAAATATACACATGTATCATGTATGTAAATTTGCACACGTATTTTGGTGCCAAGTATGCATTTAATTTGACACGTAGTTTGTTACGCATTTTTATTTTTTTGCAAAACCTTGTTCTGCAAAATCCTCAATTAATAATGCTGCTAATACAGTTAACAGTACAATTTTAATATGCTAACAACTTGACGTTTTGTGCAATAACTGGAAGAAAAACGGCATATGATAAAATAAAGTGGCATTACAGGCGCCCCTAGCACATCCCTTTTCCGCATCCCGTTAATTATGAAAAATTCTTTTTGTTTATGGGCAGCCGGAGTTTTGTACATATAATTTTTATGTAAAAACTAAAATCGTATATCCATGCAGCGTAGGGTACAGCGCTTGTATTCTACGCTTTAGGATTTAGATACGCCGGTTACTTTGGTATTCGCCGTAATTCTTGAATGCAGCTATGTGCGAATGCTTTTGCAGAATGTTCCTTCCCGAAAGAAGTGGTTATCAGTGTTGCCGGATACCGTTGTGATTGCGAAAGGCGATTCCCAGCGCACCCGTATATCTCGAGATAGGCACTCACAATCAGTTAATAATAGGAAGGGATTACCCGCTGTCCCAAACCAGCTGCCGAAAGCCGTTATGATGTACTGGCCATACCGAAACGCGAAAGGAGATGAATTATTTGGGTGTGTTGATTGTGACTCTGTGTATAGGTAAGTGTAAACAAGCCATTGCGATTAAAGGTCAGTGTTAGTTTACAATATGGACAGAACCACTACAGAATGAAAAGTATAACAAATTATTTTTCAGAATCTAAGCAAGCATGGCTTATCACGTAGTGGTTATCCAAAATAATATATGAACAGCGTTTCCGTTTAGTTGGTGCTTTGAAAAAAGATCCCTGTTCAAACAGGGTGCGAAAAGAAGTGTCTACCAAAGCAAGCGTAAAAAGATTACAGACGCTTATTATGATTTTTAAGGAAACCTTCAAAGTATGCAAAGAACAAGCCGGTAGGGGTAAAAGATGGTGTCTGGAGCACTCTCCATTATTGAAAATGTAAGACACAGTACACAGTGTTAATATTGTTGTCGATCAAAATAAATGTTTATAGTAAAATAACAGCTGGGGTTGAATCTCTGGGAAGATTGCTTTATATTATGGTCAGAGATTCCGGCCGTATAATTATGACGTTCGCACAGTATCAGAACATACGTAGTCGCAATTTGCAACTCATGGTCACTCACAAAATTTGCATTACGGCATACAATCAACGGAATGTTGTGTAAGCACGAGATAATTATCATCAACATGAGAACAAATTGTTATATAAGTAAACCAGTGAATTTCCTCTCGGATAACCCTCAACAACAATATGCGCAACCGAGAAGCTATCAAACTCATCCCGGTTTTGCGAGAGCAGTGGTCAGTTACGTAATTAATCACATCTATTAACGTGCGGTCCTAATTCTGTGGTTGAAATTCGTCGAACCTTATAACAAATTTAAGATTTTTAACTGTTGGGTGGGCATATATATTCTGCGTTTACCGGAAATATAGATATGTTCAACAATGGCTTACTTCTGTTTGTTGGATTTGGAATTATTTTCCAGGTACCTTATAAATTAGCACGAGAAAACCGAACTAAACGATACTAATCGCGAGATACGACTATTCAGCATGCTGAGCCTTTCAAGCGCAAATCTTTATGCATTCTTATACCGGCGTTTATTTTACAGCAGCATCTTTGCGATGGAATGGACATTTCAGAAAGTACGCACAAATGGCGTAATAACGCTTCTGTATATTTTTAAAAAAATGTCTAAATCTATTATGTAATAATTTTGTCATAAATTGTATTATATGCATATGTGTTATATGCATTATATGCATTTTATTATATGCATACGCATATATTGTGTTATATGCATATGCTGTATCTTTGCTGCGTTCTGGATCTTTAGTACCACAGCCCGACGGTTTCATAATTACAACTTTCTCCAACATTGCCGATACTGGAACATTTCAATCTCATCCGGGTTTTCCTTCCGCTCCCTATCAAGCCGGACAAAACACTCGTTTCATAATCGCCGCGGCGGAAGGTCAACTGGTGAAACTGACGATCGACGTTACCCAAGCCAGTCAATTCTTCATTCGCAGATATGACTTTGCCGTAATGTTGGACGGATTGTACGCAACGAGAATGGACACTCCGTGCAACGTGTCCAGTTATAGGGCATTAGGTTTAAGTGAGTTTATTTTTTTTCCGAAAGTAACGTGAGTGTCATACGTATATAGTTTTACCATAAATACATCTGTTCGTCTTTTGCAGAGGACTTGGATTATCAATGTACGCGGTAAACAAAAAAAAGCTACAACTCCCCAAAAACGTTTGTACCCTTTCCAACATTTATACTTTTGAACGGCGTCTGATCTTGTAAACCATAAGAAAAGAATTAGGCACGGCGTAGAGACAGTCATGCATATACTGTGTTCATATATATACTTTATTGCATAACCATTTATTTTTATATTTATAGTATATACGACATTTTCTTTATAAATTTAAATTTATTGCATACACAACATTTGCCCATGTATATGAAATTCAAATACGTACGCTAAACAATATCTACATATAATAATAGCTTTGTATATATCTACGCGTAAATTTTTGATATTTTTGTCTGTAGCGGTGGTTATGGCCGAAATTAGCAACGCCCGGACATATACCAGCATCACCAACATTCTGGTGGTGGATTTCTGTGTTAACAACTTCACGGCTGACGTGGACGCAATGAAGGGCTTCCAAGCCAGCTGGCAGTTGGTGCAGCCCACCGCAATTCGGGGCGTCACACCTGCCGGGGATAAATGCGGACAGCCGCTAGTGTCGCCGGCGGCCCAACGGCAAAATACAGTGCGCATCGTTGGCGGTGTGCCGGCGGTGTCGAAGAGCTGGCCCTCCATCGGTGCACTGGTATATCAGGGGAAGCAACAGTTTTGCGCCGGTACTATCCTCAGTAATCAATGGGTCGTCACTGCCGGACATTGTGTGATATTTGATAATGCTACCTTTGCTTCGTCGGTACAGGTCGGTGCTTTATAAACATTACCCGGTAGTAGTTTTCTTTATTTACACAGACCAACTTTACTACTATATCTACCGAATTACTCTTTAATAAATAAAAAAACCGGCTTAATCAAATAACTGCGCCAGTTAAAGCTATTTTGCACCAGGTTGATTTTCGCATTCTTATAAAAGCTCTTATAAAATAAGCCCTTTTATCTTTATTTGTACTAACCAAGTAAACCAACCACATCTTTACCGGATATTATACATTACAAAGTTACAAACTATAATTCTAGTATCCTGTAGACTGTATACACAAGAAACCGATTTCTATCAAATAGTTGCAGCTCTTAAAATTATTTTACCCTAGGTTAATTGTCACATCCTCATAAAAGTTGTGCATAATTTAAATACGCACGTACTGTATATAAATATACATGAACACGCATGTATTCCACACTTTGATCCCTCGCAGATACACACCGCTCCATTTTTTATTTTACAGTTTTTCTACGGAAGTCAAAATAACAACCTTTCGCTTTCGCAATCAGTGCCCATCGCCTACATCGCCCAACATGAAAGATATAATGTTCCTTCCAGTGGATTACCGGCTTTTGATGTCGCCATTATCAAATTGGCACGTCCCATCACGTTTAGCGATTCCGTCCAGCCAATGTGCCTGCCGTCCAGTGCGGCCAACGCCACCAAGACACCGATTACCGGAAGTAATAATCGACCGATCACCTACGTTGCGGGATACGGTCTCCTCAGTGAAACGCAGAGTGAGTCTTGGTGTTTGAGGATGCACAGAATGTCTTCATATTGGAGTTATAATTTTCGAGTTTATTGTACAGAAGCGTTTCCTAACGCTAACCAACCTGGGTCAGGAAGCAACAGTCTGATGCAGACTACCGTTGAATTATACAGCAACGTGGCGGATTGTAAGGCTGCTTATCCTACTCTCCCAAGCACGGCGGTAAAGGTTTTAGCAATATCCTGTACCTACTGAAAAAACCATTGCAGTTCAAGTACTACGTGTATTAATACTATTCATGCAGCTGTTTCGCAAACGTTTTAGTACAGTACCTACGGGACACACAAACGAGTTTTATTGCAAATTAATACCCCCATACGTGCTTGTAACGGAAAAACCATGAAAACGAACTTATCTATCGTCAAACTTCTGTAGGAAGTAACAAAATTAATTAGTTTTGATTGTTAGTTCTGATTGTTGTTACACTTTTATAGATTTGCGCAGGGATCAAAGCAGGTGGTCAAGATGCCTGCCAAGGTAAAATGTTGCAAGTTTGCCACTAACAAATATTTTTGTACAGTGCAAGTAGCTAGAGTACGGTTCTCATTTCTAAAATATAGCTACATGATTACATCTAAATTCAAAAAAAAAATAAATGAATTGGACAAATAACATAATTATCCTAGAAATTATACTTTTTACTGCTAATTCTGCAGTCCATCTGATATTTTATGACGTTCAAAGTTCTACCAATGGGTCGATGCCATTTACTTGTTGGATGTATATATTTGAAAATACTGTCACGTATTTTTTACAAACAAAGTAAGTGTGATTGAAAATGAGATGGACCAAGTAACTATGTCCGATTTAACTCTTTTTCTAATTTACCCCCATACAAATCTGCATAAAAATATGTACTCATTTGTCAGCAAACTGCAGGTTTTGATGCACAACAGCGCACATACACAGTACCACCAAAGGGTGAAGATGTCAATCATAATATTTTCGACATGACAGCAGCATATTGTACAGCGCAGTCGTTGAATATAGATAGTCTTATGCAATATGATTACAATATAGAATTACAAAAACTGCGCAACTCATATCTGCTAATTTCCTTGCGCGCAGGTGATTCGGGAGGTCCATTAATTCTGCAGCTGATGGACCAGTCCTATGTTCTGATAGGAGTCGTATCTGCTGGAACTGGTAAAGGTTTCCGATTACAATTAAGGAGCCTAAAATATCCGTGAGATTTCTAATTAACGTTGAACTAAGGGAATTTTATAATTGTACAGGATGTGCACGAGCACAGTATCCCGGCGTTTACACGGACGTATTCGCCATGATACCATGGATTAAAAGTAAAATAGGATGGACTTCGACAGCGGGTTAAGATGGAGTGTCCCTGCATTTCCGGTTGGTGATTTTTGATTTCCATGTGATTTTTGTGCTGTCAATAAGGAGTTATCTGAGGCGAACTTTCTGTACGAAATAGTGCCGGTTAAATGTGTTTCGGTAAAAGAATGACCTTCTCCCGAAATAAACCGAATCAACGCACGTATTCTACCACACATCAATTATTTTTAAGCCACACCAGCCAGCCGGCAGCGTACACACCAAGAAACTTGCGATTCGTCATAGCATTTTCATGCGTCAATTAAAAGCAAAAGCTAACCCACTTGTCCAAACACACATCTTTTCAGGTCTAATTTAGCGTTTTTGACAATAACACTTAAAAGCTATAGAACAACCGGATGAGAATGTTGCGATGGTTACCGCGCAGCCGGCACTGGAGATCTTTTTTTCTCTATGCACGCGGTGTATACTCGAGTGATGCGGATGTACCAATCAATGCCGGCTCCGTTAACTGCTGCGCCCGGTGCTCTGTCTTATCTTCCCACTTTGCCCATCTTCCGCAGATTGTCCAGATACTTGACGAAACGCGCACGGCACTCAGCATAGGTACGGCATTCATCGTTAGGACCTTGACGCCAGGAGCGCTTATCCGGCGTCGCCATTCCGTATTCACCGGCTCCTACCGGGATCAGTCCGTCGCGCAGCTGCTCTATAAACGGATACATATCATTAATTATTTCCGTTCCTCTAAGCGTAACTTTTTCAGCATAATAACAAACACCCGTCTATTTACTGCGCTATATGGCCGTTAAAGTCTTTAATTAAAACTGATAAAAAGAACTTGATTCACAGGCGCAGACGTCGGTGCTGTTAATGTAAAGGTCACGCATAGTTCTCAAGGTCTATCGACCTGGGTTTTCCTTTGTAATTGAATCTTGCCGGTGTTACCAATCCCCCGAAGCAATAACCGCGGCATTGCCTAACAATTATCTCTAATTTTGCAACCCACGCCTAAGTATTGCGGTGCGATATCTGACGCTCATTGCATTGTTTTTGTCAGCTTATAGTTAAAAAGACGATCACGGTTCCCCGCTTCTGGTGACACTATTACCAAAGTTAATTGCAGTATCAGATACTTTGTGCTAGCGGTGACCAATTACCGCTGAATTCTCGAAAATGTTTCTCAAAAACACCAAGGTCATTAATTTTGTCTACCAGTACTGTAGAAGTAGATGTTGTTCAGTTAATGGAGGATATTTCGTAAGTCGTAAGTGATACAGCGTACATGTGACCCTTCCAGCGCATCTGCGTAATTCTCAGCGTCCATGCATGCTTGAAAATAATTACTTACAAGCAGGAAGTGTCCGCATCGTATTTAAAACATACACGGAAAATTAATTTTGAATTTAATGCAGTCATGTCTCGCTATGACTATGAATTCAGTAAAGCCAATGTACTGCTTTCGAATCGCAAAACATCGATGTTCTTCAAAGTAGGAACACCGTCACCCAACACGCACGTGACTCGCATCCCAATCTATACATTGATGTAGTCGATTATGCTGGAACCGGAAAACAAAAGCATCCACACCCGCGCTCATCAGCCGCATTCAGCGCTGCTAATTGAATTAGTGGATGTGCATTATTGAAGTCAGTTGCGATATACAGCACAGTGTACTACATTTTAACAAATATTTATATTCCTTCTATAGATGCGTAAATGGATATTAATGTCATACACATTTATTGCAATATGTATTAATCATTGATGTTTGATACTCAGTTAAATTGACAGACTCAGCCTGGTCAATATAGCGCGAGATCGATTATCGGCTGTTAATTTACGGAACTGTTTTCCAATTAATAATTTTATCACTGCAAATGTACGCTCAGTCTCTTACGACCTAAACACCACTTTTGATACTATTTTTGTTCATAGTATTTTCTTGTATCAAAATTTTATGCAGTGAATGCCAAAGGTCAGTGGTCTCCTTTTGTACACCTTTACACCATATTCCATGCAACTATATTAGTTCTATAGCAAAACATACAAACGTGAGTGGTTCTCAAACCATCACATCCGGAACGTCAGGAACGATTTATTACTGATAACCGTAACCTTTTACGGTATCTATAGGAGTTAAAGACATCGTTAAAATGAGTTTATCTGCGTACGAAAATCAATCGCACAGAAGCCGTTTAACAGAATTCGGCGGCTTCTCCGCCGTCTGAGACGGTTATTTTGTGCCGCTTGAACGGCTTGATTAACTTTATGCCGGAAATACAGCACTTAATTATTCTGTCATGCATTGCGTGTACGCAGTTACAAGTTGTTTACCATTCGCCCAACAGTAGTACTGTATTAGAAACATAAAATATATAACGATGCCCGAGAAAAATAATTGTTTCATGCAAAAATTATAAATTGATTATCCCATAAATATACGCAGTCCCGTACTGAGTCGTTATTTAGCGCTTCTTTTAATGAAAAGGTTATCTGTCGTAGATCATCAATATTCAAAGAAAAAGTTGAGTAAATTTTGTCCACTGTGGTACACAACTATTTACATAGTTAAAGGTTACTCTTAAAGGATTGCCGTACCTGCTTCGGCATAGTCTTGATCCGACGCCAAGAATCCGAAAGGCAGCGCTTCCGCGCGATGGTCACCGCAGGATATCGCCAGCAGAACCGCAACGGAAATCACTCCAATAGCCACAATTTGATTCATTTTCCTTAATATCGGCTTAACCGGCTTTCTGCTACACCACTCAGCGAATTCTTACCGCAGCAATTGTAAATGCTAGAAAAAACGTTTTCGCATTAGCTAAATATTTTCCTTTGTACATCACATGCCACACACACTCATACACGCTAATACACCAAAAGCCGGGTGAGAATGTGTGCGTAAATTTACGGGAGTTTTGACGCTTTATATGCACATAACTCGTAGTGGCAGCTTACCGCGTATCGGGATAGAACGACGAGCAGGGCGGGACAGGGATGCCGGCAACTGTCAGGTTAACGGCTAAATCTCAATCCGCGATCAAAAGTCCGCTCCTCTAATTTGTCCTGAATGGCACCGGCGTTTTACACGTTAGGAAGTAGATCGGGAAATCTTGGCTGGCAGGCGCGGTATACAGGCAGGGATATATGCCGGTGGCTATGGAACTACAGACGCGGAATTAAATGCCGATCGTTATATACAAACGAATAAAGTGTCAGCCGCGGCGCTGATAGGTGTTTCCAACGGGATGCAGAGAAATCCTTCCAGTGCAACTAAATGTGAGATGGGACACAAGTCACACTGTTTTTATAGGCAAATCGCGCTGGTTACAAGACCAAGAGCAAACATCGCGCGCGCTCGGGATGAGAACGATATTAAATTGCTAGGAAAATTAGACGGAATTAGCAAAGAACAGTGCACACAGTATATGCACGCACACGTCACCGCCATCGGGATGAAAGTAACTGGATCCGTAGATTCTGTACACGTGGAAAAAAGTAGCGCGTGATCTGGACGGACGGGAAGGAAAATGATTAATCAACAACGGTGTAATGGTCTTCCGTGAGTATCCGATGAAAAATAACCGCCAGCTGTTGTATTAATCGAATATTCGCGTAACTAAACTAAAAATCTGTATTAATCAGACAGCGACATACGGCATACGGCATAAGTCATCCAGATTCTCTTTCCATGAACTTTGAAATAAAACATTAATTTAGAACTTATTGGAAACGGAAGCGCAAAAATATTAAAGATTTCGATACGCGTCAATAAATTTTGAATTAGCTTTACTGAACATAAAAATTTTATCATGTACAGTATGTATACCAGTGATTGTGCATAGTTTGACACTGCTATATAAGTGTCAAATTTCGTATTTAATATTCTTTTGGGATTTTAAGCTAGAACTGACTGGACAGTTTATTACGAAGTCATACCAGTGCTGATAATTACATATGACTGATATGAGTAGTTATTACAATAGTTAGCTTTCCTTTCCTTTACCAGAGCTTTCAAAAGAAGCAATTCAAACATTGAATTTTACTTCAAGTACCATTGTTCGAACTGTATCGATTGTGACGTCAAACGAGTACCGGCAATCACTTCATGGCAGATTAAAGAATCAATTATTGTTCATTGTCGGCTAATATTGATAGAAGCGGGAGATTCAATAAGGCGTCAACACTTTTTGCAGCGCGAGAAACCAATCTTCCTTGTTTTCGAATTTAAAACAAAAACGGCGGCGCTTGTTTGAACACAGAATTTAACTCTCTCCGTCGGTATACAATTACGTGTCACGTATCCATCAGTGGCCTGATAAATTAATTACTAGGTGTCGTGAATGTTGACCTTTGCGGGACTGGCACTTGCCAGGCGGGCAGAGAAACCTATAAATTTACAAGTGGCTCAATATCGTCACACTTTTGTTTGAACACTTAATAAGCGTTATTAGTGTTAACGTTCGCGGTTTCAATCATTGCCCAAAGCGCACTTAATCCCGCTTTGGACGCAACGGGAACGACGTCCATCCAGCACCGGTTGCGTTTACACTCGATAATTAGGAAACACAAAAACCACCCATACTTGTATAATTATATTTATATTGAGAACTGGCAATAAGTTCAATCCATAAACGAAATTCGTTACAGTAATTTAATTAAGTAGACAAATATTTAATTAAGTAGACAAATTAAGTAGACAAATAATTAAGTAGACAAATATGGAAAGTAGTATTCGTGGTAAATGGCAATGTCCGGCTTCAAAACTATAAGCAGAGGATTTTCGTTAGATGCAGATGACAATACTGTTTTGGCAACCATATAAGCGCCACGATGGCGATGCATGAAAATGCATTTTACGTAGGTAGATTATGAAACCACTGTTTTATAACATGTGTGAATTTAATACCGATTTCAACATATGGTTACCGCCGGTTTAATTATTCAGGAATAAAAAAACCGTAAATATCTCCACGGTATTCAGCATATGATTTCAATAAACCAAACTCCAAGTACAAATAATTATGTTAAAATGGACACATGGGGAACGTTTATGAAAAATTTCTTTAAACAGGTGACGAAAAAGATGGCTACGGTACTTCAAGTAACGATTGTACTGACAATTTTCGTGTAGGAGAGTTTTTGCGTCAGAGAATCAGTATCAATGTGACACAACTCGAAAATGCGGTTTCTGTTCCTGGAACGTTTAATGACATGGTTGAGAACGAAGATGTTTTGTTTTTGCTTTTAAGCATGCTGAACGGGAATTATGACAATGTGGTAGTTTAATGTGGCTTTATAGTTTGCACTAACTTTCGTAATTCTTAATAGATTTACAAAATTGCTTGACAAGGCTTGTGTCACAGCCAAGTATTATTGGACTGTGCTGGTGTGTCTTACTGGTTAACTATCCAATTTACATATACTAACTAACAGTGTAAGTAACATATCTATACTGTATGTGTACTACTGGTTTGTAAGAATACCCGTAATAAAATTAGAACATTTAAAAAAAATAAGTATTATAATTCCGCCTGTTATTAATTTTTGGTTTCGTAAGCAGTATGAATACGTACATGAAAACAACGGTCCGCTTTCAGTCAAAATATTCATAAAATTAAGAAACATTAAGAGATTCAGAAGCTGATGAATTTAAGTGTAAAGACTTCCGGTCGCTTGCGTATTTATTCCACTGTGATTGTACAGACATACAGGACCTAGTTTCCGTACTTACTGTTAGTTTCTGATCGGCACCGACACAATTTTTTAATCTTTGCCAGCCAGCTACGTTGAATCTGTGCCCACTATACTTATCTTTCGTGCAGTTTTCCGAAAGATTTTCTTCAAACGTTTTAGCGGAACATTTTCCGGAAAATATTGTGGCGTTCGTCTTACAGGATTGGTACCAGTACCACAACTAGGAAGGTAAGTAAGTAATCACTGTCCAGTGCTACATAAGACAGAATTCTGTTGTTTAATTACGTACTTACTACGATATCATCTAAATTAATGCAGTGATGTGTGGGGACTTTACATTCGCGGACGCATTCCTCCAGCGACTCCCGAAAACTCTGTAGCTTTGCAAAATAGTCTGATAAAAATCAAAGACCACCACAAGTTATGCTTTCATTGAACTGACATATTTGTGTTTCCGTATTCCTCCGCGCGAAGTGTCAGGGCACGTTTGGACAATCGCACGCCCAGGCCCTGCAAAACTCTGCGGTCCTGAGGTTTACGCAAAAACCGGCGAAGCGCATACGAAATTCATAAGTCGGATTCTGGTTTTCCTCTTCTTTTTTGTTCTGTTGTAGGTGCATGCTGTTTCTCGAAACAATTCAGTGGTGATTTTGCATACAACACGGCGGAAAAAAACTTCTGTCATTTTAAAAACAGCATCGGCTCTCTGTTATTTGTACTACGTAGTATTTGACTGTACTTAATATAGTACTTACAGATAATGCAGAATGATTACTGTTTTATTTAAGTGATGTTATTTTCTAGCGCTGCAGTTGTACAATACTGAATTAATTTTCCATTTTGTTTTGTTTACAAGAAAGGATTACAAGCTGCTTGCGCATTGTCCACTTTCATAATCGAAACCTACTCAAGAGCTGAACTAATTCGAATGTAAGTTTTTGGTGGAATGTAATAAATAGCAATATCTTACGATTTCCAGAAGGCAACTAAAGAATAACCGGTACCAATCTAGACTAGTCACAGATAAAAAGGAAAAAAACTCAATCTCTGCGAAACCCACACCCAATTAAAACAAATCGATAGGTACGTTAAACGGTAAAACCACACTCCCGATTATAAATACTTCGAATCAAAATGAAATCAATAAGAGGAAATGTTGAAAAACATAGCCAAAAACACCAGTTGTGCGCATCGACGAACATCTCACAGGTACGGGACGGGAATATACTGGAGCCATCCTTTCAAAATGTCCTGACCACGGTAAGCACGGTAACCGGCCGCTCCAGCGCCAACGGACGCCAAGGCAACCAGGCCCAAAAGGGACAAGAAGCTCAGCGCGAATCCCAGGCCTCTGTAAACAGGGTTGCATTATTTCGAAAGCTATCCATCCACAACCATACAAAAAAATATTACATAACACAATATTACGAAAAATGGTGAAAAACTTGGCGGATTACGAAATTTTAAGCAACGGTGAACAGTGATCAATTAATCGCCACATGTAATCCTCAAGAGTTTGCCGAGGGTTGATCGTAAACGAATTCAGAATTTGAATCGTATCTATATTCATACCAGAATTTATTCCTTTTAGTTACAGAACGAATCGCACAGATACCACACACAAACTTTTTTAACCAGCAGAGAAAAGCAGTTTTTGGCAGTACGTGTAAATACGTTGAACATACCGATGAAGTAAATATACTTAAGTACTTACTACGCAAGGATGTACAGATAAATATTATATGAATATCTATATGTATTTCGGCGTTGAACTGTACTAGCAAATTTGTTTTTATATACGTTGTTCTTACTTCAAAAACGAAGTTAAACCATGACAGAAAAACCGGAAAGTGCTATTTTACTGCACTGACGCGGATTAGTTTATAATACTTACTTCTATTTAGACTCACCGTCGTTCAGCCTTGGAACTATAACCCAGGAAGTAGATTTCACGAGCAACGATGTAAAACACTCCGAAAATCGCGGCCGGAACTATACAGAAACACAGCCATTTTGATTAATTTTAATCTGAAAATTAGTGCCATCGCGACGAGCGCTTGCACCATTCCGAAATACTTACTCTGGTGGAAAAAGATTGCTGCGGTCCATAACGCTCCAAGAAATATAGGGAAATTCTCCACCGAATTTTGACTACACAAAATTATACATGCTAATGCATATCATCGTAAAACTGGTTTAAAGTATTATCTATCTGCAAGTCAAAGTACGAATAAATAAACATTGGTAATCGTAAACCTCAGAGCAAATACGCGTCACGCACGTTTCAAAGTGCAACCACAAAATTCTATCACGGAGTCGAAGCAGTGAAGCACACTGATGAACCAGGTATTCGGCACAATACTGCACTTATCAGCTGTGCAACCACTATGACAATGCAGTTCTACAATTGCACGAAATGATAAAGCGAAGAGCCTTACTGTGCCCGGTAGACCAAATTGAATGGCGCGGGTCCGTCGATTTTCGGTGGCACCACCTTGTACTTGTGACGGGCACTGCCCACGCGAATGGACATGGAGACTGGACAAATAACAGAAAAGTAGTACAGTACTTAAACAACAATCCCTGCATCTCGGTACCGATCCGCATGAACTGCTGCATTATTTTGTTTTAAAACCAATTGGGACTTACTCAAGTGAATAACCGCAGCCACAGTCACCAGTCCTACAAGATACAAAGTTTCGGAGTTAAGAGTCTTTGGCGGAACTTGGAGAAGGCTCCCAAGAGTTTTCATCTTGCAGGCTTAATTTAAGGAATGCGATTAGGGAAGAATACAACAGAATTTCAAACCACGGTCCGATAGATGCTGTACTGTATAAATCTGGATAATATTAAATTTATTTGTCACTATTTCGCTTTATGACTTGAGGTGAGTCTGAACACTCTGAAATACGTATTCAAAACTGCAAACGCATCCCGTATACAGTAAACTTACAGCGCAGCCAAAGCAGCTGATTAAATTTTTATGATTTGCCCCTATAAAATCGCGCGAACTTAAAAAGTACGTACTGCACTGTACGTACGAGTGCGTACGTATACAGCGCCAGCAGATTGTACGAGTTTACTAGTAGTACGAACTACGAAGCACTCGTAATACTTTTCTAATTTATATAATAAGTATTTAATATTTAAATATCTGTATCGTATAAAAACTGTTCTGTGAACGCAGCGAGCGCACGTATCGTACGTCTTATCTCTGCAACGTTCAGCATTACAGTAACTTTATCAAAATTATGCATGATATACCAAAGGTGCAATCATAGAATGCTCAGATTCAGACATTCGGGTATCTTCCAACGCCTATGTAGGTTTTTTGTGCATAATGCGCAGTAGATAACGACGGGTAACGTGTGTCATCACGATCCAGAGCTTATCTGCGCTCCGAATGGTCAAAACAACTATACCGCACGTATTCAAGATACCGCGCTGCACAGCTCCGTTTTCTAACATACCCGTCCTTATCTCTATGAATCATAACTTATGCACCATAGTGCGCTGCACTGGCCGTATACCAGCCAACAGAGAAAGATGTCTGAATTTTCGTAATAGAAGATTGTATGCAGCTTCAGATGCCGGGAAAGTTTTCTCGTACAGTGTACAGTATAGACTATAGACCCAGTAAAGTTTACCAAAAATTATTATTTATATTATAATACGCCAAGTACGGTGCAACTCAGCTGTTAAAGGTACTGTAAGGTACGGCTAACTACTGAACGTGAAATTATTTACTTATTACACTGTTATAACCGGGGTATGTATTTTGTAAAATAATAGTAATACCCTCTAATAATTGTACTGTAAATAAGTAAGCTGTATCAAGTACGTAATACAATACTCAATATCTATATATATAAATATCTATATCTACAAACACATGCAGACTGTACTACACTGTACTTGATACAAAATAATTTGATTAAATTTGTGAGTTGAAAATCCGTACGAGTATCGACCAGCGGCGAGCACATAAACTGTGAACACATCAACCATTTCCTATCACTAGACACTAAGTAGTGAGTTTAGAATATTATGGTAATAACTATTATCACAGTAGTTTTAGAGCTATCTTTCATGTGAAGTGCAAGTATTCGTACGAGTTAGTACTTTAATAACAGCTAATTAATTTACAGTAACTGATGGTAATGGCGTATTAACCCATTTCCGGCCAGGGTGCCAACCTATAGAGAGTAGCGTGAGACATAATTATAATTAGTAATTACTAAGCCGGCGCGCGATTTTAAATTATTTTTGATAAAATCAAATTTAATAATAGGCACTTACTGTAATCCTGGCTTCCGTATTCCTATTGTACTTCACCTATTCATAGGTACTTATCGTTAAAACTTGTAACTTGGACTTGAAACTTTTAAAACGTTACATCTGTATTCAGTGTATTGCCTCTAATAAATTATCACTGCATTCTTTTGTCAAACTGTCAGTTCCAGGCAATTGTAGCTTAATGGGATATTCTTCGATAGCGATCAACGTAATTTCCATTTAAAAGCCCCAATGACCCAGTAGGGACCCCTCGAGGGCTTGCATCCATAACATGCCGCACCGCAACTGGTTTACTATTTAGGATGTCCGAAGCACTTGAAAGTCAGCAGCACCATGCGATAGCGCTGCAGTCCGAAGTCTGCCATCGATTTTGTGGAATTTATTATCGCACTGAATCGTGAATTAAAATTTATTTGCTGAATGAGTCGGATTTATCATATTTTCCGATCCTGTTTGCTTGAGTGGGAAACAGGGCTGAGCCAGCATCTTACAATTGTTGGTACCGTATGACTGTTCAAGTGGGTGCACCCATGCGCCATATGTACCAGCCAATCGGCGCCGGGATGGATGATTCATCGATCCGATACGTCATGCTTTTGACAGCTTAATGAAGTTACCTTCGAGAAACATGAGCTAATGGAATTTTAGCCGCATTGAAATGTTGTAAATCGTCTACCATCGGAAGCGAATCGATTAATTTTGCCGCTGCCAGTCGTACGTTACGGGATGCAGAGGGCGCAGTGGCGCTAGTTCTCGCTTAACTTCCGGCTATCGCACATCGACTCGCCGTCTGCAGTCCGGTTGGTGCGGTGCTGACCAGCGGAAACGGCGTCTGCCTCACTGCATTCCACTTGACAGCGCTGACTGCGCATTTATAACACGGGTGCACGGCATCAAGCCAAAGACATCACACTGAACATTTCCCAGACATTTTCGACGACTTGATATGATGCGGAGAGCGCTTATATATCCGGGATATTCTCGTCTCATGTTATGACTTGTAGATTGAACATTTTTTCTCCCCGTTATATCATCGATCATTGGGGACTGATTCAGCCAAGTGTTTGTCTGGACACAAGTGGATAGATCACCACGGGATCATATACACAGGGTTATAATCCCCCTTAATACGTCCCTGATTTTCAAAGGATTCAACTTCCTCCACGGGCCGTTCTTGTGCTGGATAATTTTACAGCATGGAGCGCGTTGAAGAGTACCGTTCCAGCAGCAACATGTCCCATCAGAGTGAGGTGCGTGTGCCCATTTTCAAGCGCGAAACCAGCGTCGTGGAGAAGGAGTTCGGGTCTATTCGCGAGCGTTTTGATGAGGAAATGCGCAAGATGGAAGACGAGATGAACCGGTTGCGTGGCGAGATATTAGAGGGCAATAAACGCCTGGAATCCTCCTTCAAGGAAACCCGATCCACCACCACGCGCACCACCTCATCGCGGTCGAATTTTGGTGACGGGATGAGCGGAACGGAGCCGGGCAGTGAGGTGAGCAACCGGAATAAATCTGTCGTTTTTAGCATAAATACCGGTGTAGCGCTGGGCATTGTTGAATAGCGCAGCGGAACGAAGTTCAGGCGGCCATATGCCCATAGCATAAATAAATAACATAAAATGAACCGTTTAGTTTGTAAGCATTTTATTCGTACACGTTTGTCGGCTTTTTCTGCAGGAAGTGTTTTTGTCTGCTCGTATGGCACGCTAATGACCAATATCTATCGGTCAAATGAAACATAATGTCCATAAAAAGTTGCATTACGTGTACGGCGGAATCGTGTATGTCAATTTTACGTTAATAAAAACTGGTGTTCCGTGTTATTAATTTGGCATAAGCTGCCCAAAAATTTGAATGCCGAACTGCAGCATGTAAATTTTAATTGGAATTTATATTCACACAGTTTGTAGATTAAAGGAGTAAATTGAGTAATTTTTCTGTTTACAGATAGAGATGCGTGCCGGTGTTTTTTAAAATGTGTGACTTCGTAATAGAAATGAGCGGGATATTAATATTTCTCGTTATGACAAGTTTAAATCCTCATTTTTATTTTGAAATCTTAATTTTAAAATTTCAAGATCAGTCCGAATGGGACAGATAAAATAAAAATACTTCCTTGAGTCTGAATGTCAGTTTCTTAGTTCGTGCTGAAATAAATGCAGTTTATTGTGTTGATCAGTATCGAACGGAGCTGAAGCAGTGGATGGACAATCTGGACAGCCCGCTCATCTCCGGCCACCAGGATATCGCCGGTGAAGACGGCAAATGCCTGCGTCTGCGCTTCGACGTCAGCGAGTACCGACCGGAAGAGATCTCTGTCAAGACGGTGGACAGTAAGCTAAAAGTACACGCTAAACACGAGCAGAAGGGCGACGGGAAATCGGTGTACCGCGAGTACAACCGGGAATTCCTGCTGCCCAAGGGCACCGACCCGGAGCTCATCCGCTCCACCCTGTCCAAAGACGGCATTCTGACGGTGGAGGCGCCCCTTCCGGCGCTCCCCGGCCCCTCCGAGCACCGAATTCCCATCACCAACTTTTGAAGACATTTATGAGAACGGAATGAGATGGCATACGGTTGACGTGGTTCCGGTTTGTACAGGTGTTTTTCGAAAGTGCTGTGTTTTTTCTCTTCGGTTGATTGGTGGTTTTTTTGGAGAAGAATTTTTCCTCACGTTATTATTTTCATACCGAAAGGTCTCGGGCCCGTTCTCGCGAGAGTCGCGAGGAAATGATGCGAAGAAAAGAGGCGGCTTACAATCTCATGGTTTTTTCTCGGCAAATTGCCGACTTCATTAATCTGGTAAAACGGTTTTTGGTTGTTGTACGTACCCTGAGCGGTAACACACGTTTTTGCTTTTTTTCCTTCCTTGAGGCTGTTCAATATTGATTGATTGTACGTAATTAAAGCAAACTGTTTGTTGAACTGGGAAAATGGTTTTCGATCAAAACAAATCACTATAATTATAGTGTAAATGCAGTACACTTTGACGCCTACTTGAAACCGTTAATCGAGAAATTTGACATGATAATAGTATGTGCAATACATTGTATTCTGTCAAGTGCACGAATAATAAATATATTTTTGCGTATAAAAAAATGCAATCAGGTTAACGATTTTTTTTAGCACCGGCAAATTTTAAAAATTCAGCAATATAGTTTTGTTATTTTCGTACATAAATGGTAGAATCAAATCAAAACTCTGGTAGTTTTGGTTATTTTTATGAAAACGTACAGCACCAGAAAAACGAAATATCCTACAGCATTTTTAAATTAATTTTTGTTGCTACAAAAACGAAAACCTTTCGCTGAATCCGGCCAAATTTATGCCGGTTATTTTTCTCTCCGTTGATTATTTATTCAGGTCGATGGCAAATATTTGAATGCTCCGTTGATCATGGGCCGTATAGTGCAGCCCTGCGCCAAGACAGCAAGATTAGCGTTGTGACAAGAGAACCCGAAAAATTTTTACGATCTGCGTGGCTCGGCAAATAGCCAGCCCGATGGAGCAGTTATGGCATTTTTGCAGCGGTTGCATGTTCCATCATAAAACCCAAATGCGCATACATCAACGCTGTCCCCGTGCGACTAGTCGACGAGATATATTCCCGGCGCAATAGCATTCCTGCCAACCATTTCCGGTGGACATCTTGGGAGACATTTTGCTCGAATAAATTGTCATTAAAAATTGCATAACCGGCAAAATAAATATATACGCCCTGAGCTTGCGATGTACTCGTATATATGTGTGTGTGCGTGGGGAGATGAATATTTAATCAAGTGGAAATGTTTGTGTGATGCGATATGGCCATGGCCATTAGTCAGTTAAGCCGGCGTGCAGCGCCGGAGCGCCCTACGTCTGGCTGCATTTGCAGCTGCGCCGGATGTGCATTATGGCTTCTGCGGTGACAAAGATGCGCCGGTTCACGGAAGTATGCGCCCAAACGCAATGCGGTCTGATTCTCTGTTTCACTGCCGGCACGGCCAACCTGTTCTGCGGTCCATCATCCAACGGTTGTTATCTGACACGGCAATTTACTTTTACGCTGCTGCTTGCTGTTTTGATTCCTCCAAAAAGCCGACCCACCAGTGCTTTGCCGGTATGCGCGCGTTGCCCAACGGAACGTGACGACTGGTATATGTTGTTGACTTTTTTGATGCGCCACTCTGAACAAGCAAAATGAGACGGACTGTGTTGACTAATTGTTGATTTCAGCGCTTTTTTCTGACGGTGATTACATATTACACAAATGCGACGATGTATCGATGTTGCACTTGAATCGCTGCGCACAGACTGTCCAAAATATACAGACGACCGCGCAGACACTATTACCACATCAGAAAAAGTGCCGGTTTTCTCTTTTGCATGAATATATGAGCATTGCCAAATATAAGAAAACATTTTCTTTTTGAATTTTAAACATTGAAGTTTTAAGTTATACCATAGCTGAAGTGATCGCCGTAAATCGCTCGTTAGCTGCGTTGCGTACATAAGGTATATCAGCACCTTCTCGTGAAAGAATGTTTTGATAAATTAAAAGCCTTCGTTGTTACAGGTGGATCTGTGTTTATTCAACAAAAGAGATAAGATTAGGCGTAAAAGGTTATTTGAAACCGCTAAAATAAACTAGTTTGCAGTTACTGCATGCATGCGTGAAATTAGTGCACATTACATTTATAAAAAAAATGTCGAAGTGTTATAACGTAATTAAGGGTTACTTGTGAATTGTGATATGTAAAAGTATGCTTAGTGCTCGTCTAGCACGTCGTATACTAGCTATATATATGAGTAACTAACAATCATCACTGGTAAAATTAAATGAACGAAGAACCGTTAGTTTTATTATAGAAGTAATAAAAGTCATGCAACCGTAACGACGTTACCACATATAATCTAGTATAGATACCTGGGCGAGCGAAGATCGCTAAAATTTTGTACTATTTTGTAATTAATTGGTAATTTTTATACTCATAGTGATGGTAAGCAGTTGCACCTTATTATTAGCTGATGTTTTTCAGAGTAAAATTAAAAACAGTTCATTCCGAAGCCATTAATCTTCGGACGTGTGCTTGAGTAACAACCCAGCTTCCAAGAAGCTCAAACCAGTGTTGTGGAATAAACATACTCCCTTAGGCGGGATGCACAAATCCTTGCACCGGCATCCGGGCAGCTAGCTTTGCATGGACAGTTTTATTACCTAAAGTAATATCGATTAAACGCATGTATACACGCATCTAACGTAATCCTTCGACCCGCTCCATATGGTGCTCGTGTTTTCCCGTTCGACTGACAACAGTCCCTAACGTTCCAGTAATTTAATCATTTACAGATTTATGGACACCAGCTGCTGCACCTAATTCGAGATTCTATGGCGGCAAGACCCTTTCTTGAGAGTTGTACAAATGGCTAATCACATGAATGCTGATGAATAAATTTACCATATTCTTCCGAACACAACATGGAATTAATTCGGTAATGCTTATTTAAACAATGTTATTCTTTTTCTGTTACATTAGCAAGTGATCTTTTAATGGAATCAGTAATGTATGTATTGCGAGCAAAAGAGTTTTCATGTGTCGTTTTCATGCCGGGAGCCGAAATAAGCGCAATCATTGTAATATAATACAATGCTATAGCTATAGCAAACAATTTTGTGTTACTGTAATAACCATTGTGTTACACTTCCGTCGGTATCATGCGCGCAAAGCAGATACAGCTGGTTACTAACATAGGCAAATTTAATGGCGCTGATCGCAGTAGACGGCGTTCGATGTTTATGGTTGAGTTGGGATTTCGCATTAGGATACGAAAACAATCCCAGCACAGAGCTGCCTTTGTTGACGGTCTTATTAGCGCGCTGGTCGCCGGCCGCCTGCGTTGAGCGGTCGATGACGGCGGTGTCGGAAGTGACGGCGGCCACCATGTCCAGCGTGGGCGTCACCTCCGTACACACGACAGTGCCGTCCACTGACGTCTCGCCAGTTACGCCTGCAAACATAAAGGTTACACATTTAAATCAGCTTTCCTGTATCGTTACACATCTATACACCCAGAAACCAGAATTATACACTGGTGTTTAAGGTATAAAATAATCTTATTCAACACATGCGCATCTTGTACGCGCATACGCATATACGATAATATAAAATGTATATGTACTCTGTACATCTGTAGACGGTACGGTTAAGTAAATTTTGCTACAGTACTCTAGTATTTGAAATTAGTACCGCCATGAACCACGCACACATACAATACTTACCGGCATCACGATATGTGCGCAAACCAGTAAAAATTTGTAGAAAACAGTTAACTCAACACAATTTCGAATCCGCAGCACACATACCGTACTACGGTATGTGTGGTAGTACGGTATGTGTGCTGCGGATTCGAAATTGTGTGTTAACTATTTTCTACAAATTTTTACTGGTTTGCGCACATATCGTGATGCCGGTAAGTATTGCATGTGTGCGTGGTTCATGGCGGTACTAATTTCAAATACTAGAGTACTCTAGCAAAATTTACTGAGACGTGTTAAGGCTTACTGGTAACAGCCGGAAACCCATAGATGCAACTCTGGGTATGCCACTTGACATTTCTGTAAAAATGGGATTCCTCCAGGTAATCCAGATTTTCCGCATCCCACAGAAAATTCTCAAAGTGATAAGAATTGCTGTGGATAACGTAGTGATCGTCGCGTGCAGGATTGCGGGACCAGTCAACGGCCTGAAGACGAAAATGTTTGTAATAAATGCGCGACATGTAGTGATTAAAATGTTTTAAGTCAGGTCTTTTTGTAACTCCATAAAGGCATAAACAAGCTCACAGCAAAAATTTAAATCTGCGCATAATCGAGTTAACGAAAACATTCTGGAGATTTATCATATTTTAGTTTTGACATATAATATATTGCTCACCACAGGTGGATAGTCGTGTTTGTCGAATTTGCCCAGAATGGACAATGTCGGCGAGGTTGACGTCTCGTCGCCATTCTGTTCGAGAAATTTATATATGTAAATTTCGGAATCCTGGCTTGCCACGGCTAATCGGCTTCCATCCGGCGAAAATTTAATACACGACACGCGCCCTTGTCCCACATTTGCCTATTAATATACAGTATATAAGCCGGCACAAAAAGTGCAATATTACAGAGAAATTCGTATTTAGTGCTTTACTGCGCAACAGGAAATACCTGAAACAACTGAACCAGCTGTAAATCTTTCTGCTTGTACACCTTTAGCTTTCCATCCGCCGTGCCCATGGCGAGGAACGGCGCAAACCCATCCAGGGCCGACAACATGGAATCCTTGAGGAATAAACGCCAACGGACGCTGTGCGCCTGGAGGTCGTAGCAGTTGGCGTTACCGTCCATGCCCACGGTGACGGCCAGCGACAGACTGGGCGGTGACAATGTCGACACGAACGGCTGAGCGCCGTCGGCATCCTTTTCCTCTGTATTAACCGACGGGATTTCTTCCGTGAAGCTAAACGCCGTCAAGCTGGTAACGCGATCAAAATGACCGGCAGTTAGAATAGTGGCGGTCAAAGGAATTTCCAGTGCCGCGCCGAATGCGTTGTCGGTTAGTGTCGGCAGTTCGGCTCTCAGGATGCAATTCGCTACCATTAAAATTTGAAAAATTGAATTTGAAATTTGAATAATTTAGTTTTGAAAAATTTATGCAATGCAAAACAGTTTGAACGTTAACGTTGAAAACGTTTTGTCGAAAATAATGCAGTCCGGCTACGTTATTTATTGGTTTCTACAGAGTTTATGCGTTACCGGTTAAGCCCATTCACTACGATTTTGCTCGACTACAGAATCGTTTTGGAACCCATCTCGAATATCCGAATTTTCAAAGGTCAATCACTTTAAAAATTACAGCTTTCTCAGATTTATTTTTACCGGTTGTGCCGATTAGGATGTTGTAAAGGTCACTGTTGTTGTCTGATTGCGGTTGGTTATCGGATGCTGTTGCGGTGTTTCGTTGCGGTTTGTAGTTGCTGGATAACATCACACGAACACCCCCAAATTCTTCCGCTAACTGCAATTTACCCACAGCGACATTTTGTGCAGCGGACGCTGTTACAGCGGCATTGCCATGGGATCCCGAATTTTGCTGCGGAAGTTGCGAAGGAATGCCCAAAACGACAATCTTCCCATCGCGCGAACCGGCAGCCACTTGGTTATCGTTCAACTGGCACACGGCGAACACTGGCACCTGTATATGAAGAGCAATTTCATAGTGCATAATTTATGCAAACAAACGATTGTAAAAACATTCTGGCAAGAAGACGATTTTTGTTGCGAAAAATTTATTTTCGAAGAAAGCTGTAATGTTGCTGTGCATGTCAAATTGCTCTTGTTGGAAAAACTTTTTTTTAACCCATGCATTACCTTGTTGCCCGGCTGTAGAATCGTCTTGGGACGCATTTCGTCGCTCCATACAATCACGTTACCTGCAACGTAATGTAAAATCAGCCAATTAATATTCACGCAATCTTTTTTAAACACAATCAAACACTTATATAAAAACACATTTACAATCCGTGGCATTTACTGCAAATTTAAGCGTAAGATATGCAGTACTTACCGTCCGAATCACCGGAAACGACTTGTCCAAACTCCTGCAGCTCGATAATCGCCGTTACAATAGATGGCTTCGGGATATGGCCGAAAACATACTGCCGGACAAATTCTACTTTACGTTCACTGGGAATAATTCGCCATTGCTCCATCAAATTCCGTCCAAATATAACGAACAGATTGTCCTTTTCTGTAAGGTTAGAAGATTATGAATACATATGCCACTGTATTAAACTAATTTTGTTGACCCAGTTTTAATCAGTCCGTTTCATAGTTATTTAAATCAATCAGAACAAATATCCTCTTGTACTTTGGAGAGCTTTCAGTCCGCAGATGACGGCACTATCCGTGCAGGGTTTCTGTATGACGAGATGACCAGTGTCCACTGACCAGATGGTCAGTGTGCGCATCGGGGCTTTGTTTCCGGCAGCCGCACGGTATTGACCTAATCGCGCATCGGCGTCCGCAGTGGCACTGGGCACCCCTTCATCCAACGCCACCAGACTATCATTGTCCTTAGTAAAACACAGCGCCACCACGCCGGTTGTTGTCCAATGGAACGACTGGGAATTTTCGCCGCTATCGCCGGTGGACCCCGAGAAGCTTCCCGATCGCACCAACGGACCAGTGCTGACTTTGATGACGTGCAAGGTCTTAAGGCTGTTTATACTCCATATTCGAATTCCAGCCTGGTCAAAAATATTCTAAATGATGTAACGTATATAAAATATTAAGTGCACAGCCTCAGCCGCATTTGTAATTATTATGCCCCCAGTAAAAAAGTACCAGTGTTTTTGAGCTTAAATAAACATAATCAACCTATTATTACTATGCGATTTGTTTCGGAAATTCCGCACATTTTTATAATTCATTTTTTCGTAGTACTTTAAACAGCTAAAACAATCTGTACAGAATGTTAAATTTCTAAAATGGATTTACCAGTATTTGATCATTAATAGATCCGGATGTCGTAGTGTCCTTTGATGATGACTGACCAGTGGCGGCGAGTTTTCCATTTCCGCTTACGCTAAGACACTGTATAAGCACAAACTTCTGATATATGCCTGGATTCGTTTTTGTAATATTTAGGTACACGATCATTTTTAATGCTCAGTAAATATTAAGTACTTGTATGAGTCCGTCATGTTCAGCATAAATTCCTTGGCTGTTAGCGGAAAGGTCATGGACCACGGCAATTAAGCCAACAAAATAGACAATTCTTTTGCCGGTCCTGATTTTATTGGGATTATTCGCGTCGTCAGGATCGTCATTCCATAGCAAATGAATATTTCCACGGTGTGCAAAACCGCTGTATCCATAAACCCATTCCAATTTTGGATAGCGGAGTTTTGGTGTGACGGAATCAAAATATTCATCTGGCTTCACAAGTGAGCATGCATTATCATACAAAAATTTTTACATCACCAAGTTCACCAGAAAATTAACAACACTTAATCATACAAATATATATCACCATTAATCTTTTTTATCGACCAGAACTTTACGTACCGGCCATAAAACCAACTTCTGATCCGCAATTTTTCGCACAACCTGCAAGCAGTTACCACGATAATGGTGATGTCGTATTAATCAAACGAGGAAAGCTTTCCATCATTTTTTGTTATTCTAACATCCGTCATAATTAATTGTTTTCCTAATGACAGGATAAATTAAAACGAAGAGCAAGAAATACCGGGTTGATTGGTCGTTCGGCCAAGCCGTTGGCCGTTAATTCCCGATTGTTATTGTACATGCCGGTGCTCGTAGTTCCTCGGCTGATAGCAGAAAATATCGACGATGCTAATGAAGTGTTGTCCCCAGCGGTACTGCGCAAATCAAGCGAACTGTTTCCTGAATGTAAATGCTTAAATGAACGTTTCGAAAAAACGGCAGTACAAACCAAATCACACGCTATACACGGGCGATTGCTAATACATTTTCTCAATTGTACGAAGTATTTATGTTTGCTTAATGCGGTCTAAAATAATTATGTTACATAAATTTATTTGCTCAGCATAGGCTGCATAAAAGGTTGCAATACAAAACACAGGAAGCTTTATATGTGTACCTCGAAGGGTTCAGAATTCCGATTCCACCTATTGCACGTTCACTGTGATTTTTAATGCTTATGTTTGCTATACCTATCTGATCGCCGGAAGCATTCAAACTGCCCGATGTCTTCTTTCGCCCCAAAAACCCTTTCAGCCGTCCACCAACCCGACCTTTAGGTGCACCTTTCCCGGTTTGTTCTTCCGGCAATCCCAGTAGTGCTTGATTGGGCTGATCCACCGATTCGCCGGGCACCGCACTCCCGTATTCTCCCGCTTCCAGACTATTGTTGCCGGGAGTGCTTTTTGATTTGGGCGTGGTCGGCCGTCCCATCTGCGTGACGGCACCGTCTTCCAGCAACTTACCGGCATCCACTTTCTTCTTGCTGCCGGCATCGTCCGGCTTTTGAAATAAACGGGGATTGATTTTTAGCGCGCTGTCATAGGCTTTATCCAGCAGGACAAACAACTCCCGATGGCTAATGCAGCCGAACAGCGTTTGTTACGGTAGAGTGACTTTGAAAGTGCTAAGTTGGTGCTAACCTGATGCGGCCATTATTGTCGTCATCGCACCGTATAAGGAGGCTTTTAAGTAGTTCACCTTTAACCGGAAATCCATAATCCCGGCACACTTTTACGAGCTGTTGTTGCATAAAATACAAACCATTCAGCGGGGATTAACCAATCTACCGAGAAACTTTGTCACTAAAATGCTTGCGAAAGGCCTACCTGCGTGTTGGGAATGTGACCTTGTCTGGTTTTATCCAAAGCTAAAACTGCTGTCTGGAACAAAGCAAATGCAAAAATAGCCAAATGGTGACCTGTTAAAAATTAAGTAAAAATAGATTTGTATTTATTGTTAAGGGACCTTGAATGCGTCCATGTCAAATCGAATGTTAGTTTTGTCATCGGCTTCGGTTATCCCGGCTCCTGCCGCTAAAAGCTCTGTTTCCATCCGTTCCAAAAGTTCCCGATCGCCACCCGGATCGGCGAACACCGATATGATAGGTGTGCGCATGTGCAAGCTTTTTCGGGCGCGCACGCTATCCCTGTCTACCATCAACATAAGCTATGTAGCTGCTTTATTAAATATTTTATTTTACAGATTTTTTTGAAAATTGCTCTTTTAAAATCGCGAAATTCCGTTAGTGTAAGTTACGTATGTATGACCGCAATCCGTCTATAAATTTTCTTTAGTTACTGGTAACAAAAATAATCAGCTACGTATGTAAGCCAAAGGCAGTTATCCAATTGTAATTTTACCGGTTTGTGCATGAACTTCCATTAGGAGCTTCCAAACTTTTTCCGAATCAACTCCCAAACTAGTTGAACAATTACTTTGCACCAGTCCGGAAGCGGTAGATGGGATGCTTAAGCCATTATCCTAAATAGATTGTCATAATTATGATCTCGTACTCTGTATGGTCGTTGTACAGATACTCACTATACTTGCGAAAAATACTCTATCTATACAATCTTTCGTGGAAATCGACAGTGGATTAACACTGCAAACTTTACCTGCAAGATACGGGTGAAATCCGCATAACTCATGTACCCATCCACTCCACCCAATCGTCGCAAGGTCATGAGAATGAATCTCATTTTTTGTCGGCTACATTTGGATACCGCTTCCAGTAAGATGTGCGTCATTTCCGCTTTGATCGCATCGCTCAGTCCACTGGCGCCGGGCGCTTCGCTGTCCATTTTTTTCTTTCGTGTTTTAAATTCGACTTTATCCGGTGGTTTACTTGACGGGTGAGGATGATGTCCTGGGCTTTTGTGGCTATCGTCTATGCAGTTTTTAAAATGTATTTCACAACATTCTGAATGCACAGTTCATAACACAATTTTTTAAGATATGCTGTCGCATTTGACGGTGAGCTTTATGGTAACCGTTGCAAATTTTGTAAAACATATGCGCCAAACCACTTTGCTACATCAATATGGTGTAGGCGCGATGAAACACTAATTTATATTTTCATATAAAAACAGGTAAACAAACAGATGAAGGTAATTACACAAAATGTAAGTATTTACCGCGTCATGCGCGACAAAGTATTTTGATACTGCACATCTTGCAGGTGTTAGGAATCTCTACCGATGTTTTGACCACATCTTTCCACAAATGCATAGTGAGTAAGTACGGGTACTTATACACTCAACCGTACTCAAGACCTTCTACGGATTTATTTATTCCTAACATGCCTTTTCAAAGTTGCCACAAAAGAAATGCTCAATAATGCCGGCACACCTGTAAACCACTACATACATCAATATGCCCTGAACAAAAACGTATTACTGTACCTGTACAGTACCTAGTACGTGTTACGCGAGATCTACACGTACTGCGAGCTTGCAGGTTTACACAAATTATTCTGGATCGTCTTACTAGGTACCATCAAAATGAATATGCAGTGTGCAGCAGTAGAAATATTCAAAAACAGAAAGCCGTGTGCAACAGTAAAAAAAATTAAACAATATTTGGTTGTGTTGTAATTGTAAAGAGCATAAATACTGTTAGATAAGCGCGGCCAACCTGGCTTATGGTGTGCGCGCGGTGACGCGCCGGGACTGACCACCGGCGAATGTCCTGCATGACTGCTTTCGTTATGCGAATGGCCATCAGTCTGCAAAAACACACTTGCAAGTAAAGGTCGACGCATACGGATTACGGACTGACCGTATTGGCATTCGGCACCTTACCGAAAGACTATGACTACTGTGAAGTCGGCGCAGTTTTCCGGAAGTATGGGCGTCCACTACGCGGCTTAAAAGAGAGCGTTTTTTCTCCATTACTACACAGTATCCAGTTTAAAGAAAGCTAGTTCTGAAAATTAGTGATCAAAAGTTGAACGGAACTAGCATCACGATTCACGGTCGGACTCGGCTGTGTTAAATTATACCGGATCCAACATCCAGAAAAGGACGGACACATTCACCTTGGCAGGAAAAATGTGCTGGTAGCGCCAGTTTAGTGACCGAATGATCCTGTTTAAACATAAGTAAGACATCCTAAATTACCAATAATCACGCAAGTCGCAGTAATGTTGTACATACAGATTTATTACAGCACGAGGTGTTAAGGTCTAGAAATTTCCCGTATTCGCCTGCATTTGCAGTACTCGTAAAGTCGTAGTACAATTAAGCTCAGAAGAAAATCGATTTTCTGATGAAAGTTTTTCCGTGTCCATATTTTCAAAATAGTCGACCCCACATTTAAGGAGCCAGGAATTACGTGACATTAGACGTGTCACGAAATCTTTCCAGCAGCCAGTTACATACTAAATTTTTCATCTCTCGGAACTTGTCGGCTCCTTGCGCTTTACATATTTATGGCTCGATTAAAAACTTGTCAGTTATTGCCAACTTATGTTAGTTATGATTACATTACATGCATGGTTATCCCAGACAAAAAAATAATTAAAATGACCGCTTTATCACAGAAAACTCGACAAATGGCCAACATTTGCGCATGATTAACAGATGCATGTGCGCACGGAACTTGATATCTCCCGGTAATGCGCATAATAAAGTGCTTCCATCCATTCGATTTGTGGTGTTTCTACTAATAATTTAATTCTATACTTTGCACGTTTACCACTAAAATTATAAAAAAAGCGCTAGAACGCTTATTTATACCGGTCAAACCAGGATCACTGCATTTAGCAAATGTTAATTAATGTCAAATGTGACATCCATCTAATTGTAATACTGCTCAAATCAAACAGTGCTACGTAATTACAGATATCAGAAAAACAGCCTTTTATTTCCGGAAGTGGCAATGTTTGACGTCGTTATTCGTAATAAACACAAAGTGCAAGTGTGATCCTAATTAGTCAGTGCCCTCAAGACGTTTTACTTATAAAATAACCGGTTTCCCTCTCTAATTACTCTTCTCAGTGTCTTTGGTATTTGTCAAAACTTTCATATTTATATTGTCTGTTGGTGTTTTTATGCAGGCGTTAGCTCGTAATGCTTTTGCGCGGACAGACAGTAGTTACTGCAATTGTACGTGCATGCAGTTAGCGTAAATTCTTTTCCAGATAATTGCCTATCTGGATGCAGTACCATACTTCACAATCCAAATCTTCTTAAATTCAGTGAAAATGAAATTATTGGATGTAAAAATTATACAACTGGCGTTTGTTATATATGGGACCGGTGTGTGGGCGGTGCAAAGACTTGACGAGGAAGATCGACAACACTTGGACGATGATATTCCAGCAGGTTCGTGGGAAGATCTAACCTAGCCTGTGTACGTATACGTACGTTTAGCAATCATTACTGCACTCGCTTGGGAGGAAAAACTAAAACAAACCTTTCCCCGTAGTATCCCGGTAGTTGAAAGTTATAATTTTAATTTCGATGGTTTACAGACTGGCGAGACTATGTTGCACTAGATATGTTGAAATCGTTTCCGGTAAAGGACCGGTCAAATGGGCTCTTGCAAGGGGATATTGCCGGAATCGATCCCAGTATGGTTGTCAACTTTGGCCCGACTCAGGTTTGTGATTTATGCTGCAATTTGGTAGCTAGACTCTTGTTTTCTCTACAATGTTTGCTAAACAAAATTAATTATAATTCCAGTTAAACTCTTTTCATGTATGTAAAGTTTTATCAAACTTTTACGCTTTTACCAAATCGTTTCCTTATTATTTGCTTACTGTTGCAGTTTAACGCAGTGAATGATGAAAACTTGTTATGGCCAAATGGTTTGATTCCTTATGAGATGTCAAGGCAATTTCGTAAGTCAGTAAAGAATGTTGAGTTGTAGCAGTAGTATATGCAAATTTTGTAGATTTACCTTCATAAATAACGGTATACAATTGAAATTAATTACTCGTAATAAATATATAGGAAATGTGGACGTGGATTTCATCAAACAAGCTCTAGCTGGCATAGAAGCGAAAACTTGCGTACGATTTATTCCAAGAAAATATGAGGAGGACTTTATTGCGATCATTGCTGGATTGGAGTAAGCCATGTTCGCTATTAGTACTGTAAAACGTTTTGTCTGAAGAGTTTTAAAAACAATTATCAAATTAACCTACCTTCGATTTAGTGTTTGGATGCTGTTGCACAACCAAGTGTCATGAACTGAAATACTATATAATATTATCGAATGACAATCGCTTTTATTAATCGTTTATTTAAATAGCAATAAAATCTTTCGTAATACTGTAAATTATTTCAGATTTTTCGATTTACAGCTGCAGTTCTATGGTGGGACGACAAGGCTCCCGACAGGAAGTGAGCATGAATCGCGGTTGCCGGGACGGTTTAGGCGCCACTCAACACGAATTTCTCCACGTTCTGGGTTTTTATCATGAGCACGCCCGATCGGATAGAGATCAGTACATTTGGATCAATCACAGGAATCTCAACAACGATGGTAAAATAGAATATTAAATAAAAAGCAGCTGGCAATAATTTTATATATAGCATTTGGCCGTTTACCTGAACACTTTTAGCAAAATATAATTTAATTTCTGATAATAAACTTTTGTTAGCGTATTTAGGCAAGTAGTACACTTTAATTCTTAAGTTACTCTAGCTTTTCTTAAGAAGTTTAAAATTTTGCAGCTAATTTAACTGCCCGAATCAATAGGACGCCCAAATTTTAAATGCGTAATTAAAGTTCCCTTGCAGATTCACCAACGATGTTACAATTCCTCGCTAAAACTCCACAACAAGCCACGACTCTCGACACGCCCTACGACTACGAGTCCGCTATGCACTACGGCTGGAACGCTTTCGCTGTCAACCGTAATTATCCCACCATCCTTCCGAAACAAAAGGGCAAACGCATCGGACAGCGTGATCATTTAAGCGACACGGATATTCTGCGCATCAATAAATTATACCGCTGCGAAGCGTATCTGAACAAGGAGAAACCGAAACCGGTGCAGATTAGCGAGGTCAGCTACGATGACGACGAGCAAGAGTGGTGGATACTGTGTAATGGAAAGGTCGACCGGGAAGGCGGTTGGGATGAGAATCCGGATGTGTGCTTGAAGCTGTGCGATAAAATTGATAATGCGCTGTATCCGAATTTGTGGGTGGGCGATCGGTACAGCGGGAAGCGACTGTTTAACCTGCCTACCACTAAGCGGTGCATGCAAAAGTCATGGTTGTGCGATGGAATTCAGGATAGTCCTGATGACGTATCCGAAGACAAGGAAACTTGTAAAAAATTCTGCAAAGGTATGGTACTAAAACGATGCCATAGTTCATCCTTTATAAACCGATTTTTAATAAACAAGTAAGTTATGAAAACGAATTTTTAAAAAAATTTATGTATAGGGCTATATCGTTTAGTATGTACGAGTACGCACACGAAGGATAAGAATACAATAAAAACTGCAATAAGACTCCAGGTTTTAAAGTAAACTAACAGATGTACTATACTGTAATGCGATTATTTTAAAGCAATATTTATTGCTTTACATAGGTAGCATGCTGTTGATGGAAAAGTTCATGCATTGCAATATTGTATTTTTAATTATTTTGCTGCATTTAATTTTTCCACGTGTTTTAAATCTACGCCGAGATGACACTGCCTAAATAAAAATAAAGTAGTACATTCTCTGGTCACAAAATTGGGTGCGTTTCTTATACAATGTTAATTATTTTTTGTACAAAGGTGGAGGCTATGTGGCGATTGCTCCCAGTTACCAGTGCGTCCATTTCACCGAATTGTGCGACGGAAAAATTGCCAACGCCGGTCGCCCTAACGGAGCCGGTGATGGGTCGGATGAAGATAAGGACAACTGCATCAAATACTGTCAACAGCCGGATATGCAAGACTACGGCGGACGCCTCTTCAACCTAGCACCGACACAGCGCTGCATGCTGAAAACGTGGCTGTGCGACGGAATTAAAGACAACGACCCTAACGACACGTCCGAAGATCCGGAGAATTGTAAGAAATATTGTACTGGATCTGGACACTTTCCCGCCGGTGACAATTTCCAGTGTATTATTTATTCGTGGTTGTGCGATGGCCGGAAAGATACTCGCACCGGATGGGATGAAGTGAAAGGGAACTGTTTGAGCGCATGTCCGAAGGTATGCTTTTATAAGATATGTTTTTATGCACCTGAATGAATACATTTTCTGCTGTGTATTTTCTGACTTGTGCCTTCTGACGTATTATGAACGGCATATACTTATGACTTACCTAGCTCATAGTTATATATCCAGTATTTATAATTATACGAGATATAACCTTTGTATATTACGTACGAGTAAAAAAACACGAAAGAAAAATGTTCCTGAAATATACGCGTATATATGTGAAGTGCACAAGGCCGAAGATATCTTTTCATATTTATGAATTCATGCATATTTTCTTTGCTACAATAAAATTATTTAGCAAGCGTGCAGTTCATGATAACTGCATTCGCATAACCAAGCTTGTAGGTAGTAAGTAAGCTAGAACATAAATGTGCTATCTACACAGAAAACATTTTCACAGGTCCCCGGAATGGACGGTGAATTGTTCAATCTGGAGGAGACATCGGGGCAGTGTTTACATAAACGAACATTGTGTAATGCACAAATAGAGAGCGGTCAGGTTTCGACCAACAACGAAGATATCTGTGAAAAATACTGCAAAGGAAGTTTGTTCTTTCCGGCGGAGGACACAAAACAATGTCTACGCGCCACGGATCTATGCGACGGCAAGCTGGATACGAAAAATGGATGGGATGAGACGCCGAAGAATTGCCGAAAGTACTGCAACCTGATGAACACCGAACAAAATCTTTTCGTTAATCCCCGATCTAGGCGGTGCTTAATAAAGCCTCGCGCAAGAAGATCTCTGCTATTGCAATAAGACATTTTTCCGCATTATCATTCTGTGATTTATATGGATTGTCCACTGTACACACTGCTACTGCTCCGGTTTAAGCAGTAGCAGTTGATGTCAAATACTACAGTAAAATACAGTAAAACTGCACTTAAAAAAATAATATATAATTTTAATTCCTAATCATTCATATTAAACTGCATCTGCACTCCACATTAGATGAAGCATGTGTATATGCGCAACATACTTGCACGTTGCGCACACAGTTTGCCGTTTTTCTGAACTTCCATAGAAACTTGTTCGAGCCATGTTATGCTGCTGCAATCACAAATCTGGCCCGCAGTAAAAATCTTTTGTTTAGCATTGATTTTTATTAATGGCACCTGTGCCTTGGGCTACTTCCATGTGTAAGCAATATTGACAATGTGATAATGTATGGCACAGCACATTTTGGAGATTTCAGATTCACGTGCAGCCAGTCCATCGCTGAAAAGATTCCTGTTTGTGTACGGTAACATTAGTCAAATCGAAAATGGCTCCAGTTTCCTTGCAGCTGAGGATCTTTCTGTTATATGTAACCTTTACCGTAGCTGCAGCGGCACCAACATCAAGCGACGACAAAGAATTTTTGGATAACGACATTCCAGCGGGTATGATCAAAACAATATTGCTCTCTTAGTATCCGTTTTGTGTGCTCGTTCTCTTGTTCGAGCATAGCATAAAATTGGTTTTCAAGTTACTGTGTAACTGTAGTATTACTGTATCAACTATTCAACGATATGTACGTATGCAGAACCTAATGACACAGTTTTAAAATATATCTGCAACTTTTTTTGCGACGGTAGCGTATAACAAGGAAATACGGAGGCGGTATAAAAATTCTTAATGCAAATGTTATTAAGACGCCGTTAGAGCAAAAGAACCTACGTAATTAACTGCAAGACGTACGGTAAAATTTAAAGCATATGAAATATTTTATGCATGTCCCTACGTGCCTTGAAAAGCATTTTTTGGGTACTAAAGTTCATAAAAATTTTAACGTTTGGCGTTTTGTGCGGCTGTTTTAGACTGGAGGGACTACATTGACAAAGACATGTTATCCATATGGCCAGTAAAAGATACATCCGATGGATTGCTTCAAGGGGACATCGCCGGCATAGATCCCTCTACGGTCATTGGTGTAGCTCATACACAGGTAACATATAATCTATATTAAAAACATTTTTTACAACTTGCGGCATTGATTTTCGGCAGATGGAGAGTTTTTGTCGTAGGCGAACGCAGTGAAGGATGAAAGTCTGCTGTGGCCCAACAGTTTGGTCCCTTACGAAATGTCACGCAGTGTCAGTAAGTTTTGAGAAAATTAATATGAGCACGGCGTAGACAAATCAGTTCGGATATGTTTACAAATACGCGCACTAAGAAAGGCATCCGTTTATTAAAATTTATATAGCGAGTAGAACCAGAACAGTAAAGTATGAGTATTATTATTGCCGCATTGCCTCTGTTTTACGCACCAGTGATACTCTGCGTATATGCCTACAATTTACAGGCAACAGCCAAACGAAATTCATCAAGGAGGCCATGGCTGGTATCGAAGCGAAGACGTGTATACGATTTGTTCCACGGAAATACGAGGACGATTATCTGGCTGTCGTCGCCGGGACAAGGTACAGTCAGCATCAAGTTTAAATCGGAAATTGCTCATTAAATTAATATTATTTCCACTCAGAAAACAACCGGTTAAACGAAAAGAAAAGAACGAAATTTTAAGCAATCAAAGTAACACAAAATCGCGAATAGCAGTAGCGACTAGCGAGCAAATGCACAACAGTAACGTCGCACAACAGTCAATTTGAATTTCATAAACACGTACATACGTACACAGATACATGCTCGCGTGGTACGATTTATAGTCGTTTATTTATTTTTTAATACACCTGGTAGTATCACGGGTTTCTGCGGGACTAATCACTGCCCACTGTCCAGTACATAATGTTGAGTGTTTGGTAGCTGCCACTCCATGGTGGGCAGGCAGGGATCACGACAGGAAATTGCCATGCATCGCGGATGTCAAGATGGATTCGGCGCCACACAACACGAATTCCTTCATGCACTGGGATTCTTCCACGAGCACGCGCGCCCCGACCGGGATAAATACATCACCATCAACACCAAAAATTTAGAAGGAGGTAACCAGTTTTACCAAACTTTATTTCAAGGCGAGCCATATCAGACCATAATTATAAAGCATTGTCTGCGACAGGCGACGACACTGCCGCGCAGTTCAAAGCGCAGACCGCCCAAGCGGCGACCACCCTGGACACCCCCTACGACTATGAATCGGCCATGCATTACGGCTGGAATGTCTTCTCCCGCAATCGCAACTACCCGACCATCCTGCCCAAACAAAAGGGCGCGAAGATCGGTCAACGGCAGAAACTCAGTGATATGGATATTCTCCGCATCAACAAACTGTATAAATGTAAGGACTACCTGATACCCAGTCAACCGCCCCCGGCGAACATCAGCACCGTGGCATATGATGAGAATCTGCAGAACTGGGCGGTGCTGTGTAACGGGATTGTGGAAATGGACGACGGTTGGGATGAAAATCCCGATGTGTGTCTGAAGCTGTGCGATAAAATCGACAATGACCTTTATAAAAATGCCTTTATTAATGAACGGGAACGATACAGTGGAAAAGTGCTTTATAATGCGCCTACAACGAAACAGTGCAGCAAGAAGGCGTATCTGTGCGATGGTATTAAAAAGGATGACAAAGATGATAGCGAAGATATCAATGTCTGCCAGCAATTTTGCAAAGGTCAGTTAACCAGCTTTTGGTAATGGGTTTGTGACTTACTGCATTTTAATTTTTTTAAAGATTTACTAATGCAGTTTTTGAAATATTAATGTATTAAGATATTTTTTATTATAATAATATATTTGCTTCAGGTGGCGGTTACGTAGCGATTGCGCCCACTTATATGTGCGTCCATTTTCTGGAGCTGTGCAATGGTAAAAAGGCTAACAAATTTTCTGGCGGTGATGGATCGGACGAAATCAAGGACAACTGTATTAAGTACTGTGGTGACCTTGATAAACAAGAGGGAGGAGAACAAAAGTATTTCAATCTGGAGCCGAGCGGGCAGTGTCTGATGAAGGACTGGCTGTGCGACGGGCGTACACACGCTCCTAAAGTCCCCACAAACGATCGGGATGTGTGTCAAAAATACTGCACTGGAGGGGGCTATTTCCCAACGGGCGACACTTCACAGTGTATTCATTATACGTGGCTGTGTGATGGGCGGAATGATACGACCACGGGATGGGATGAGATTAAGCAGAACTGCCTAGATGCATGTCCAAAGGTCACTCACTAATTACTGATAATACCTGCCCTTCCATCAATATTAAAATAAATTATTTATTATATAATGTGTCGTCCAATTTCTGATTATGTTACGATAAGTAGAAAACCAGGCCCGCCAGAAAGGGAGGCGCACCGGCGGTCGCCCCCCCCCCTTTCCGGGGTTTTTGACCGCCCCCCCCGGCGCGCCGTCCTGACGGCCGAGAAGGGCTCCGCCGCCCCGGCGCCGGTTTTACTGCGTTTTTTTAATTTTTTAATACAGAAATTAGTGAAATTTGAAATTTTTGGGTCGAATTTAGTAATCTGCGTGTTCACAAAGCTTCAAAAACATTTTAAAACCAGACACAGGATAATACCATGTAGCGATCGACGGTTTTTGTCGGGCCAAAATACGGTTCGAAAATAAAAATAAATTAAAAATAATTTTTTTTATTAAGCGCCCCCCGGCGGCGGCCAAAAAATGGTGCGCCCCCCGGCGCATTTTTGGCAAAACTGCGCCGGGGGGCGCGCAAGCACCCCCCCCTTTCCAAAAACCTTGTGGCGGCCTGTAGAAAACTAATGTTTAAATTTGAATTATTCATGCTAGCTATTGTACAAAAACTTGCGCAGTTTACAGCAAACATTTCTGTCGCAGATATTTAGTCGCTGTTTGCCGAAATTGAAAAATAGATCAGTATACGTAATTTATCACATATACGATTTTGGTATGAGCAGCAAAAATCCGACTTGTGTTGTGTTGTAGGTACCGGAAATGGATGGTGAACTGTTTAATATGGATCCATCTGGTCAGTGTATACATAAACGCCAGCTATGCAATGGTCACAAACTGGAAACCGGCAGTGCACCGACCAACATGCAGGATGTTTGTATAAAGTACTGCCAGGGCAATCTGTATTTTCCCATGCCGGATACCAATCAGTGTTTGAAAGCCACGGATTTATGCGATGGAAAGAAGGATACAGATAGCGGATGGGACGAGACGAATAAAAACTGCGTTTCCTACTGTCGGAAGATGAATACCAGCAAAAATTTGTTGATAAACCCTAAGACAAAACGTTGTTCAGTGAGACAGCTTTAAATTCTTTTTTAATTTTTTTCTCAGCTGCGTTCGAAGTTTGAAGTCTGTTTCCAAGTTAAGCAAAACATAAAGCTTATACGGTACAGGCTGGCCTAATATATAGAAGTATACCTGCAAACTGTAATTAAAATTCTGCCGGTACTGTACTTAAGACTTTAGGTGCATTCAAAATTAAAAAACAGAAATTCCAACGGTTCTATGTACGTATTTGTCCATTTGCAAATCAGATTCGTAATTCAATGCTAATCAATTCCGTGTCCGGCACTATTGACCGCTGACGGCCATCTGCGCTAACCCATAAACAGATTTCGTTACAGATTCCTGTAGAAACAACTGAAACTATAGCTACAGCATCTTTTACTATTTGCCGCAATCGTGAAGCGTATTATTAGTTAGTTTCAATCACAGTTTGCCCTACATTCCGATATACTGTATTTATTCATCGGCAATGGTAGCTAGACTGGTAGTGAAAGTATGTTTACTGTTTCGCAACCCTTAAACGGGCGGTCAGTATTATCTCTTGTATACTTGAAGTACTGTTTTATAACTAAGCTCATGTTTGTCGCAGATTACTGCTTTCGGAAAGATCGACCTCCTAACACACCATGACAAGAATAAGTTATTTCTTTGTAGTTCTGTCATGTATGAATTCCGTCATTTCACAAAAATATGCCGACCTTTCCCGGATCATCCCATCTCCACAAGTTAATTCTCTCCCTGACGATGCGGACGTGGGTAGCTTATTTGCCACCGGCTCCGCAACGGGCGCAAGCCCACTCACCGCACGGCAATCCGGTGACCTTTTCGAAACAGCCGACAATTCCTACAGCGTATCGGTAATCCCTCCCGACCATCCGCCACTTTTGGGTAGACCAGGACTGTATCCCAACACGCCGCCCTATCCTCCGCCATATAACGCCCAGCTGCCGCCTCCCGGTGGTCCATTAATCCGGCCAGCATATCCACCCATCTATCCCATGGGAAACGCGCCGATTCCGGGAGCGCCGGCCAGATCGTATTTCATGCCCACAAATTCCTTCACGGCTTATGCACTCAACCGGACCTTTCCGCTGAGTTTCGGGGAGCCGATAAAGATCGGGAGTATTAATCAGACGCTGGCGCTGGTCACGGTTAACGCGAGTATGCCGCGGTCGAAACTGGTCAACACACCGTATTTACCGTTGATGCCGCAGACCGCGTATCAGCTGCTGCCGGGGCCGCTACCAAACCCAGGAAGCTATGGTACGACGAGATAGTTTTATGCGCTTGCATTATAATCGAATGGTAATTACCAGGGCTTAATATGCTGTATATCACGAGTAAAAAAGGTTTAAGTGGTTAAAAATATTACAATATGGGTATAACAAATACTTCACTGAAAATGATTTCTAGCGCACTACAATCTGTAAATAGTTGCCCCATTGCAGTTATTATTGCTTTATAAAACAACAACGATATGGGTCGAATTGATGTGATATATCTATATAATATAAATATTCGTAGTAGCATGTATGTACTGCAGTTGTTGTGATTTACTAAAACTGGGCTTGATTTGTAGGTATCGTACGTCGAGGTCCACCGGCTCCCATCTATCCAGGATATCCCGCGGAAGCTCTGGCCAAAGAACAACAAGAACAAGAGCGGTTAAGACTTCTCTATGCAGCTGAACAATACAATCGCGTAGATGGATCACTCGACTATTCCCCACGCAGTGCTAAAGCGTAGAGCACTCGTACATATCGCATGCATGATACAACACAAAAGTGATTGCACGAAGGGATTTGTTGATTGTGAAATGTCCCGGGGTACTTATACAGTTATACTCGTACTTATACAGTTATACAGTTAACGCATGGAAGCAGTGCTGAGAAATATAATAACTTAGTTTATGAATTAAAACGATATGTACCTCACGTGTTGTATATATTCATTGTACGAGTACAAAGCATGACACTGTATTATTATACGTAGCAAAAAAATTAAATACAGACTCTGAACAATACAGTAAGTAGTACTGGACATACTGTAATTTTTAACGCACAAGAATCTGCGATTATGGTTGCGTTGACGCCTATTTGTGCATTCAGTTTTATTATCATATTTTACATAGTTTGTCATGATTTGTATACATACCGTATACATTCATACAGGAGTAAAAATTGTATAGAATTGTAAATTTGTAATAGTAAATCTAGATTAAAAATTGTACCGTATAGTATATTATATAAATATTCACTACTTGAGTATTTATGTTGTACTCGTATAATGCCCGGTACCATAACATTCTACTTTATCCGTAAGAATGTAAATGCGGCATGTAAACATCCTGTAAATAATTTAAAATATTTTTATACAAGATTTACATATTTTTATCTTTATCAGAAAAATTAAATCTACCGGTGGAAGTGTCGCTCAAAACAAAATCTTACGTACTTTGCAGTTTGAACACTTTCCTTCCTTCCTTATAAGCGCACAAAATTAATACTGCCGGCAGAGTCATCTCGTAGTTACCTTACGTAGCAGGGAATATAAAAACGTACTAGAGTACGGTACGGACGGAAAGGGCTTGTATGACTTTTTTCAATAACAAGACCGGTCACAATTATAGCTTCTTCCTTTTGGCATTAATTTTAAATATATATTATTTGCATTACCTGTTTACGTGCGGTATGTTAATAAGGATTTATTCCAAGCAGGCAGGGCTTGGCATTTACCGGCATAGCGGTTATTTACTGCAAAACTGTTGACGGGAAAATTTCTCAACGTGGAAGTTCAATGCTCTTAGGTAGGAATGAATCGACAGAACCCGCTGCTATGTTTCCTGTAGTTTTCGAGTTCCTACTTGCAGACTTTCAGTAACATTGTGAAAATCAAGGACTGTGCTGTGTTATACGGCAAAACCGGTTTTGAGAATTTGATAGCCGGCTTTATACCTAAGATTTCAGCTATTGTAAATACCAAGTACCTTGTTCGGCAGCATAAACTTTATCATCCAGATTCCAGACCCAAGTGGAAAAAAACGGTGCTTCAATTTATTGTTATTTCCAAGTACGATCGCATCCGCCATAACCAAAATCAAAAATGGACATTACCCACGCGAAACACATCGGCAGAAAAATGTAAAAAAAAACGAAATGAATAACTCAACGGAATGAGTCAATGCTAAACCCGAGCAAACAAACAAAAAAATTGCGAAAGATCGAAAATGAAAAGATTAAGCAGGAAACCCGGGGGTCTGATTAAAAACCCGCCAGCAGCAGAGTTAATTAAAACAACGGCATGGCAATGCTGTTTGATTCTGTCTACCTTACAGCTGTCCGCAATCAGCGATGACGACCTTGGACTTGGGTTTGCCGCTCTGGGTGCCCTGCTCTTCCATCTTCTTGACGATGTCCAAGCCCTCCACGACATTCCCGAAGACGACGTGCTTGCCGTCCAGCCACTCGGTCTTGACGGTGCACAAGAAGAACTGGCTGCCGTTGGTGTTGGGTCCGGCGTTGGCCATGGACAGGACGCCCGGGCCGGTGTGTTTCAGCTGGAAATTCTCATCCTCGAATTTATTCCCGTAGATGGACTTGCCGCCGGTACCGTTGCCCGCCGTGAAGTCACCGCCCTGGCACATAAACTGGGGGATGATGCGGTGGAAGGCGCAGCCCTTGTAGCCGAAGCCTTTCTCCCCGGTGCACAGGGCGCGAAAGTTCTCCGCCGTCTTGGGCACAACATCGGCGCGCAGCTCCATCACGATGCGGCCGGCCTTGGCGTTGTCGATGGTGATGTCCATGAAGACTTTGGGATTGTTGGCCATTTTGCTGGGATCGAGGGGGGGATTCTTTGAGAAGAAGGAGAGAGCGACTCGCGTACCTATGAACAGCGGTTGCGGTTTGAGCAAACGCATGGTAAAATAGGTAAAATCAATAAAACGCTAAAATCACGATGATCCACTGGTTTTTCGGTCAAGACCGCATAGAGTACTTACTTGGTTAGAAAATGGGGCGATGGACCGGCGTCGACGAGCGGTGTAGCGAGAATTCTCCAGACTGAAAGCCACTGACTGGCAAGTGTAAAAATACATCGGCGATGCCGATAACAGAGCAAACACGTTCTGGAAAAGCGGTGATACGTGTCGTACAACAGCACAATCCTGTACGAGCAACAGCGATTTGCTAATCACTTCACAGTGAACAATGGGCCGCGCAGCATTCAAATCAGCCATATCGCTTTTCAATCAAATGGGAGGTTTCCATCTGTCGCGCTATTGGCTGAACGCTTTGTTCCACCCCATTGAGGATCGTCCGGCGCTTACATCCAGAGTCATCAGACCGATCGTACGATTTTTTTATCCACCTTGCCGCGGGGGATGATTCTACTCTTGCCAGATGATAGCTTGTCGTTGAGGTCTAAGGCTTCGAGCGCAATGTCTTGACGCTGCTCTCGGCCGGTTGCCTTAGCCGCCGGAAGTTAGTTAGTCTGGCCGGAAGTGATAAGTCGAAGCTTCGTTCGTAAGCAGACAAAATCACAAACAGAGACAAAAACACTCAAAATGGGAAAGTACCAAAAATTCTACTGCTTTTCATTGTTTCCAGATTTACAACCGTGTTTTTTTCTTCGTTTATAATTTTTTTTAATTTTTTACACATCGGTGCCGATTTATTCGACCGAACGAATCATGAACAACATTCATGCGGACTTCGCTTCGTTATCTTTAAAGGCAGACACGTGGGATCCGCAGCAACATCTGAATGCCTTAAAATCTTTGATGGAACGTTGTTTTCATTTGTGGACCCATCAGGAGTCCGTAATACTGACGGCGAACGATCATATACTAGTGGATAAGCTGGCTAAAACTTATGGTTCGTTGTGCCTGGCTTTGCACGGAGATCGGAGTATTGTAACTGCGTTGAGTCGTATCCACAACTTCGCATCGCTTACCAATCAATCTCCACCGGAATCGAATACGACTGCTTTAGAATCTGCTTGGGAGATTATTACCAGATGGCTTAATAATCCTGTATTGTGTTCGGCCATCCAGAACGCGTTGCCTTTATATGTAGCGTTGTATCTGCAGCTGGATCAAGAACGCAGCGCTCAAGGAACCAGAATTCCGCGCCTGCGCAGCGTTGAAAGTTTTCGACAGTTTTTACGATATTTTGAATTGGAGAAAGTAGCTGCGTCCGCTTTTCTTTTGTCAAAACTGTCCGCTGGTGTTCAGGAGAGTGCGGGATTGGGGAAAGGTGCAGCGAAGGGAATATGGTGGTTTTCGGTGGTTTTATCCGAAGTAATCACGCGAATTCTGGGAGAAACGGACGGTGTCCAAGCTGTGCTCAGTGCGATGCATTCCGGTAAGCAATGACATGCGGCGGTGTATTTCTCTAAACAGCCTGATTTTGCTTTGGCATGTTTTGCTTCTTTTGGAAGTTTTTCGGAAATTTTTGCACATGATATTTTTTGTTCTTATTCTTGTCTCGTTGTTTGTATCACTGTTTTCTTCCAAGTGTTTGCGAGCATTCACAATTATACAACAAGACGTAACCTGTGTCTGCCATGATAAATAATAACCTTACGTTGCAATAGTTAAATTTAATTTTTAACATCTTGCTGTAATTTATTGGTGTTGCGGTTATTGCAGTTTCTGCTTGCTGCAGTTTGTGCAGGCGGTGTATAGCATTAAAAAGCTCTTTTTTGCTTTGACAGAGTAATGCGCCTGTTTTTGCTTTTTTTTGGAAGTTTTCCGGAAATTTTTGCACATAATATTTTTGTTTTAAAAATGCTCTTGTTGTTCGTGTTCACAATCAAATGTTTGCGAGCATTCACAATTACACATCATTGCGTAACATATGCCTGTATTATCCTGATAAATTACGTATCTTTACGTTGCAGTACAGATAGTTTAACTGTTATTTTTGTCATCTTTCGGTAATTTACTGATGTTGCAGTGTTGTGGTTATTGAAATTTCTGCATGTTGTAGTTGTAAATAAATACGAATGCGTTCTATTTGTATATGAAGTCGGAAGACTTTTAATATCTGTGATTTTCGATTTAGGAATAAGCCGAATGGAATTAGAGCAGCTCAGTAGATCTGGGCGATTGAGCCGCTTATTAACTGCGGTGCCTCCTGAATTCCGCGCCAATTCATCCCACTGGCATCGTTTAATAATCCCCCAACTGTTACACCTTGCCAGGACTATGTCGGCAAATTACCCTAATTTGTCCTTGTGTCGTACGACGTTGGAAGCGCTCGCCTTTATGTTGCGCGATAATCCAGAGGAGTCTCGGATATTATTTGACGAGCACGTGTTTCTGTCCATGGCTTCGATTTCAAAGAATCTCGGTCATGAATCGGCAGATTTTTCCATTGCTGTCAGGAATGCCTTGTTATTGATGGATAACGATATCTTCAGCGATGAGCTGCTGTTTCTGCGTCGATTACTCGCCGATGGCGCATCACCGTTAACGGAGAATGTAATTGAAATGTACACCGGTATTCTTGACGGTTTGTCCTTCATGGCATTCCAGAGTGGATTGTCGATGGAACTGAGTGTTAAAGATGCCATAGTTGAGCTCATTCCTGTCATATTGCGACATGTAAAACCTGAAATGCGGGAACAGAAATTGGTGGAAAGTTATAGAAATGGAGCAAGAGCGTTGTTTAGGAGTTTATCAATTCAGTCGGGCGAGAAATATCTATCTGAAACTGGTATGTCACCAAACATTTTAAAAATTAAGTACGAGTACTGTAACGAAGGTGCAATCTGTGTGGATTGTTTGCATTTCGGGTTATTCTGTTTTAGTTTTTTGGTTATTTATTTTATGCGCGCAGGCAGACTGTCTGTTGCCCAATGAAACTTGTAATGTACAGTGTGAAACGTTATACGCAGTTGAGTGGATTAGTCTTTTGCGGTTTTTATCGGTTCTCAATTACCTACTCTTGGAATGCGCATCGCTGTGGTGATGTTTCGGCATAGTACAAACTGCTTTCTAAAGGAAGCTTTGATTATCGGTAAATTGCAATAGCTAGTGTGTTTTTAAAATTGATTATGTTTTGTTTGCAGAAATTGCTGCCGCGATGTGCGATCTCAGTGAGAAGTCTTCTGACGTATGGATGACAATATCTGGAACACCAGACACCAAAGTTCTGACATCGTCAAAATCCGCAGTTTCACTTTCTGCCTTATTTAACACAATATCCCGAAGTCTGAATGATACTTGTCGGGATTTGCTCATCTTATCCAGCATTCCACCGACCAACTATCAGCTTGTGGAGCTGCTGTCTCTGAGTGTTTGGTTTCGCAATCTATCCGAATTCCTCCTTGATTCCGAGGATGACGGTATGGGACCTTTAGCGGAATGTCCATCATTTTGGGACGTCTTTCTTGTTTTTCCGGTTAGAATGCGCACTCTTATCCCTAAAATTGCCGATGAACAATTCCGTGGGATACCCTTTGCCATGTACATTCTCGTGCTGAAGCTGGTGGGAAAGATCGTCTGTCTGAACGGTTCACAATGCAAAGAAGTTCATCAGCAAGCAATGGGGATGATTTTTCATTTATGCTTAAACATTGAGGATTTGAAGGTGGAACTAGGTGAGCTGAGTGAGTCTATCTCATGGAAGGAACTGAATGATGGGATGCATCTTTTGGTTGCGGCGTGCAAGTTATCCATGGGAGTGGCAGTATGGTCGGAGCGGACTGATTTAACACCGTTCCAGCAGGCTTTGAAGGTATGTTCCAGATACTGTAGGTATGAGACGGTTTGAAGACGGCGTAAGAAAGCCTCGGTTTAGCCTAAAATACAATATATGGTATCCCTATCTGGCAGCGTATGCTGTACTTGCTTCTACTTACAGTACTAAAGTTTACATTTCGAAACGCTGCTCATTAACCGAAACGTCTACTTTTTCGTTCAAAATAAAGATTAGTACTACTGAATGACACATTCCTTGTGAAGTGCTGTTATCTTGTTTACTTCATCCATATTACATAGATAACCTTGATTTTCGGTTGCAGGACACGAAAGATCCACTTCTTCCGCTTCGCGCTGGTGCATACCACCAACTTCGCCGATTAATAATCTCCGGCGACGACGAAGCTTTGTCTCATTCCAAAGCCATTTTCTGTGACTGCTGTGGAGTCTTCCAAGGAGAATCCGATTCGTACGTTTACCTGGCCGTTATTCAGTGTCTGGAGGCCACGGCGCTTTCCAATCCATCGGAATACCTTCCTCTCCTTCTGTCCGAACTTGCTTCTTTTGCTGCCAGCACGCGCATCCCTGCGAGCGCAGGCCCTGACCCCACGGTCCGCGGTTTCCTGGCTGAAAACCTCGTACGTATTGTTAACCGACTGGGACCGGCAGCCGCCCGGTACGCTGATAAACTCCTGAATACCCTGCTATTTCTGGCACGCGATACCGATCCTGATGTACGAACCAGTGCCATTTCGGCGTTGGCAGATGTCGGCCGAGCATTGCGCTTTGGAATGAGTGCAGTGAGGATGGAAGTGCTGAACTGCTTGATCCACACCATGGAGACCGATCCGGAAGTGTTGAACAGGCGAGCCGCGGTGTATTGTTTGTGTGAAATTGTCGATGGGATGGGAAAAGATTTCCTGGATGTGTTTGGTGACGGTATTAAGCTGGTTTGGAGTGCCTTGAAAAAGGCGAGGTTGGCGGAAGATTACACTGTGAGGATGTATGCGGAAAGAGGAATTGATGTGTTGAACGAGGTGCCACGGAGGATGATGAACGATTCTCTGCAGTTTATGCGGGTGATCTCCGAAAAACGGCTGAAAGAGCTGTAAACGTCAAGTACTCAGTTTATTGATGATGTTTCATGTGCCATTAAGAACAGCGCAAGGAAATTTTTGAACGTTTGTAGTTTAAAAAAAATTGTAATAGTGTTTTAGAGTTAATGTTAATTTTTTTGGTATTAGAAATTTTTTAAATTTCGCTGGTGATATTGCTGCAGAAAGCTCTGATATTGCTGTGTTAGTAATATTTCTGTAAAAGCATCCTGTCAAATTTCTGTAAATGCATCCTGTCAGCGGTGAGTTGGAAAATAGGTTCCGGTGAGAGCAATAACTAATGACATCTTATCATCGCTGTGGTAGTAATCGTTCAGGACGGGAACACTGAGAAGCACATTGCCAATGCCGCTCTAACTGTTGGCCAGAAATCTCCCCCGCATGCTTTTGGGGGACGTAATCACCTCGACACAGATGTGGTACTTATTATTTAACGAGAAAATTTATGGGAACAGGATTTCTGAACGCATAGTCTAACCGTCAGATTTTTATCTAAAGACGTGTGGATGCAATATTTCTTCCCGGGCGCAACGGTTGGTTGATTGCGAGTGCTCCACAGGTATCACAATACACAAGGATCAGATCTCTCTGCAGTCCCATCACTTCGTTTTATGTATTGCAGTACTCTGTAGTCCTTATAAGACCGGTCTGCACAACGCCTGCAATTTCCGGTCTTGTCAAAAAACGGGCCAACAATGATTATTATGTACAGTATTACCAGATACAATATACAGACAGAATTAAGCTAACAGATCACATAAAAAGAGGAGCATTTATGCAACGTAAGCCCCGGAGAGACAAAGAGAGCACGCCCCAATTTTCTGTAAACAGAAAACCAACAGGTGAGTGTACTGCAAGGGCAACTTCTAATCTACCCCTATGAGTAGTGGGTTTGGGTTAATCCACCCGTACCTCGGTAAAACGAGGTTTGATGGTTCGTCGGTAACTACCCAGATCTTAAGAAAATCACAACCTTACGTAACCGCAACGCGCGAATTCAGGACATCATCATCGGTTTAATGATAATCAGAATCAGAGCAAGTGCAAGAGCAAGGGCAAGAGCAAGAACATGCGGGAAAGTCAGCCGTCTGCCGGTCGAGCAGGTCTACTGATTTCACATGCAGAAAAGTCAGAACATCTCAGAATTTTTCATAACCAGTAACATGGACTCACAATTCTACTGAGATAGGCGGTACATACCTACATGTTTCCGGTAGAGTTGTTACCATTGACAATCTGTAGAACATGATTTTACGGCTACACTATTTTGAATGGTATGCGCGTAGGCGGCCCCATAGTCAACCGTTTTCTGAGACGGAGAAAAAGTTTCTCGACGGGACGGTACTGACGGAGTTTCCGTGGTACGGATTTCCCACGACACGGTCACTCCGACTTCCCGTCCCGTCGTTGTGTCCGAAAGTTGTGTTCCTCATAGTTGTCCGTGCTTCGGCTGTATTCTTTTGACAGGAAGTAGGCAACCGCCCGTTGCAACGGTTGGAAGTCACCGCCCAGGGCGGTTGAAGGCTGCATTATGGCAAGCCGGCATTAGGCTTATGGCAGGCCGAGTATTATCGTACGTATTATATTTTGGTAACAAGTAATTATGCACTTTACACTGTATAATTTGTCAAATCTGAGAAACTAAATTTTTCATAAACTTTCAGTTTGGCAATCTACCCACTCACGGTAATTTTTGGCACAAATTACCTCTTTAGTAGCTTTCCATATTTATTGTTATCCCAAAATGCCTTGCAGTGTTTCACACAGCTGCTCTGAATTCCGAGTTATTCGGTATTAATTTTTTTATACTGTTAATGTTTGACGAGGCATTTTGCTACAATTTAATAAGCCGATGTAAATAAAACTTACGTAAACTTTCCAAACGGCTCACAGATGGAAAACCATGTACAATATGTACTACAAACTTACAAATTTGGAAAAATGAACTGTGCGTACAGATGTAATTATTTTAGCAATTAAAATGTCTGTTTAACAAAAAGAGGGTTGTGTAAGAGTGCATTTACGAGTGCATTTACGTGCTCGTATTATTTTTCTCGTAATAATTAGTACATATGTATAGGTACATGATATATAAGTGTGTTAATAATCGGGGCGTTTAGGTGGGCACACTGGGCAGTGGCCGCTTGGGCAAACGTATGATTGGGCGAAAAAAAACGGAGACTGTATTAGGGAGGAGCCATCCTCTCCTACACCGAAGTCGTCGAAACCACGAATTTCGACGTTTCGGTTTCAACACGATCATGCCCCCTCATAGTCATCCGTAAAAATGGGACGGAGAGTCGGGGAATGGAGTTATTCGAAATTTGGACACCTTTTAGTCGAAACTGCTGTTTTCGGTGAACTATGAGGCAGCCTTTAAGCTGTCGATCGGTGTAATCGGTACTGTATATGCAGCCGATCTGCTCGAGAAATCCGGTCGGAAATAAGGGAAGTTTGCGCATCAAACCCAAATCGGAGTGTGGTTAGCACGATTACGGACTGTGGAGCACAACGCGTATTACGTGTCGTCGATGGAGCGTGGCTTTTCGCTTCAGTTTCGACTTCTTAATATTGGGACCTTAGCGTTTGCAAACTTCATCTATACACGAAATATATACTTACAAACACGTGACGTCACGTCCGAACCCATGATGCAGCGATTCGCTGCCGCGCAAATTACATGTATGCGTGCGGTGCCAAAAACCCATCCACGTAAGGCCCTTACGTGCATGCATGTAACTCCACCCCTTTCCACGCATACAAACAAGTAACCGATCCAGCTGTCAGTCGATCCCGAAATTTCAAACGTTCGTCTTTCATTTTCTTCTCAACGGATCTTGCCAATCGATATACCAAAAGGTGCAAAATTAAATTTCAATTTTTTTGATAGCTAGCAGGTGGCTATTTATGGCGAATCAAGAAAGTTATGGCTGTTTTAGTTTCTCGTAGACTTAACATAGGATGGAAGCAACGCCTCCTCGCACGGCCCTATGCTAAGATAAGTTTTCCAAAACGAAAGATAAGTTTTCCAAATTTTGGAGATCAACATTCAATTGGGAGTCAGGTCAGATCGGGCCGATCGGCTACTTGTATGTCTCCATGCGAGGTGGCTGGCACCTCCGCACACTCGGTCGCTCAAACACGTAGGGAGCCAATGAGCCATATATACAAGCCTATTAATTTTCTGAGCGGTCTCTACGTCACTTGTTTGTATGCATAGATTTTACAAGTTGTCAACGCACTCCCCATAATATTGAAGTGCTGTACAGGCAGTACTATTTATTATTGATCATGAGCTCATAAAGTATGGGCTAATGGCTGCTAGTCATCATTATTTACATTCAAAATCGTTTTTGGTGGTAACATCGACCTTGCGTCTTGAAAATTTGTGATAGTATCTTGCCCTTATTATGAATCTCTTCTTATTATGAACACAAGCCCGGAATATTGTGTCGCGAGCATGGTGAGTTGTTATGTTGGTCAGAACTGTTAGCCTCCTCAACAGTTTAATAGCATCATACTACTGCTTGTGAGTAGTGATAATTGTATAATTGTACAAATATAGTACTTACGTAACCATATCATTGCAGAAGCAGTAGACCAGTACCACTGGGAAATTGGATAAGTGTTATGTGGCTCTTTGTGCGTTCTTGATCAGGGCCTTGATCAGGATCAGCATCTCGCTGCGCTCGATGCAAAAAATAGAGAAATAGGTTCTCTACAAAGTACAAACCTATGTCTCCTTAGTTATACGAATACTAACTAAGTAACAAGCCCAGCACGTGTCTTAGGATTTCGAGCATGTAAAAAGGTTAACTGCCCAGGCAGAAATTCGCTGGATAGACTGTCTCGCCTATGCAGTCTTCGTGCTCAATGGTCTATGTAACCCCAGTCGTTCATTACTGGATTTCAACGTCGTTATTAACGAAACGATACCCCCTTCGTTTCGTTAATAACGACGGGTAATGCCGTTTAAACGTTCGTTAATCGTACCCCGTCGTTAATTCTATCGTCAATCGTACCCCTTCGTTGATACCGCAACCTGCTTTTTAACACATAGTAACAATCTGGGGATTTACAGTTAGCCCATGTTAAGCTAATGGCCACCATGGTAACAAGCTTTTGTGACCACTGGACTGTGGGTAGTGGGCTTTCCAGAAAATCGATGATGCAGGAACACTCTCAACACTGAGAGGATTCTGTAGCACTTTAGAGCGGGCAGATTGAATGTGTGGAACGGGAGAAAAATGGTTACAACGGCAAAGTGTCGAGGACCCTGGTTACGTAGTTAGTATTCATATAACTAACTAAGTAACAAGGGTCCTCGACACTTTGCCGTTGTACTCAAAGATCTCCCGTTCTGCACATCCAATCTGCACGCTCTAAAGTTCTACAGAATCTTCTCAGTGTCGAGAGTAATCCTGCATCATCAAATTTCTGAAAAGCCCAATTCCCACAGTCCAGTGGTCACTCAAAAGCTTGTTTTATTAATAGGTGTATAAGGGATAAACCCTGGTGATAAGTAACACTGGCGAAAAATTCAGTACAGTACTTTTTTTGCCGTCACACCTCGTTAATATTTCTCGAAATACAGAAGAAATACAATGGCCGAAACGGCCATCAAGTTGTACAAAGGACATTCCAAAAATAATTTTCCCTATTTTGTATCTCCCGGCATTAACGCATTCAGCTAATATCATCCATATTGTTACAAACGTCCTTCATTAGCATACTGTATAAAGAAATTATTTTGTTTAAGTACAATCAAATGGGGAAGAAATGCCAAAAAAAACAGCAAAGGGTTTTCAAAGTTTTTCATGTGATTTTCCCGGACAGTTTTTGTTATTTTTTGCAATCTTTCTGCTCATTTGCCTTGATGCCTAAAATATATTTAGATTAAGAATTCTTTCCTCTTGCAAAATAAAGTTTTGAACAAAATGTCCTATTCAAACCACTTTTCTAGAAAAATAAGAACTGCTTGGGACTAGGTGTAAAAATCAAAGCATCGCAGCATCCAGACGGTAAAAAACAGAAAATTTCATGAAAAAATTTGCTGTTATCGGTGGAATGCAAACTTTCTTGGTATCTGAGATGCGCACGACTGGCCATAAAATTTGCTTTTTATCGATGGGAAGCATCACGAATTTGTAAAAGCGAAACTGCTGAAATGAGGGAATTTCGGTGTCTAATGAAAGAAAAACGTTTACTTTTACCTCTGAGCTTTTCAAAATGTCCTGCCATCGCAGTAATATCAAGTACTAAATTTGCAGTTGACATTTTAAATTTTTTGTTGAAAACATTGCCAGGTCAGGATTGGCAATAAAGGAAGAAATTTCAAAAAAGGTGCTGAGAAAGTGCAAAAGTAGCATTCACCATTCTGTTTTTCGTTTGGCAAGTTCTTCTTCGATTCTTTTGATTCTTATTTCTTGACATAGTTTACATAATGGGTTATCCAGCAAAAATTATACTATTTGTGTATACCCTAAAATCGCAGGGAGACAGATTAGGGAACACTATTTTTGGAATGTCCTTTGTAATTGTATGGCAGTCTTTTGCGGACGATCCATAAGGGATACGAACATTTCACAGATACAAAACCATAGTGGAATTTTACTCTGATTTTGAATCTGCAGTTTGTTTGCTGAAATTAAACATCTGACTACTGACATCCCCTCGTATAATGAAAAATTTAGCTATCACTTTGATTTCAACGACCCTAAACGGCTAAACCTGAAATACGAAAATTTTCTGCCAAAAGCGGATAAATTTTTTTTCATTAGTTTCAGTTAATCTTTGCGAGCTGCTGCTGCAAAAGGGCTCGCACTAAAAGACCACTGTTACTTTGAACTTTACCCATAACACCCGTATAGAGATATTCGTAGACTGTAGAGTATAGCTGGCCAGCACTTTTTTTGATCCCTCGACCGTATAACACAGTTATACAAAGGACATTCCAAAAAATATAATGTTCCCTATTTTGTATCTCCCGGCATTAACGCATTCAGCTAATACTATCCATATTTTTACAAACGTCCTTCATTAGCACACTGTAGAAAGAAATTATTTTGTTTAATTACAATCAACTGGGGAAGAAATGCCAAAAAAACACCAAAGGGGTTTCAAAGTTTTTCACGTGATTTTCCCGGACAGTTTTTGCTATTTTTTGCAATCTTTCCGCTCATTTTCCTTGATGTGTAAATTATACTTAGATTAAGAATTCTTTCCTCTTATAAAATAAAGTTTTGAACAAAGTGTCCTATTCAAACCACTTTTCTAGGAAAATAAGAACTGCTTGGGACTAGGTGTTAAAATCAGAAAGCATCGCAACATCCAGACGGTCAAAAACAGACAATTTCATGAAAAAAATTTGCTGTTATCGGTGGAATGCAAACTTTGTTGGTATCTGAGATGCCACGACTGGCCATAAAATGTGCTTTTTATCGATGGGGAGCATCATGAATTTATAAAAGCAAAGCGGCTGAAATAAGGGAATTTCGGTGTCTAATGAAAGAAAAACGTTTACTTTTACCTCTGAGCTTTTCAAAATGTCCTGCCATCGCAGTCATATCAAGTACTAAATTTGCAGTTGACATTTTAAATTTTTTGTTGAAAACATTGCCAGGTCAGGATTGGCAATAAAAGAAGAAATTTCAAAAAAGGTGCTGAGAAAGTGCAAAAGTAGCATTCACCATTCTGTTTTTCGTTTTGCAAGTTCTTCTTCGATTCTTTTGATTCTTGTTTCTTCAGATACAAGTTTTAGTTTACTCGTAGTTTACATAATGGGTTATCCAGCAAAAATTATACCATTTGTGTATAACTTAAAATCGCAGGGAGACAAAATAGGGAAATTATTTTTGGAATCTCCTTTGTACATACATTAAATCAGTTTAAAAAGTATATATGACGAAAATTTCTAGCGTTTCCTTCTACACTTTTCGTTCTGATCTGAAATATCAGAACTTGCTCTCTCTTCCCGTTTTTTTTCTGCCAGTGTGCGTTTCTTTAAGGTGAAAACTATCCGATGGCAGATTTAGGGAGAAAAGACATAAGGGAAAAAACTCAAAAACGAAAATTCATTCCTAAAATAAAATTTATTCATTCATAAGGGAAAAATCTCATAAAGGATTTTCGATAAAACAACCCACATATAAACGGTAAGTTTACAGATAGTCTGCATTACTTCTTTTTCTTTAAATCGTACAGGCCATCAAGCTGTCAGAGGCGGCAGCCTGCGCCTGGTGCGTACGATCCACAAAGGACGTACTTGCACCCATTGCATGCCGCTATCGCCTCTCTCGGTGTACGTACGTGTGCTGCTACTGCACTGACTCATCCGCTGAAGTGGATACACGCAGCGCACACGCTGAGCTGTACTTGCTCTCTAGTCCTTTTCTCGCAGTACCACTCAGCGTCATACGCTCGCGTTGGATCGAGTCCAGTCTGCGCATCATCACACAGCTGATGTCTGGCCAGGCCGCACGTGGTTGCCGCCAGAATTCCTTTCACGCCATCAGACGCTCAAGAACCCTGTTAGCAACCACTTGCTACTTTTTAGCCAGACGTGCTATGTTCTTGCATTCTGCTATTACGCAGCATTGTTCCCTTTATTTGTCAATAAAGCACACTCGTGATCTCCTCGCCAGAGTCTGTTACATGGTAGCAGCATCTTTCTGGTTTTCGATCTCACGGAATCTCTAAGGAGACGGTGAAGGCTTCACTTGCGGAGAACTCGACGGGAATCTTTTCAGTCACGGACAGATCGACTGCTGAAGCAGCCGCTGCATTGACTGTCGATCACACAGATCGCATCGTCTTACAGCCGAGGAAAAACGAAAATCACTGAAGTAAATCTTGCCCAGCTGGTGAGCACAGTTTTCTTGTCTCTTTCACATTGAAGAGTACGTTTCCCAAACGCACGGACTTTCCTTCTCCCAACGGACGGATCAGACTCGAACCGGAGTCTGCAGCGCGACAGGATTACTTCAATTACATGGGGACCATCGGTTTGAAACTTTGAACACCGACCCGCAACTTTAACCGCGGATTTCATCTCGGAAACGACGGATTTGCGACCTCAGACGGAGGAAATCGACCAGAACCGACACCGACACCGACACTGGTAAAGTCACGGTTGTAGGTCGATTTTAGCCGAAACTAGATCGGCTTTTCACTTTCTAGCGATAGAAAACTATTTCTATCCGAAAATTTAAAATTTTTAACGGTGAAAAAGTAATTTCTGACGGAGAAACCGATTCGGAATTTGCTTTTGGTCGAGAACCGACCTGCTAGGTCAACGAACCTGTCTAGACAGTTAGACAACGGCTGACCGGCAACAAGTCGGAAATTCTTTTCTTTTCGATTTCTAACGGTGTTTCGACCACCAGAAAAATCCTAAAAGTCTTAAAAACGTGTTTCTAACGGATAGAAAATTAAAAATTTGACTAGATTAACTTTCTAGCCGAC